GGTTGGCTCGGTGGTGAGGTTGGTGGTAGCCTGGTGTGTGTGTGTGGGTGTGTGTGAGTCTGTGTGCAGGATGCGTATTTTCTCGCTATTGCGAAATTTGCAAGCCTTGAAAAAGCGTGAGCGCGCGATATCGGAGAAATTAAGGTAAGTAGCACGAAGATTAGGAGAATAGGGTTTATGGGGGGGGCTTAACGCCACAGTCAAGCGATTATAATAAAATATGATTAGTAGTAATACTATGGTCTTTTATTGTTGAGTTAGACTTATTTGGTTACCTCAGTAGTTACGTGGTTGGAGATAACGGGCGGTTGTCATGGGGAGCCAGGGGCGAAATGAATGACTAAAGGCGGGGGCGGTTGTTCCGCCCGTTATGAACGCGCGTTGGTGATCAAGAACAGGGGTTTTATGGGAACAGTAAGCCACCCTCGCTAATCCCGGAAACCGCTTTAGGGAGTGTGTGTATCCCGTAAGTGGAAAGTAAGGGAGGAAAAAAGTATTAAAAGTGTCGAGGTCAGTTGAAAGCGTGAAAGCGTGACTGGCCGCACGGTGACATCAGTACACCCCCCACGCGGTGCACTATTTACGGCTTAGTCTCAGACCTTAAGCGCGGTTGTGCATACTAGTAAGACACCCCCTATGGCGTATATAGTTTAAGTGGAGGCGATGTAAGCTCTGGTGTCGTCTTTCCTCGAGTGATAAATTGTGATTAGGATATCACGATTGTTACTCGTTTTAGATGACATTTAGGGGGATTTTGGATGAGCTAGTTTTTTTTAGGGTCATCTCGGATTAATCCGAGAGACCACACTTATCTAAACGTACTATAATTTTATCCGATCCTTAAAGAGGTCTTGCTAGTTGAAATCCTAATGGTTAAAGCCTTTGAGTTGCTAGCTATCAATTGGATAAGATGGTTTAAACACCGCCACCCTAGGCCTATCAATGATTAGCGATACCTAACTCACCAATAGCATTTGATTCTTGGTTTTCTGTGTAAATTCGTATCACTGCATCTCTCGAGGCTTGTACACTTCTCGTAAAGACTTGCCAAGGTGGTGGCTCTGCAATTACAGGCTGGCGGCCACGGTAGCCACCACCACCCAAGCCAGAAGCGTGGTGTTTTTGCAGAGCGTGGTGCAGCACGCCTAACGCCTATTTGCGAAGAGTCGGTTTCCAAAGCCTGCAAAAAAAAAATTATTGTCGCTGCAAACCCACAAACAATGGCCACCGTCCCCTGGCCACGTGCACTGAACGATCTCCACCAACGTTCCGCGGGCGATCCGATCGCCGCTTTGGTTGAACAAAAGGGTCGCGTGCGTCTTCACCGGCCCCGCTTTTCTAGGCAACCTGAAATTCGCTTACCGGTGCTTGAATTGGCTCATCGCCTGGGTGGCGGGTGGACCCGTAAGTCCGAACAGCCAAGCAGTCGTCGCCAGTGGCGAAGGGTTCGGTGACAGGCGCCGTCCTCGGAGATCCCTCACCCTGCCGGAGGTACATTTGCGTTGCCATACACATAACTCCACCCATCTAGGTGGTTTACCAGCTAATGGGAAAGAAGTCTCGGCTCTTCTCTCGCTTTCTATGACATTTGATGACCCCCCACCGTGGTGTGATCTCATAATCAGTCGCATCATTCACTAAGGAAAATTTGATTGTTGTAGCTGGTGGAGGTGTTTTTTTTGTTTGTTTTTTTTTTTAATTCTTTTTGGTGAGTGGTTCGGCAATGGCCACCCGCTGGAGTTGTCCCCCAGCCTCAAGGGGACACATATGTGGGTCTCAGATTTTTATTTCGTATAAGCACGCTGTAGGTGAATGAAATAGGGAAGTGCCCACCTCGGCAACCTGGGTGCATGACAAGCCTTGCGAAGACGTGTGGAGATATTTTCGCCGGCATAGGGGGAGGCAGAGGTGCAGGCTAATTTAATCGTTACCACCGTTGGCAATTTGGGTGAAGAAATATAAAGCTTTAAAAACTTCGTGTGTGTTTCACAAATTCTGCTGCACACACCCATACTCTCAAACACCAGGTGATTCATAACAAAAAAAACCATGCTGTTATTGTTGCCTGCTACCGCCGCCGACTACCTCACATTCGACGACGAATACATGGCCCCCGGTATCCCCAGCTACAACGACCCTCCTATGGCCATCACCAGTGTGAGCAATGGGACTATGCCGTACTACAATCCGCCGCCACCAGTGACTACTGCGGACGACTTTATCCCGCCGGTGGTCGACGTACAACCGTCACAGATCACGTATAACGTGATCGAATTACCCGCTCCTACCATGCCAGCAGCACCACCCACACATACCCCTACGAGCCCGCTGGTGATGGTTAAATCGGAACCGGTGACGAGACCGTCGCTGACGCTGTTTCCCTTCCAGCCGCTGCCAGTGCTCCCTAAAGCGGAGGCGGTACCAAAAGCGAAAAAAACCCCACGTCGCCATTTGAGCCACGACCAGAAAATGCGCCATAATAAAGTCGAAAAAAAGTACCGCCACAACATAAATACCAAAATCGCCATTCTCCAGAACGTGATTCCGTGGACGGCGACCAAAGTGCTGAATTTCGAGTGTGACGAGTTCACGGCGGAACCCCCGAAAAAAGACGGTGGCCACAAAATCAATAAGAGCGAGGTGTTGGACATCGCCACCAACTACATATTGCATCTTCAAGGCCAGTCGGAACTAATGAACCAGGAGTTGTTGTTCCTTCGGCTGGAGCTCGCTAAGTTCCGCCACCCCTTGCCCCCGTCACCTCTTGGCGAGCAGTGACCTACACGTTTCGGGACCTCGCCACCATATTTTTGTTTAATTCTTGCTAGTAATTTGAATCCACATAATAGTAATAACCACGCTTCCCGTTTCGTCTGCTGGCTGCGTCTGCAAAGTATCTTATTTTTGCTGATGCACCTAGATCTTTGCAGCGAGCATCGCGGGTGCATCGTGGTCCGCAGCACCACCACTGCGGTTGTTCGTTTGAGTCAGAAAACACCGTTTTCTTGGCAAGTGAAACGACAAGTGGCTTTTTCCAGCCCTTCTTTCACGGATAGTTGTGATGATTAGCCACTCGACGACCACGATCTGATCTTAAATTATCTTCGAGTTTTCGGGTATAGTTGACCCATCGGCGTAAATAAAGCATATTCCCGAGGGAGATGCGCATGTACGATAATTTCCTCAATCACCTCATTTGGTCATTCGAAACACTATCCCGCCGGTTACCAACACAACCACGGCTGGGGGTCACCAGAAATTAACTCGGGTTTTAACGCACGTCGCAAAATCTCTATTATGTCTAAGGGGAGCGTTGGTCTCATTTGGGGTAGTGCTCGTATTTTAATAACGCAGACCAAATTTGCTCGGCTTGATTGGGTAGCACGGAAATATTTTCCTGGTGGGTTTTTCCAAAATTTACGGCGAGATAAGGCTAAGGTTCGTCAAGCCAGTCTCGAAGTGGTATCCAATGGCAAAACTAGATTGAAGTTTTGCCATATTTTTATCCTTTAAAGTCATTATCAACTTACTAAGGTACTGTGCACTCACTATCGGCGCGATCATAGGTCGCCACCATTATGGCGGTTATCTGAAACCGTCACTGGTTTAGTTGTTGGGTGGGGTGCAGCTGTGGCGTGGGGAGAGAGTGTAACATTACATTAAAATGTTCCTTAGTTTGAGCCCAACCTTTTTTGAGTGGGATGGACCCCTTAGTGTTAAGTGTCAACCAGTTGCAAGAGCGGTGACCTCAGCCTCCTTACCCCCCACTAGCTTTCCCCCCCCACAACGGTAAGCGAAGGGGAACCAACGTATTGTCATTGATAGCGAGTATACTCCCCTGGTGACGTCGTCGCACGTTGAACACCTAACAAAAAAAATATAACCGCCCCCTGGCGCAGAAATGGGCCAAGAGGAAGAGAAAAAAAAACTTTTTACGAATTTCAATCGATGCCCTGGGGCATCTTCTAATAATTATAAGTACGGCGTTTTAGTAGGCCATGTGTGCTCAAAGAATTTTGCCATCGCACTGGGTGACAGTACTAAGCCTTCAGCATTATCAAATGGGGACAAAGCGAGGCGGTGGAGGCAGGTTTTTGACTCAGGCACCAATCAAAGTGTCGTGGTCACATAAATCTGGATCCTCCCGAACGTTCGTCTACGAATATTTGCTTGGTTTATTATTTCGGCATCTTCCAGCGACAGGTGAAATTCGCCACCACGAAATTATTGCCAGATCCCGCGCACTTGGCACGATAGTGCGATGACATGGATCGGTCCGTCTCCGAGTGGACGGAATTAACGTCTAAACGTGGCTACAGTGGCAAATGTAACATTGATTATAATCAAGCCATGTTACAAGCCATGCTACTAGAAGAATTTCAGATTTACGTAAGCCTTTATTATCAGTGGCTATCATGAATTTTACCAAGGGTTTTATTGACCGAATTGAAAATTTGCTAAATCTAGTGGAATCAAACCCACTTGTCAATGACGATAACGCCTTTTTTTAAAATTTAGGTAAATTGACCTATAGCCGCCCCCTTTGAGCCTCCCTATGGTGAGGGGGAAAAAAATCAAGCCGCACCGCCATCGACGGCAAACCAGCCACACCTAGGTGTAATTGTAAATGTAAATCAGAAAATTCAATTGATTCACCAAAAGTCTTTTAAATCACTAACCAAAATAGGTTAGTTCAAGTTATTATTGTAAATTTCTCTCTTACCCTTTTTGCCACTGTGAGGGCTCTTACTCACAGCGCACGCCACCGACAACCGCCACTAGTTCCATCACCACACCCACCACCCGCCACCACCGATGGACGAAGCGATTCTGACATTCCTCGGGGTCACGGGGACCACCGACGAAGCGGTGGCCCGCCAGTACCTCGACATGACCGGCGGCGACCTCGAGTACGCCGTCACCCTCTTCATGGAGTCGCAGCCGGCGCTGGGAGCAAACGACGCCCAGTTGGCGGAACAGCTCCAGGAAGAGGCGTACCAGGTGCGCGAAGCCGACGCCCTGGTCCACCGCCACGACACGTTGGTCGACTACGGCTTTCTGGGGGGCGCCCTGGGGATGTTCCTGGGGATGAACGCCGCCGCCTCGGGGCCGCAAAGCATGTTTGGCCAGGGCCGGGTGGGCATCTTTAACCAGCGCATGGACGAGGACGAGAACGAGTACTACCGCAGCCGCTTCGGGGCGCTTTCCGACGAGCTGGACCTGGATCTGGACGTGGTCGAAGTGCCGCAGACGCTGACCCAACAGCGGTTAGCGCAATTGTTCCGCCCTCCTTTCGATATCATTACGGTAGCGCTGCTTGATGAGGCTAAGGCGTTGGGTAAACAAGAGAAAAAATGGATCTTGATCAATATTCAGGATCCACTGGAGTTCCAGTCGCAGGTGATGAACCGCGACTTTTGGAGTAAAAAACTGATCAAGGACGCCGTTAAGGAGAATTTCATCTTTTTACAGTACCAGCGCGACCTGGTCAACGGCGAAAACTATGTTAATTTCTACCATATCGACGAGTGTCCCCACGTCGCCATCCTCGACTCGTGGACTGGCGAGAGAGTGCGTAAATGGGACGACGGCCACGTCCCCGACGTCGACCAGTGGCTTGAAGATATCGAAGATTTCCTCACCGAGTTCTCGTTGAACCCGGAATCGCAAAACCCGGTAGTCACTCATAAGCCGAAGTTTGACCCCAACGCTCTCACTGAGGAACAACAAATTGAGTTGGCGATGAAGCAGCTGATGGAAGGGGCGTCTAAAGATACCGCCATTGCTCTCGACGACCCTGAACCCGAACCACAAACCCCCACTGCCGCTGGTGCTGCCGCTCCTAAGGATCCATTTGACGCCATCGACGCCCACGACCACCAGGAACCTAGCGATGGCTTGAGAATGCAAATCCGGTTCCCCAACGGTAAACGGGTCGTCCACAAGTTTGCTGACCTGGAACCGGTGCGGGCAATCTTTTCCTTCATCAAACATATCATTGCCACCGATGACTACGGGGTGGCGTCGGGAGAGCGGTTTATGCTCACCAACCAGCTGAACCGCGGGTTCTCATTCATCGACAACTTGGACACCTCAGTGGCTGATGCTGGGCTTAAAAACGCGTCGGTGTTGGTAGAGAAGGAGTAGAAAAACGGGTTGAGTACGAAAATATGATCATCCACGAAACTTTGACGAGATATATGTAAATTAGTATGCCATCAATGCCACAAATGGTTACACCATAACATCGATAAATATTAATCCCTAAATTTCACTCGGGTTTGGGCCCCGGTCGCGTCGCTTCCGCCGCTGCTGCTGCTGCCGCCGCCGCCACTTCTGCTGAGGGAGGCCGACGGTGATGCGTATTATGAGGTGGCTTGGACACACCTCCCCCTACCACCACCCGCAGCAGCGGCGGTGGTGCTCGCTTTTTCGTATAACCCGGGTGAGGGCGAGGGTAGTAAGTTGTCGGAGGACCACCACCAGTGGCACCCAGGTAGCCAGCACCTGGGTACTCGTCGACGGGGTACGAGTAGCCTCCCGGAGGGTACTCGTACCCTGGCTGAGGCGGCCAGTATTCCTGTTCGTGCGCCATGTACGCCGGCTCCGGTACCAGGTAGTAGGCAGCAGTGCCGCCGTAATATTGGCTGGAGGGCGGTCCTGCCGCCGTCGGCACCAGTGGCGGCGGCGGCGGTGGTGGGTATCGCTGGCCTCCGGGAGTCGACATGGGCACGTAATAAGGAGGTTGAGGCGCATAGCTGGCCAGCAGCGATGGCTGTGGCGGTATCAAATACGTATCGTCAGCGCGACTCGTGTGGAAGGGTTTGAGCGGCTGAGCCTGTTCGATAAGATACTCGTCAGTGTATGCCACTGGTTGCGATACTATGGAGCCGTTCGACGATGGTATCTGGGTGAAAACCAGGGTATCGACAAACAGATCGTAGTCGGTGTCATCGACCAAACTGCCGTAGGCAACGTGTTGGTTGGCGTCTAGCGTGATCACCTGGTCGTGGTCGTAAGGGTGGATGAAATCCAACGGGAAATCTTCATCATCGTCGTCGTCGTCTTCGTCTCCGTCGTTGTCGTTGGCGTTTGCGTTCTCTGGTCGTGGGGGCGGTGGAGTACTGGCGCCAGGAAGCGTCGGTTGAAATTCAGCTTTGATTGCGGGGTCACCAGAGCTGGCAATAGCCTCAACGGCGTCTTCTTCGGTCGTGGCCACTCCTTTAAGCAATTGCTGGTGGCTCATATGACTATTAAGCTGAGAGAATAACAGTTTCAGCTCATCGTACTCAAACAGCAACGCCGGCTCGGCGTGGGCTACCGTAGTCGGCGGGTGGCCCAATTTCTCTTTCTTTAAGTCGCGCTCGAGCGCGTCGGCCATCAACTTATCGTGGGGCACATTAAACCAAAAGAACACCTTTTGTTTCTTCTGGGTCCGCAAACACAGGTTTTTAAATAAGAACTCCAAAAACTCCAGCCGCGGAAGCTCTAATATGGCATCGGTGCCACACTTCAAATTGCGTAAATCCAGAAATATCCCTTCTTCAAACTTCTTGCGGTCGACGATTTTACGGCCAAAGTGCTCGAACTTGTAGACAATGCTGCGGACGATGTCGGTGCCGGTGATGAAGTACAAGTTGTTCCAATACACACACGAGACAAACCCTTCGTCCAGATTTAGGTAGTACCGCCGGATCACCTGGTTCTCCTGCCAGTTGGCCGGGGCGGTCGCCAAAAAGAACTTGAGGTCCTCGATCAACCGTAGCCGCTCGCAAACGGCGTCGCTGGCGTCAGACATCGGTCGTCTGGGGTGGGTATGAAGTATGAGGGCGGCGGTGGCGGTCGTGAGTGAAGCACTGCTGGTTTCACCGAAGCACTCAATATATGTGGACACGCGTGGGTGCTTCTGGTGGAGCTTGTTTCATCGTCGGGAATGTAAAACACACCACGCCCTAGTATGCAGGGGAAAATCTCGGCAAAGGCACGGCCTCAGAAGGGGCAACCACTGCGACTACCAGCTCCCTCATAAAGCTCGGAAGAAGCTCGGACTGTCTAATTAGTATTCAGCTATAGTTGTTTGACTTAAACGTCTTTTCCTTTTCATTGCGAAGGCAGTTCTCGATGGTGTTCCCGATCCCACACCACTGAGTGTCCCGATCCCGCCTCGCATGTGCATGGCGGGAACGCGTTTCAGGTGGCCGCTTCGAAACATCGCCAGCCTCCAGCTTTCGGGTGTTAAGGGTGTGCTGATACACACGCCCCACCCTCATCCCACTCACTTCATTCCCGTACCAAACACCGAACCCACCACCCATTACAATGAGAACTTGACAGTCTCTGTGCCTACGCTCATATTCGGACTGTGGTCGTCCCCTCGCGTCCGATCGTTTAGCCAGGGGCAGTACCGTATAGCAACAATGTGATTTAAGCGATAATTCGGCACCAAAGTCAACGCCATATATGCAACCAGCCTAATATTTTTATAAGCATTAAATTGAAGTGTACTATATTTATTCCGAGCTCCTCCTTGTGGATCTACTTTGGGGAGCTATCCTCTTTGTGCTACCAGGGGTCTAGGTTCAGAGCCCACATTCAGCACATAACTTAAGCAATTCCGTGGTATATAACTCACAATTGACGCCTCTGGTATAACTCCTAAAACCAACACTTTGCCCCTCGGCGATCTGTATCTCGTTTGTTCGTGTTTTTGCGTTTCGCATAATGCGACGTTTAGCTAGATTACATCCAGGCGGAGGCCGAGGCTTCACTTACGCTAGTGTTCTGGAAGGTAACCAAGCTTTGTGTATTATGTTGAACTACTCCCCTCCTTCATACTCGTCAATTGCGATACATAAACCTCAAATTGTCCCATTCATGCTATCGGGTGTTGTTAGTTCTGATCTCTTCGTCATCCATAGTTAGGAATTTTTCACCAATAAACACATTCCAGATGTCGTACCTGTAAAGCTGTTCAATTGTGAGTCCATTCTTCTTCATCGTAAATGTCATGTTCGAATTTCGAACTGCAGTGGAAGGTGATTTTATCTACGTTACCATTCATCATTACAGTTTTGGTGTAAATTTTCAAAATCTGAGGGTGCGATGTTTATTGATTCACTAAATGGGAAAATGGCGAACGGCTCAAAGGCTCGTCGTCATCATCTAATTTTCATCACAACGCGTCGTTATGCTTGTCGTTATTCGTAACTAATCATAGTCCGACCAGTCTTTGCGCGGCCAATAGTCGTGTAACGGCACCAGCGTCAGCGGCACCGCCACTGGCTGCCGCACTTTGGGTCTCGCCGTGCCCCCAATCAGACCCCGTCTGAACGGAGGGACATATTTGCCACGCTGGTCGTCCAGTTGTTGGCGCCGGTGGCCGGCACACACGGCGTCGGTGCCGGCGTCGGTGGGGTCGAACCCTTCGCCAAAGTCAAAGTCGTCGTCTAAGTGAAACACTTCGTCAAGTTCTTCACGTTCGTCATGCAATGCCACTCGCTCCATCTCGGCGACAAGGTCCGTCACCGGCTTCGGCATCGGCAGCCGCATCAGCGGCGGCACGTACTTGCCATTAGCCGGCTTCTGCGGACGGGTGGTCGCCGCCGAGTACAGTTTGCGGCGGTTATGGGTACGGTCCAGGTGTTCCCCTTGTAAGTGGGCCTGGTTGTTGAGCTCAAGCCGGTTGTTGAAGCGCCACAGCCGGTTCGAAGCCTTCTTCTTGGGCTTTTTCCACGTGCGCGCCTTGCGCTTCTTTTGCCAGTATTGGCGTCCTCTGCCTTGGCCTTGGGTCAGGTGAGAATACTTCCGCGGCTTGCGGTTGTCTTGTTGCTGCTGCTCGCCGTACTTGTCCAAATAATGGTTAAAAACCAGCTTGGGAGTGAAGAAGTCCTCCCGGTTGAAGTCACGGTTGCGCAGCGACTTCATGTACAGCCCGTTTTGGTTGTACAGCGCCACCGTAAACGGTTTGCGGGTGTTGCGGACAAACTTGCCACCAATAGGGATCGGCTTTAAGTTGGTCAGCAGCAGCAAAAGGGCGTCGGCACGACGGTTGTGGGGCATCTCACTGTCGTCGCTCAGGCTCAGCAGCTTAGGCGGCAGCACCGAGAACTCGGGGAGCTGCTTGTCGGTGTCGGAGATCGCCACCAGCTTCAGCGTGGCATCGGTCTTAAGCGGCAGCCCTTGAGGACTGAACACGGCCTCTTCGTCCAGCTCAAGCTCGTCTTCAATATCCAGGTCGTTATCGCCCCAGTACTCTTCGTCAATGGTGAAGTACTTCAACGTATCGAGCTCCTGCTTCAAAAGCCCCAAGTCCCGGTTCAGCGGGTCGATGTTGAGGGAGTGGCGCAACACGGCGAACATTTCCCCCAGCATCGTCGAGAAAAAGTCGAAAAGCGCTTCACGGTTGCTGGAGAATTGAATGAATCGTTTGTCAGAGTAGTTCGCCGCCAGGAACGGGTTCTTGTGGAATACCAATGTGAGTAGGATGATCCCTACCAGCCACAAGTCGATCTTCAGGGCGTCGTACTCGGTGATGTCTTGGTCAAAAAGCTCGGGCGCCATGTAGCGCTCCAGGCCAACATCAAACTCGTCCCGGTTGGTGATGATCCGTTCGGTAGTAGCAAGACCCCAGTCGCAAAGCTTAATCAGCCAGTCGTCGGCGATCAAAATGTTCTCCGGCTTCAAGTCTCGGTGGTACACCAGGTGCAGGTGGCAAAACTCGACCGCGGAGAGAATCTGGTTGAACACGTCCTTAATATCGTGGGAAAGGGCGGGACCGGTACCGTTTTGAATTGCTTCGTAAAGATCACCGTGCAGACAGTACTCCATCACCAAGAACGAGTCGAAATGGTCGTACAAGCAAGTGATGTTGGGGTGGGTGCCGAGCCGGTGGTGGATGGCGATCTCCTTGGCCGCAATTGCCAGTAGGTGACGTTTGACCTCCAGGACCAGTTGCCCTTTAGTGGTTTGAGGCAACTTCGCCGGCAGCAGCAGGGTGCGGCCGCCGCCGGGAGGCGACTTCTTGTAGTTCACCGGGTAGATGAACTTGACGGCGACGATGCGGTTGGCCATGGTGTCGTTTGCCACCAGCACCATTCCGTAGGAGCCCTCGGAGAGGTCGCCCACCTTGATGTAGCGCTGGCGCAACGGGGCGCCGTGGTCGTAAGCGTCGAACTCGTCCATCGAGAGACAAACGGGCAGGCTAACGGGGAAGCCCGGGCAGGCGGTGGGGCACGGGTATGAAAGAAAGGATGGAGGTGTACCAGCTCAACGGGACAAGCTAGTCCAAAATGGTGTGAATGGGAGCGCAGGGGGAAGGATGTGGGAAGCTTTGCAGTCGAAGTGGTAAGAGCGAGGGGGGGCGTGCCACGGCGGTGTAAGGTGGTGAATCAGTGCGTGTGATGCGCATGGTAGGGGCACTACCCAGTGCCACCCCGGCGTAGATCACGACACCTACGTTAAACTAAACAAATATTTGAGTAGAATTAGCTTACATTGCCGGTTTAGTTGCTAGGCTGGTGCCACTTGTATTTTCGTTGGTGGCGTCGTGGTGGTGGTGCCGCAACGATGAATCTTAGTGACGCCAAATCTAGTCGGCATTAGTTCTAGTGCGGAATCGGCATTGCCATGTAGGTAGAGATGTACGTAGTCAACGCTTACTTACGTAGGCCGCGACGTCCACGTAGGCTATGTATAGCACACCTATGTCAACATCGTTGCCACATTTCAATAAAAAGATTTGCTCCGGTGAATTACCCCAAATATCTGCCTACTATCGGTAGCGTCTTGTGACCTCAGCATGGTCCACCCAAAAAATCCAACACTTTAGTGTTTTTTTCGTGTCCCCGTGCGGGCCATGACAGTGACTCAGTAGGCGCTCCCAACCCCCACCGCTATCAAGGCAAATTTCCCTGAGCAAATGGGCCGACGCGCTGAGAGCGGGGTTTGGTCCCGGCGTGACTCATCCACTATGACTCTCCACTCACAGCAAGCCGCTAAGACGAAAATCTGTAGGCTGTTAATCAACAACAGACCCACAATTATAAAGTTTAGCTGGCTACATTGTCTTTTTCCTCGTATTCTAGGGATATTCTATTTTTAACGTAACATGTTCTTCCCCCCTTTTTATCATGTTGAACTAAGTTTTGACACGCATTTGTGGATAAGCAGACTTACCAATCACTAACACGTATTCGGTATTTACATGTACATTAGCTTGTCGTTAATCGTTATACAGCGTTTGAGGTATTGTACCTTTTTGGTGTGGATTATGGAGACGCCTGCGTCTCCTTAGGAATCCAAAACCATCTTACGGATTTCCCAATAATAGTCACGGTTGTATGACTTAGCCCCTTCGTTGACCAGGTTAAAGTCATAAGTTTCCCCCACAGAAAACCAATTGTTCACCTTCTTTTCGATCTTCTCTTGCTCTTTCTCAAAGCGTTTCAAAAGGTCGTCCGATAGTTCGAACTCCAGCAACCCGAACGTTGCGCGAGACCCCGACCGGCGGGCGTTCTTGGCTTCTTTACGTGTCTGTTTCAGTGGCAGCGAATCATCAGCGGTCAGCATGGTGAAACCTACCGACTTGGGGGGCGCGGCAAGCTTATAGCTTGACAGCTGCCGTAATATGTTGTGTCGATCGTCCGTGAGATCGGGTATATCACTGAAGATGTCCTCTTCCTCTTGTTTTAAATTGGTCCATCGCATAGTGGCATGGTCTAGCACCATGTCAGATTCAGGAGGGACCATTTGCGAATCGGCGCTGTATTTGGGGATGAAGTGGGGCTGGGGCTGTTCGAATCTGGCCAAAGCAGTTTCATTGCCTTCCCATATTTGTCTTTCTTTATTCAATCTCATGGACGAGAACTTACTCGTCACATCCATATCTTCAGGCATACAGCGGATGGTTTGCATTTTTGTGGTATGATGAACTTTGACAGGTGCCTTTTCATCGAACTTACGGTACCGAGCAAGTTGTTCTTCCTTTGATAAGCGGGTCTTCTGCGGTTCAGATGTAACCATGGAAAGTTTACTTTTCAGTTTGGTCAATCGTGGTGGTTGCGGTGGCTCATTGAGCCGATTGAGAGATGGGAAACGACTGATTCTCTTTTTCACCCCTTCATTGAAGTTGTATCCCATCATCAGGTGGAGTTTCGGGTCATGCGACGCCAGGCGTTGCTTCCCAGCTTGGAGCTTAGCTAGTTGAGCCATTCGCGCCTCAAAATTATCGTCAAACCCAGCAGCAAAATCTTCACCATCATCACGCACGAACTCTTTCACCTGGGTCGATTTGTCCATTAGTTTATCATTATATTGGAGGTTTCTCGCGGTTAAATTGCTGGGTTTTTGTCGAAGCGTTTTGACGGGATCATGGCGGGGTCGCCATTGCAGATACATCTTCTCTTCCTCCTCGGCCAACATAGAATTGCGTTGTTTGACCTTTTTGAAGTTGTTCAACAAAATTGAGCTAAAATCCTCGCCATATTCTTGGTCAACCTCGTCAAGACCAATAAATTCATCTTCGGAGTGTGGTGATGTCACATTTGTTGATTCTTCCAGAAATTCGTCAAGAAGTCGTTGGGAAGGCGGGGCTCGCTTCCGTTTCTGTTCCTGGAGTAACAGCAGCTGCTTCGAGTTTGAACTCAACGTTTCCATCGGCAGCGCGAATTGTGGTAGGGGACCTAGTTCTGGAGTCCCGAATATATCGTCTGTAGGTTCAGTGTCACGAAACTGTCGAAGTATTTCCGCTTTGCTAGACCTCAGTTTATTGACTTGTCCTCGTGGTGATCCCCTCATTCAAGACGAAAACAATGCGAAGTCTTTTCAAATCGCGCCTCACTACCAAAGATTTGGAGAAAACAACAGATCTCACATGCCACAATACGTAAGGGGAAATTCATATGAGAATCTAGACAAGACAACACCAAGAGTCATAAAACATCCGATAACTTATTAGCTTTATCTAAAACAAAAAAAGGTTTCAGAAGTAAAAAGAAGTGTTGCCTTCAGCCAGATTCGAACTGACGATCTCCTCATTACTAGTGAGGTGCCTTACCACTTGGCCATAAAGGCTTCTTAATTTCTTTTAAAAATAGACTTACTATCAGGCATTGACCTTCTGGCTTAAACGTGTTATTTCACGGACTCTTTATCACGCACAGCACAACTAACGTTTTTGGTATATATATGCATTTAAGAGTCTATATATATGGATTGCAAAAGTTTTCAGAGTCAAATCCGTAGTAAACAACTGCAAAACCTTCACAAAGATGGAAAAGAATTTTGTAAAACCCTCAGGGATTACTATAATCAAATCGACAGAATGGAAGTCTGCATATTTATTGGGCTATTATCGGGTGAAGGTAGCCGTTCAATCATAGGCAGCCCCCAACACTCATCTTGATGGAGACCTTTTATCTCTAAAGCAAAAGCATGACAGCTATGACAAATGGAAGTCATGAGCGTGGCCAGTTACTTTGAGTACCAAATTTTTACCGCTAATAAACCTGTACATGTGGCCCATTGTTTGTTCTCTACACTGCTTTCCTACGCTCTTCAATGTCTGATCGCCGAACTGTAAGTTCAGCAGTTCACCATACCATCATTGCAAACCTCATTCGATAGGTTTGATTTGAATAGTGTGTCCATAGGTATGGAGTATCAGTATCTGGTTGATAATTGGACTTGAATGTGAAACTTATATTATATTTCATTACAGGTTTGCATCGCGATAATTCACAACACTTCATCTCGGCTATAATACCGAATTAACTCGCGTTGATTATTGGGGAGTTCGTTGATGACTTTCGTGATCACATTGGCAGTTTGCAGTTCACAATTCCTAACCCTCATCAATTGGGAATAAACAGACACCGAAGCTTGGCGCAATTCTGATGCTTCATCATTGAGATAATGGCGTAAGCAGTAATCGAGGCGCTCAACAAAATCAGCAGTGACAACTTCGGAAGGTGATGGCAATAATAAGGCCTTCTTTAGCATGCTTGTTTGAAACAAGACATTTAATGTCAGCAGATTCGGCAAATCAGCGAGTGAATCGAATATCAAGCCAATAATCTGTTGCACGTCATTAGTCCCATCAAATATATTGTCACCTAACTCATCCAAAGCCACATGCACTTCTTCATAAGAATCGGATAAATCGATTAGTGAGCTGAGCGATTGCCAAAGTTGCTGTAAGTCAAGCACATAATTATTTATGAGCAATTGCCTCAAAATGACTAGACCCCATGGCCGTCTACTTGCTGGTGCAAACTTAAAAAAATTCCACAATGCCAAATCCACATCTGGATATTTTGCCTCAGGACAATCGCTGAGAGCGTTCAAAATAAGACCTACACCCTTTTCATCGATATCGCCAGAACCTAACAGTAAGATGGCGTTCAGTATATCAGGTATATCCAACTCCTGCTCAACAAACGCCTCGCTTATATTGCACAGGTCCAGGAATCGGGTCATCATAAGCGTAAACCAACGATCTTCTCGTTCCACTTCAGTATCTTGCTTCTTCTGCTCAGGTGGATCATTGAAAATTTCAATCTGTTTTGAGCGTTGAACCTTTTTCTCGAGGGGATCCGCTTGTTGAATGATATGACGAAGCAGATCTTCACTAAGCAGCACTTCAGCAAAGTCTTTCACTAATTGAGGAGCCTCGGGCTCAATACGTTGCGAAGTTGAGAGTGATGGTTTTGGGAGGGTTGGCCTGGATGTCGCTGAGGCTACCTTTACTGGGCTCATGACAAAATCCTCCTCATTTGACTCTATGGTAACCGGACGCTCGCCACGAAGAAGTTTTTCAATAAATTTTCGAGAATCACCCAACGCACACAATTCGACATCAAAACGTGGTGCATTGATTTTTTGAAGCTCTTGAAGGAGATCAACAATATTTGCATCCCAAGGATCATCGATCGTGAGGATCATTGAAAATAGTTGACTGACTATATTTCCATATTCTCCTCCGGGTGGTATGTACTCTGGCACCAATGCTCTTAATAAACGAATCAACAGGGGAATGATCAAAGTATTTTTATGGTCAATGATGTGAGTTGTAAGTTCAGGATCAGGTGCAATTGATGGCAGATCGCACCATCTCATCAACTCAATCAAAGCATGCAATACAACATCTTGACCGGAATTCTTCATTATAGCGATGTATTCATCCAGAATATATTCCAGAACACACATCAAACGAATGAATGTACTTATGGGTATCACAGCAGCGAGTTTACGAGGGTGTTGACGAAGTAATGGGAATAGAAGGACGGGAAACTTTAACAGCGCTTGGTAAATAGCACGACCAAGATTGGTACCCATGTCATTCAAGTTTTCATCATTGTTGAACTTCTGTATCAAGCTTTGTACCCCTAGCAGCACTTTACTCGACTGTCCCAGTGTAAGCAACGCTTCCAAAGTCTCCTCGTGATTAACCTCCACAGCGCTTACGTTATTGGTTGATTTTTCAGATGGCGTAGGTGGGTTGAAAAATGGCAGACCCTTCAGTGGCATTGGCACCACAGGTGGTAATGACACCTTTTCACTAGCAGTCGAAGAGTGCTGATCAAACAGTAAACTCGGCGAAGCCTTTGTCTTAAGCAGCGGTAGGGGCTTGGTACTTAAGGGTACTTCGGGAGCGCTGGTAGTGCGATGGAAGTCTGCGGGCTTACGAGATGTTGCTTCCCGACCGAGTCTCGAAGATGTTCTTCTAGATTGTGGCTCCAAAGCTTTGTCTACTTCCAGATGACTAACCCGACGAATGTTTTCGGAGGGACGTCCACTTGAAAGTGAGCGGTATCCTTGAGCAGAACCTGGCCGACTAGATGCAGCCAGGGTGTGACCCTGTGTCCGTATTGCTTTAGCATAGTTAGACGGAATCTTCCGAAATAGCTCGCCTGCTAAATCGGCGCGAACCTCCTCGAAGCTTAAAAACGCATTTCGTGCAGCCTGCCGCACTTTGGGGTTTATATCAGACACAAGTTTGAGAATAATTTCGCTCACGAATTGAGCATCAAAATCTGGTGCTCGCTTGAACTTATCAATGTAAATTTGAAGCCATAACAGCGCGTACAGTCGAGGCTGGTCGTTCTTAAGATTGGCTCCGTGCCGGATGATGCGAGCCACTGCTGTTGGAGAAGTAAGCTTTAGACAAAATACCACTAGCACCATATTTGCATTAGTGTGAGTGATCAATTTCGTGCTGCTACAAAGCTCCTGAAACGTAGGAATGACTTTCGTAGCGAATTCATCTGCAACAGGCGTGTCAAGGATGACAACATCCTTAACAAGTTGGCACCCTTGGGTAGACAACGTAGTGCGGTTCGATTTGACCGATTTGCAGATACCTTCGATGTTCTTGATCACTATGTCAACCACTGTAGGTTGTTGAGCTTTAGGTCCCCGTAGCCATTGTCGCATCATGTGAATCAGGTTATCTCTTAACCGCCAATTTTGCTCCGTTTCTTTGCCAGCAAAGCACGATCTCATTTCCTCCAACTGCGAATTCAATTGGTAATTGTTAATTTCAAGACCTTCAAGTTCCTCAGGGGTATACTTCACATTAGCTAGAGCAATGGTGAGCGACGGTGACATGCCCAGATAAGATGATGAATCGCTTGTGGAGGTGGCCTTGCCGGATGGTGGAATCTTTTCAGAGTCAACCTTCACCGGGGCCTTTGTACGAGGTGGAGTTTTGTGCTGCAAAATCGCAGCACAAGTTTCTGGAGGAATGCTCGAGGACAACAACTTTACACGCAACACGTTCTTTTGTGTATTGCCCAAGCGAGAATACTTTCCCAATAATTGGATGGCACTCAGCTTAACCTCCGCCAGATCTCCCAGCAATAAGCCAACTATCAGGGTGAGGGCAGCGTCCAAAGACAAATCAGGTATCATGCGCAGGTACCACTTCAAACATTGATCAACAACATTGGATGATGCCGTGAGCCCCTCACGTAACACCACTGCCTCAACTTTGGCGGGAACAGCAAGCCAGTACTTTTCCATCGCGTACGAAGCCATTTCCACGCTGATACGTTGTCCTAAGAATTTGATGACTAGAGGAACAACATGCTCGCAATGTGAGCCCAATATAGTAGCAGGAGCCCACTTTTCAGCTATTTCACCAACAATCCTCAAAGAGTCGTTGATAAGTGCTGGCGATTGCCCGATTTTCAAGGCAGCAGCGGCGCCTTCGAGGTAATCGCCTACTTCATCGGATGGTAACAGGTGATGGAGAGTGTGCTGGAGCAAATTACGACATGCCGTCTCTTTGGCAGTCTCCGGCTCAGATTCCAAACCCATCATTCGGAGGAACACCCTGCCTGTGATGCCATAAGGCCTCCTCGTCAGCATGATATGGTACTGTTAGGATGATTTGAGCCGCGTGTCGAGTTCAAAACAGCGCGCGCGTCGCGTGAACTACTGTCTATCCTCAGATGCGATGTATGTATTGCAAATTTGATTGTCAGCTTTAATTTGGGGATGTGGTTCACGTCTTATCACTTGGTTTTGTTGTGGCAAAACTCAAATAATACAACAAACCCTGTCAAAATAATCACCTTTTCTTTGTAGGTTAAGAAGTTACCATAAATCAGATGTGGTGAGTCAAGATCTCTAGAGTCTCCGTCGATACGGGGTTTTGAAGATAAGCTGAAGATGGATAACTGAAGATACGGTGTAAGTTTTCCTCCAAAGATTCGAAATTTACGCTGATATAGTTCGCAACAGCCTCTTCCCAATTTTTGTCCTCGCAATCCAGACCCCTCTCCCTTATCTAATTATTGCCTCAGAAATTCACTAAAGTTAGCTGTGTCGTAAATTGTGAAAGATGTCATAATCCATGTTTAGTAATATCGATACAAATAGCGTGCGCGGCACCACTTGATCAGCATTGCCGTCTTTCCCGCACCCATGGTACGAGCCAACAAGCGGCTAGCGGTCCCGTTGGTGACGGCACTTGTCGTTGTGGTGATCTGGACGATACTGGCGTTGCAGAAAGCGTCCAACAAATACTCTCTGGGACTGGTATTTGTTGATTCGTATACACACTACATGATGCCACAGGAGATGAATCTTCGAGAGAAAGCCGCCCAAACCCTCCGAAACGAAGAGATCGAGGACCCCTGTACGGTTTTACATCCAATCTCCCATCAATTTATCGATCTTCGTGAACTTTCTTACGTCAGCGATCATCAACCCACATCCATTTCATGGCATGCACGAGCATTTGACGATAAACATCGCAACTACACTCTTGGCGTATGTGCCAACCCTTATAAGAATGAAGGAACATTTACCAACGATGTTAATACCACCGCTGTGGGAGCCTACTTCAATAACCCAGATGATGATACTCTTATTCTGATCGGCGAGTTCTCGACTAAACCCGAGTTCCATGGTCGAAAACTCACCTTAACCTACAATAATGGACTGTATTGTGAGAATCTTGTTGATGCCAAAACTGGTGAACGTATACGACGAACTACCGTGCTCACGTTTACGTGCGCTCGAGACATGATGGCTCGAGCTTCGGTACATTTTGTTGCTCAAGCTCACGATTGTACTTATTTCTTCGAAGTTCGCTCTCATCACGCCTGTCCCATGGCTCCAAAGTCAAACAATTTAGCAGCGGTGTTGATATTTGCATTGATTTTGAGTGCTGCGGTGTTGGTCTTGGCCCTTGTTACACGTCAAGCACAAAAGAAAACTGAACCAGGAAAGGCTTAAATATTTATTGGCTTCTGTTTATTCTATAAAATGGCATCCGTGACAAGCCTCAATTAATCCTTTAAACTCAATTTAGAAAATGCATCATTTACCCCAGTTCGTTTTTTATTGCTCCGCAGTGCCAGTTGAGCGGCTTGCTTAATTTTAGTCAACTCTTCATCCTTTTTCACCAAACGACGACCACCGCCTTCTAATTCATAGTTATCCAAAAAGTCGTCAAGCATTTCCTCTAGGTCACCGCGCTCATTGTCCATGTTGAATTCTTTATACTCTTCCTCCTCGTTCTCATTTTCATAGTCCTTATTAATCTTCTCAAAACGGTCATCTAAAAGTGCCAAACCTTCGGTTCGGAAAAGTGCCAGTGACAGCATCGAAAACAGTGATGTATCGGTCATTGCACCTTTCTTTTTGCGAAGCTTGGTTTTGTTGACTTTTTTGTTGGGTATAGTAGGAAGTTCACCGACGGCATCATTCTCGTTTTCCTCCTCTTCGTCAAAATCGTCATCAGAATCCCAGTCATTATGTTGTTTTGTGGACCTCTTGAATTCGGCAAAGTCGCGTTGCCAATCATTAGTTCCACCAACGGTATTACTAGGCATCAATTCTGGATCGAAATCTTCGGGGGCTTCCCCTTCATTGTATGGGTTATCGAACTGCTCGATTTCTTGATGATACTTGGCGTCGAAATCGTATTCATCTGCTTCGTAATCAAACTCATCTTCATCGTCCCACTCATCGTAGTCATCGTCTTCAACCTTACCCGACTTTAACAAATCGTCGAACAAAGCATTACTTTCCTCTTCAACATATGCTTCATCCTCGAGGGCTTCCAAAACCTCGCGCAATCTAGGATCCATGTCGGGTTGGAAGCCTTTGAGTTCTTGGGGAATGTCTTCGTAAATATCATTACGAGGTTGAAACCCACGTGAACGTACCTTTTCATCTGGCAATTGCGTCTTGTCGAACAAGTCCTCAATCTTCAATTTGGATTTCTCAGTCGATGGCTTATTCTCAATGAAGAGATCACCCTCCCCGATGGGTTTCAAATGTTGCATGTAATCATACTTTGAGTCGTCATAGAAAATCCCATATTGAGCGGCTTGCCCTTCATTGCCTCGAAGTTGACCCTCAAGTTGGCTTTCCAAATCTCGTTTTGTGACGATGGCTTCAGGCCCCACCTTGGGTTTGCGCAGAGGCTTTTCCACGAGCACGTGTGAGGTCACATCGTCATCAAAGAAATGAGCATCATCATGAGAACGATGGACAAGTTCGAACGTCTTAGCGTTCTTCTTATCGAATTTCCGAGGCATCACGATCTGGGATGAGCTCTGCGAGTCGCGGCAAACTTTATCCGATAGTGAGTTTCAACTTGACTCCACGATAAGGCAAAAGAAAATACGTTAATAAGCGTGAAGCATCATTGGAGACGTATGTTTTCCATTTCCTATACTTTTCTATTTGACATACCCTGTAGCCTAGCTTATAAGACACCTCCCCTCAAAAGAACGCTTACGTAATCATTTTCTGTGCACTGATCTTATCTTCGTCCGCAAACGATCACACGCAAGAAAATCCCGTCGCGCGCTTGGTTCCAATACTGACTTGCGTGGTTACAGTATGTTCAGGTCGGTGTTCAAATCTGGCCTACGGGCTTCATATAACGTTCTGGAGAACCCTACTTTGACATCCGAACCTTGGCAAATATACCCTGCCAAACACAAGCTGCTGGGACGTCAAGCACTGGTGTTCATTTTCGACAAGACAAAATTTGAGGCTAATGTAAGTCGAATCAACGGCCAACAATCGCCTCGTCAAATCATCAGTGAGTGTTATGAGCTAATCCGAAACTCAATCAACGAACTTCTGAAGCTACGTCATCCTCAAGTGTTAACGGTGCTCGAACCACTCGAGGAAACTAAGACCAAGTTTTTATTTGCCGCTGAACCCGTCACCGATACCCTCGCAACTTTAAACCTTGATAACATCGATGAGCTTACTATTCAACAAGGTTTGCTTCAAATTGCGAAGTGTTTGCAATTTTTACACAACCACGGTAATATTATCCACTTCAACTTACAACCGCTGTCCATCTATATCAATGCTGATGGAGATTGGAAAGTTGCAGGGTTCATGTTTGTTAAAAATCTTGGCGTGATTCCTCCAGGTGAACGTGAAAATTTTAGACTTATGGACAATTCCCTGCCCGTGCCTTTCGCTAACTTGAATCTTCAGTTTGTCGCTCCTGAATTAATTTTCGATAATTCCAACGCTCAACTTGATTTCACAAACGATATGTGGCTGTTGGCTTGCATCATCTTTTACTTGTTCAATCATGGCGAACAGTTAATCGCTTGTTTCGATTCAAGCAATATAAACGACTATCGAAGTGCCTTTAAGAAATTCGAGCAAAAGTTCTATAATCGCAGGCCAGAGGATCTTGGCTTCGTGCTCAAGGATGTCCCCGCGGGGCTATACCCTGTATTCACAAGATTGATGGCTCGCTACCCCATGGATCGTTTGTCGGTTGACCAGTTTATTGATAGCGATTACTTCAACGGCTCCATCATCAAAGCAATGTGGTTCCTAGATGAGTTCACCACGAAAACGTTGGAGGAAAAGCAAATTTTCCTCAGGGCTTTATTGGATGACGAATTACTTGAGCAATTTCCGAAAAAGTTTAAGCAGACCAAGTTGTTACATTTAGCTACTGATCAAGTAGTCAGTGAACTCAATGTGTTGACCGCGGGGCTAATTGATCCCGATGTTGATCAGTTGATTCTGTATTTATTGCAATTGATATTCATCATTGGCAATCTGTTACTGGGATTGACTTTTCAAGATCGGGTTTACGCTGTAATCTTCAAAGGTAATGGGCTGAAAAAGAAAGATTGCGTGTACAAAAAGCTCATAAATCTGCTGATCAAAACTCGATTGACCATTGTTGAGAATTATGATGTACTCAACTCGAAGCTAAATGATCGTGAATTTTGTGATATTGTGCGGTCAATGTTAGATCTTGTTTTCTTGCCGCCCCTGGATGAAGTGGCTCGCAATCAAAATGACCAAATCAAACTACAAGAACTGTTCCTCAAATCAATTCCGACTTTTGCATCCAAATTTGATTTCCCTTACATCAAAAACACTTTATTCCCGATGTTGTGCACAGTATTTAAGACTACGACAATCCTCCTGACCAAGCTTGAAACTATTATAACATTCGAGGCACTTGTGGAGCAGAAGATCGTCGACAAATTTATTGTCGTTGAGCAATTGTTGCCAATTTTCAAAAACCTCAAATCGCGTGATAAGCGTGTGGTTAAGTTGGTGCTTGACTTTTTCAATAAGCTCACGTTGAGTGATCATATTGCCCTCGACTTGGAGAACCTGGTCGACCTTGTTCTACCTCAATGTTTGTCATTGGCCTTTGGTTGTAGTGACTGTACCAAGCAGGAATTTACCCATTTCATGGCAACCATCAGTGCTATGCAGAAAAAGATGACAGAGAAAAAACTTGCACTGCTTTCAGAAGGACGAACTCACGACAATTTTGATTCCTTCATTTCCACTCAACAAATCAGTTCCGGCAAAGACCTGTTGGAGCGTAACCCCAGAAGTGACACTCTCAAGCCTCAAAAACCGTCTGCACCGCTGCGTGGCTCGTCACTTCAATCTCCACAACAATCGCAGCCTACATCAAAACCTCTTCAGCCTCAAGTTCAGGCAAAAGGTCTCCGACTTCAATCTAAAGCTACCGCCGTAAAGACGCTGAACCTTTCTTTCGGAGCTACAAACCCAGCCGAGGCGGCATCAACAAGTCGCATGCTTGATACGTTGCATTCAAACATGGATAACCAAAGTAGCACTATCAATGGGTTCCAAATTTCGACGCCATCCCTGCCAGCGACGCCAACATTGAACTGGTCCCTGGAATCCAGTAAATCGACTAACACGACCAATAATTACACCCCTAATTTTGTGTCTGCTCATTCCTCGCCATTGTCACCGTCTATGCAACCAATGCAACCGTTGACTCCAAAAAGTCGATCTACGTCAAATTTTCCCCCGGGTTTCCAGGCTAACTTGTCACCCATGGTAGCTGAAAGATCGACGCAAAACAAGCCTGTGTATCAATCTGATAGTCTTATTTGAATGCAACGATACAAAGCGACAGCTTTTAACCAGGAATTTTCGTAGAAGTGAAGGCTGCTCTCTAACAATTACGTTCTGTAATCGGCCCACATATTGTTGTTTATTAGGCCATCGATCGAAGCGTGTCATCCCATTATGCACTCCATGAAGCACGTCGTATAGCGATAATCTAAACGATCGTTTACTGCCACGTTGCCAGGAATCCTTCACAGCCACCTCCAGAGAGGAAAAAAAAAAAGAACATCTCCTAATGTCCGCTTATTCATTTCTTTTTTTCACGTTGCGAACGCATTGAAGCCCGTCGGCTTGTTACCTTTTTCGCCTCCATCGTATAGAATCACGTGTTGCATTAACCGACCTCGCCTTTGCGTATACTTATAAATTTTCGCGATCACTGTAAATAACACAATTATCAAGCATGGATATAGTGTTGGAGATCGTGGACTATTACGTCTTCGACAGAGTTTACGCTACAATATTTCCAAAGAGCGGGGCCCTCGATACTTGGTGGAACTCGAATGTCGTGGGATCGCCGTTGATGACTCAACTTGAACTGGCAGCAGCGCAGTTAAAGGAAGCGACACTTCTTTCACCCCTGAATGCTTTCAACACCACAATGTCATTCAAGCTGGCTATCTCCCTGGGTATGCCCTTGAAGGTGTTAGCCAACAAAATTGCTAATTACCAAAATGACGACATATACGGTGCCCCTCGTTACCTTCCGCCAGGTCCCTGGATGGATAAGTCCATGTTTGCAAGAGATAATTTATTCCGTGAAAGCATCAACATGTTCATTACCACTGCAATTTTTGGTTGGTTGCTTTATTTCTCGGTGGCTACAATCTCTTATTTTACTGTTTTTGATAAAAAGATTTTCAACCACCCGAGATACCTCAAGAATCAAATGAGACTCGAAATGGGTTATGCTTCCCGCCTGATTCCAGTCATGGTGTTGTTGACCTTGCCATTTTTCATTTTGGAAATTAATGGTTTTTCGAAATTGTACTTGAATATCGATGAAACTACCGGTGGTTGGTCTGCAGTCTTTTGGCAAATTCCAAAGTTCATCATGTTCACTGACTGTGGTATCTACTACATTCACCGGTTTTTACATCGTCCACTGGTTTATAAACGGTTACACAAACCGCACCATAAGTGGATTGTTTGCACTCCCTACGCACTGCACGCATTTCATCCCGTCGATGGGTGGGCTCAGTCGTTGCCTTATCACATCTATCCAATGTTGTTTCCCTTGCAAAAAGTGCTGTATTTGCTATTATTCACGTTCGTGAACTTCTGGACAGTCATGATTCATGATGGTCAATATTTGTCAAATGATCCTGTTGTCAACGGTACAGCCTGCCATACAATTCACCATTTGTATTTCAATTACAACTATGGTCAGTTCACAACCTTGTGGGACCGTTTAGGAGGTTCCTACCGCCGTCCTGATGACTCGTTGTTTGAAAGAAATCAACTGAAGGACACCGAACGTAAGGTATGGAAGGAGCAAGTTGAACAAATGGAGGAAATCCGTGGTGAACTCGAAGGTAAATCCGATTTCCGTGAGTACGTTGAATCTACTTAACGTTTGACATTAATTCACTGTCAAGAACTTATGTTTATTTATAATGATTGCAAGATATAATTCCACCAGATATGAAATGAGTCGAATTAAATTTCAAGACACTTTTGCTTAGGATGTTCGATTTACGATGCTGACTCAGTTCGGGATTTGCATTTAAAAAAATAAGGTCCTTCGGAGATTCGAACTCCGGTTGTTCGGATCAGAACCGAAAGTGATAACCGCTACACTAAAGGACCAGTTATTTTCTTTTTCTTTTGAATAGTTGTCAGAGGTGTTTTGACAGTTCTCAACCCGAAAAATGATTAGAAAATTCGTTGTTTTCAAGTCTAACTGTTATTTTAAATTTCCCTTTAGATTTCTGCATTCAAGAATGACTGGCTATCACTTATAAGAGCTCTCTAAAAACTTTTAGCACCGCTTTCGACTACGTTTAATCCTCTACCCAGTTATGGAGATTTTTTGATATATATACTTCATTGAAGGCAAACCCTGGCAGGGACCAGGTGTAACCGTTTTTTACAGGTAGATATTAATGCATACTTATAGATAAAAAACTTCCGCGAGTCGCGGGTATGAAATTCTTGATGTTTTTTCTTAGTCGACCTTAGGTGAAGGTTATAAGTTATTTTTACAGACGATAGATAGATACTAAACGCAAGTTTATGAAAAAAAAAAAAAAAAAAATTAAATAACCTCTGAGAAGTCATATGAGTTTTACAGCTATATTCAATACACGTTAATAGTTGAAATAAAGAAGACCGCGAGCAAATGTAATCTCAAGTCACGTACTCAAAATACTTCTCTGCTTGAAATTGCAATCCAAAAGAAAAAAAAAATGATTCTGATCCTCAAAATAACGTCAGCATGTGGAAATAAGATACTTCGTCCACAAAGCCTTAATGCGTGCTTATTCCACTCACTCTTCGTAATTCATCACCTGGCTGGTTTATAAGAGGGCCTCAAAAAAAAACTGACGTTTTTGGTAATCCTAAGTACTGTTCTAATTACAAAGCTGCCCTGCAAAACCACCCAGACGAATTGTTGCTCAAAGACTCTAATGACGAAGCGAAAATGAACGTTGATGTAATTCTACGTTAGAACTTCCTTTTAGTGTACTCCAACATTTTGCAGCTTTTGGAGATTGGTTCATGACAAGTTCAACCAATTCGAAAATTTTACAGAAACGCACCAAACGCTTTGTTAACAGTTTGAAGTTTTCAAAGTTTTTGGCGGTTCACGTACCCTGGTGAAGAATACCGATATAACTGCCTTTTCCAAGAAATTTCGAATAGAGACATACTCCTGGCACCCGCAATCCCAGAAGATGGTATGCGTCCGGCTCAACCTTTCTTGAGAATTAGCGCACTGAGATAGGTTGTCTGCTCGAGTATGTTCCTGGTAACAGCAAGGGAGCACTAGACAAATTCCCTTACATTATTTGAAAATTCAGATATTGTCGCCATCCTTGAGATTACTTCTAGCGACTTAGTATTTTCTGATCAAGGGTGTGCACTTTCTGATTCTCCGAAGTTGAAATCAATTCAATGCCCGATTTTCAGAGTCCTTTGATATCCCTCTAGTCCTAAGAGTAGTCGGCGCGACCTTCACTTACGCCGCCTGTTACGAGTAGCACCATATGGATATTTGTGACAGCGTCTCCATACGAATAGCAGCAAACATAAAGAACGTGTGCTTGCCTTTTTGGGTGCATATTGTACAGCACGAGAAGCTGAGGTATGATCCGCTAAAAAACCCCGAACACTTATAGCACTATCATGACGTACAATCCCAAAGCCAGGAGGTAGCCTCACCGCTACTGAAGAAAACTCCCACATTTACTCCAAATCGACCAGTATCAAGCACAATTTCTTTTAGTACCACATGATTCTTAATTTTGACGGATACCAATCTATAGCGTGTGCAGACTTTCCTTCCGAACAAAACAGAAGAATCACTTTTTGTTGTAGTAGCGAAGTTATCCCTCCACCCCCAATGTGAAGATTTACCTTTCCTGATCAGTCTAACCTTCCTGATGTTTCCAGGAACCTTGATACAGCTGTTGCTCTTGAAGGCGTTTTCTGGTTGTTAAAGTAGATAGCATCCACTGGATTGTACATGCTTGTCAATTTAATACAACGTCAGTCGATGCTTTGAATGATGACACAAGACGCAACTGGGCCATGTCGGTTGACGGTATGATGACCCCTTCGATGACTGCTGCCCGGCAATATGATACTCTCCCCATGACTCTCGCGGTCTTAGTGACCCTCCAAGGCGATTCCCTCCCACACCTCAAACATTCTTAGGGTACAAGCTGAACTTCAATTAGGAATCAACAGCTGATAATGACCCTAAAGACTGTTTGCAAGTGGCATAACTTCTCTTCAACATACTTTGATAATTTTTTGTTGATCTCTGTGATCGTTCGGCGCCCAAATATCATGAGAGAGAATTACTGATAAAAACGCAAAATCCATGAAATTGCTATTTGAATCGAAATTAAACGATGAAAAAGAAAAAAATCCAGTATACCCCAGTTTCCTTTGATGACCACTGTGGAGACATCACCCATGTTATCACGTGAGGGAATCGTGTTGAATGTAACACATCAAAATACCCTGCGAATGAGACTATCCTCTGACCGGTAGACGGTATAGATCACTACTTGAAGAGTATGTTGCTCCACACGCCAGCGAACTGGCCCCTATACTCCAAATATCCGTGTTACTCTTCCAAATTACCTCGTACCTAACTGACTCGGGCTTCTTTTGAGACAGAGATTACCATTAAGACGATTGGATACAATTGTTCAGCCTTTAAGACGATTGTTCAGGCTTTAAGACGATTGAATTCAATTGTTTAGGCTTTACAATATGATTTGCAGTTCCCGATTACTGGTAACCAAATATTTCTCGATACCTGATGTCGAATGACTAAGATCTTCCAGACAGCACTGAGACCAGCAGTATGAGCAGTGCAGATGAGTTCAAATGGAAGAGAGGATTCACGGACTCATAAGATGGATGGTATGTTTCAAGTTGTGGATTCCTGAAAATTGAACACGCCCATAAAAACATGGGACAATGTTGATGTTAGAACCAAACACTCGCTACAATCAAACATACGTTATACAGAGACAAACAAGGTTTGTTCAAAAGGATTTTATCATCAAAAGGAGACCAAATATAACCACCCCCCGAAAGGCTCGTTCATCATCTGGCATTGAATCAGTTTGGCGTACTAAATAAATTGTTTCACCTCAGTTCCCACAAAACATCACAATAAAACACTATATGCAGTACCAAACTTTATTATATGCAGTACACTCCTCGACTGTTTGAAAACCAACAACCAATATGCAGTACTGAATAAAAAATTTGGCCAAATTTCGAGAATTCCGTACAAGGCAACTATAGGTAATTTACGCATCTCATTGATTTTGAGTTCAAATTTGGATACATTATTTGGGAGGCTGTGGCCATCTGTAGTTTCCATATACCTCCATGCTTGTTTTTGCTAAATTACCCATAATAGGAAAGAAACTATACTCAATTTGCTATTCTTGCCACTTTCGTGCGAAAAAACAAGTTATGGCTTGATACTGCATACAAGTTAGACTTTCCTAATTGGTAAAGTGATCATTGGTGAGCTATTTCAAACTCAGCAGGGCTCAAAACAATGAAAAAGTTTTGCAAACAGACGCTGACCAGGGCTCAAAACAACGAGGAATATTGCAAACATCTCCTCACCAGGGCTCAAAACTATTACTTTTTTAACCTATTCTAAGCTGTCGTAAGCTTCGGTTCGGACTTGCAGCCTGTGATTATACTGCCCAGACAACGTAGTTCTTGTAGAGAATATATGCAAACAACAAACAAATACTCGCTAAATTCGTTGGGCTATCGACTTTTGACGGCGCTAAAGTATGTTAGTAGTTTCTTTTTCTTAACCCTTTACAAATATGAACTACGACGTTCTGCGGCGTCTTCTACAACGTCAAACTTAGTTTCCTCTCTATCAGATGCTTTGATGATCTGACAATCGAATTCTCTAAGCGGTAATCATAAATCCACTTCAATTACAGCTGTTGCATTGTATCCATCTATTACACCATCAAATTTGTTAGCTGCACTCAAAATGGAGTGTGAAACCAATAGTTTGAAGCCTCTCAATTTTTGGAAAGCGATTCACGAGCTAGGGTCTTCCGAACTAGAGAACTACCGGTACCCCTTGGACAATTTCCGTCAAGCTAGTGCAGTCTCAGAAGTTTGGATGGAATTTATGCCCCTCTCTCAAATTCTGCGCAGTCTTTGAAATAAATCTTGACAACAGTCTAGAATCAGGAGATAGCCGTGATAATCGGAATCAGAAAAATGAATTCTCAATTAGATACTCGAGATATCTCGATTTGTACAGGGTTATCACGTAAAATCGAAATCTTTGGTTGCAGTAAAAGAGTTGAAAACCACGTCTTTAATAATTTCGATTTCATTTGTGTAAATTATTCATATCGATCGAGCTTTGCAAAGACGAGCATCCCAGGTTGGCTTTCAAATCTCCTTCATAGATGCACTTTCTCCAACTTAAGCTCAGCTCAGACTATCTCGTGGGGCAAACCCTTGTGGAAACTACATCAATACATTTCTGACGAGGGAGCCATATAGAGCAACCCCACTTACTCCCTTAGAGGCAGATTAAAGTCTCAGATACCACCTCTACAAAGTGATGATGCTATTACTCCCAGATCTGTTGTGTTCTCCCTAATACTAAAAAGCTCTCGATTCATGAAGAGTTTTGCATCCAACAATTTGTCAATTGCGGATTTTGAAGAGTGACAGATGATTGAAAAAAATCTTCGAATTAATTTTTCGAGTTAGTTACATACCTATTCTAAATATCTGTCCAATGGTTCACCGAGTACTTTTTCAATCACTTTCACTAAACCTTGTCTGACCTCCAATTCAACCTTCTCATCGTCATCTTCGAGTAGCTCTGCAATATACGGGATCATAGTAGGCAAAAAGGACAACCATTGATCACCCATCTTTTGGAAGACATTCTTCAAAATTCTAATTGTGCAGATCTTCGCTCCCAGTGACGTATCGGGACTCAAATACTTGATAAGTCCATTGATCAACGTTTCATTATAGTCATCACTTGATACATCAGCAACGAACAGAGTGATAGCCTTCACCAAGTGCTTTGAGCCATCTACCTCGGCATTCTGGATTTGATCCAAAAGTGGTTGGCAAATAGCTTCAAATCGACCTTGCTGAGCCCAATAGTCATCATTATCAAACTTGAATGAGGATGTCAAAGCATTCAACACGATCCGATGCAATGTATCATTCTTTATTGAGCCTTCCGCATATTGAGACAATAATTGACTAATGGGGTCAACAAGGTACGAAAAGTACAGGGTGATAATGCCTCGTAATTCATCCTGCAATTTCACGAAAAATCGAAGGAATATTTTGTATCGGTAAGCTAAGTCAAGACTCGGTGTAGCATCTTCCCCATCTACCATCCATCTAACAAGCTTCACAAAAGAGGGTCTGAATGTTTTGTCATTCAATTTCATGATAAATTGGATGACAGTCGAGAACACTGAATTTTCTAGGCGCTGTACTGTATTCACAGGGAATACTGAGTCTTCCAAACCCCCAAATTCGAATGCATTAATGACCCACTTGAAGAAGTTGCCGGCATTACGAATAGCCTGTTTCTTTTCAGCTTGTTGAACCGTGTCATCCATAATTGCTAGATATAGCCCAAACGCAGTAGCGTCTTTCGACTTTACCACTGCAGGCCAAATAGCACAGAGCAGCTTGAGAACATCAGGAGGGTCGATATGACTCAAAACAACATGGAGCATTTGCTTACGAATTTCGCCGTCAATTGGATGGGCTCTAATTATGGCCGCGAGAATGGGTGAAAGTGACAGAACCATAAATTTGGGGATATGCTTCACCATAGTCAGGAATAACATGAGAATGGCAGTGAGCACCAACGTGTGACTCTCTTCATCCTCAGACTCAATAATGGATTCCGCCATCCGAATAGCTGGGGGTACGATTTTCGGGAAAAATCTTATGCATCCGACACCCAAGGCAGTGACAATAATGCCAATAGCATTGCACAGAGCGATGACCACCTCAGCAGAACCCAAATTAATCAAGTTGGGTGTCATGAGGTCCATTGCATCCAACAATTGCTTGTTTTCTGAAATTGTAACCAGTTGGACGATCGTTGCAAATGCATCAATGTATGCTTGCTGTAAATCCACAGGCATTTCCGATGAAAACCCTTTAGAAAGGACGGGGAGAAGTTTGTGCGCCAGCGCCAGAGCTTGTGCATCTTCTTTCGTAGTCAGCTGCTCAAACCGTTTACCCAACAAATGAGCATAATTTGTAGCCAAAGAAACAGCCACTTCATCTCCTTGAATCTGTGACGGTTCCAACAGTCCTATCACAGAATCAACAAATTGCACGAGAGGCAAAAGATCCAAGACCTTGGTCAACAAAAGATACGCGTACTTAAGAATGTCCTTGTTTGGGGTCACACTCGTAAAAGTATCAATTGTCGTCAAACACCAACTAGTGATGGCACTGACTTGATCGAGTGAAAATTGACCGCTGGATCCCTCAGCAACAGCAATGTTGAGGCGAAGTTTAAGATCATCAGTGTCGAGCTCGGTGAAGAACTGAAGTAATTGAGTTTTGAGAACAACGAGATTTTCGGTATTCATCAGGGCAATAGCAACACCGAATGCCAGTCTATTGGCAAGAGACAAATACTCATCACTACCCGAAGCGATTTGCTCATTTGGAATCGAGTTCCACAACTCCAAAACACCATTCAACCCTAACAACTGTTCTTCCGCACTGAAGTGTTGCAAATATTCATTCGCAAAGGTCGAAAACAGCAGACCTGACAGTTTAACCTGCTGTTGACCAACCAAGAATAACATCAAAGGTAAAGCAATATTAACGCCGAGCGTGTGACTCAAGTTAACAAAAAGGGACACGCGACGGTGGTGAGGGATGTGATGGAAAGTGGCAACAAACAGCGTAAGCAAAAACTCAATTTCCAGAGACACCAGAGATGGTGACAGTTCAATCAAAGGCGGGACGACAGTTGATATGGTATGCAAAAGGGTCAGCTGGGAGAATTCATCATCTTGACGAACTGTTTGAGCTCCCATAAAAGTGAAGATGGGCATAATCGAATGCAACACCATTTCTGGAACAATATGAGCCAATTCGGCAATCACCAAGAGCAAACGATTTTGTAATTGTGGCGACTCTGCATTGCGCAAACAATTCACAATGACGTCCACCCGGATACCTAAATCCTTGATTTCCTTTCGAGAACCTTGCAAAACAGCTAACATCGATTGGACCAATAGTTCTTGAGGATACAAGATGGGTAAATTTCCATCGTGGCCCAAAAGATCGAGATCTGTCAAAATGTCAAACAACGGCTCCAAGAATGTTGCTGAAGTTGGAATTCTATGGGACTTCATTCCCAGAACCACCGTATCTAATACAACTGAAAGTTTTCTCAAATGCAAAGTGGCTGACAGCTGAGCATCACCGTTAGCAAGCACCGACTTTGCAAACGACAGCGACCGTCTCCGTCGTTTGGCAACAGTAGGTTCGGAATCCGGCAACTCGAGGTTCACTGATTGAAGGGCATAAACAACCACAGGAGCCTTCAAAATCAATTCCTGGAGAACACTAGCGGCATCAACATCACTAGTTTCATCAACTGCCAAACCAACTAGTTTGGAAACAATGAGCTTTTCTTGGGATTCATCAAATACGCCGTGATTGAAAAGCGAAACTACACGTTTGCTGACCACGCTGTCTAAGCCCGTAACGCTCAACGACTTGAGCATCCACGAAACTTCCTCATCAGTGACATCACTTGGGCCTTTCCCACCCACCATAGAAGCAACATTGGTTTCAACATCCTCAAACTCAATACCAAAAAAGTTTGCGTCCTCAGTGTACCTTCCCCGGTTGGTATCGTAATTGACAACATCGGTCTCATAAAAGAACCCTCTATCATCGCTGCCATTAAGCAGACGGGTGTTTTGATGACCCATTATAGCCCAAATGAGATACTTTATAGGGAGCACGAAGGGAAGCGACCATTGATTCAAGATGAAGGTTTGATACAACACACCAAGCTTCAGAACAACAAATAAGTCGTCAAATAACACCAGAACGACCCTGTAATGATCAAGTTCCATATCGTTGATGCTCGGTAAAATTCTTTTAGCGAGACTTGAAGCTTCGGCAGGAGGAAGAATGGCTTTGTCCTCCGCACTGACATTGTCATAAATTTGATCCTCACAGACCAACACAGGGTCTTCAGAGTCCTTTCCAGAAATAGTGTAGTCACATACTTTGCGGAGGAGAGCTAAAATCGAGTGTCTCACTTTGTCATTCTCATCGACGCTACCAGCGATCAACACAGGAATGAGCAAGTACCACAAAGACCCCTTCTGCTTCGGCATTAATTTTGCAATCACGCTGAAACAACCGAGACGAACTTGCAAAGGAACCACAGGTGAATACCCAACGGCGATGAGAAACAGGATAGCAACTTCATATTTCGTATTGAACACCGTTTGAGAGAATTGCTGGATACTCTCTGTGGCTTTTGATTCAGACGATGCAATAAACTTTATCATTAGCTTCATGAGCGAAACCAACTCCTTGGTGGCAGACGGTGCGAAAAACGTCTTCGAAGTGAACGACACTGACGAAATGTTGACAGCCTCATCCATTGCATCAGAAGAAGGCACAACTTGTTGAGAGTGCTCAACTTCAGGCTTGCTTGATCTGAGAGTGGTTAAGAGCTTCATTTCCGCATCTTCAAGTGTCATGTTTTGTGATTCAAGAGCGCTCGTGAATTTGGCTTCGTCTGCGGAGAACAAATATTGAGCCACTGCAACTTCATCCAGGGATATAGCTTTTTGCACAGCAACCTGGAAAAAACGGTCAGACGATGTTAAACCGATCAACTTGAGCAGCAGAAGTGACCCGGTGGAGAGGAACAAAAACATGAGGAATCTTTGCATATGATATTCCTGGGCCAATAATCTCTCCATCAACTCAAAGTCCACATCACGAAGGTTGCTGAGCACTGAATCATCAAAGTCAGAAAAGTCACCCGAATAATAGTGCCACAACTGACCCAAGATTATGTAGGTTTCTTTGATTAGCTTCAGATCGTATCCGGCTAAGATCAGACTAGTAATACCTGAAATTATGTCCGTTGAAAGTGGTACAATGGTTGACACAATTGCGACTAACAGAAACGCCGAAAGTTTGTGATCAGTCTCTTTTGAGTTCAACAATTTCGACACAAGAGTCAACACCAAAGTTAAGTACTTGTCAGCAACAGTTGAAGGGTCCTTCAGAATCAGAGCTAATACTTGAATGGTGACCAGAACATAAAATCCCAACATTGCCAGGTACATCGTACCATTAGCTAATTGAAGTTCAATCTGGCGAGTGTAAGTTCTCCACAAATCATAGTCAGTGTAGAAAGCTCTCGAAACCGCTTGCATCAGTGGGTTAGTGAGTTGGGGTTCCTTGAATCCATTGAGCCAGCTAAATAACTCAGGCATTTGCGTCTTAGGGATGACATTCAACACTTTGAGGAATATCGAGGTATTATGGTGAGGTAACACCAGCATGAGGAGAGCTTCAGGCTCATGGATATTAACGTAAAACCGGCGGATCAACCACTCTAGAGCTTTCACAGCGGGGTTTAATTGGTAGTAAGGCCCCAACAATTCCATGAATGCACTTAAGGTTGACTTCAAATGGGCAACCGCCGTTTGGTCTTCGACGTCACGATCAGTCTGAATAGACTGATCACTAAAGATCGTCGAGCCAAATTTGACAAAGCGCTTGTCGATATCGCAAAGTTCATCAAAACCTTCACGACCCACCAGGTATAAGTAATCATAATCCTGGGTGGCGGCCACCTTTGGGGCAAAGATGACCGACCGCAGATGAATACGTGACCGAGTTTTCCGGTCAAGTGCCACTGAAGCAGTCTTGTCAGAGATTGCCTTCAATTGTTGGCTCAAACTCGACATGTTGGGGCTGCGATGAGATAATGCTCGCTGTACTGAACCTTTTGTTAGGCCGCGATGAGGATAGGACAATGCTCATAACGCAGAAATATAAATGCAGGGATTGTAAGAAGAGAAAAGCGTGGATTTGAAATCTTCAAATATCTCCATGTATTTTTGTTTGGTCTATATCTTTGAGTTTCATTATCTTAACTAAACACTGTTGCAAACCAACGCCGCCATTCCAGGGGTGTCAGAGCGAGCTTCCACCTTCGCTGCAATCTTCCCACCAGTCTTAGCCAACCTGACTACAGCAGCAATCTTGCCACCGTACACGTCCTTACCCAACAACTTCACTACGTGCGACGCAGCATCTGAAGGTACGTAGTCGGAGCCATCTAAAGGCATCATAGAAAGTTGATTCTTGAGTTTTGTGACAACTTCATCCAAACTCGATGCATTGATGGTGACAACGGTAGAATCCAGATCAACGGAGAGCTGGTCGTATACAGAAGTGAAGTTCGAATTATACAACGGAGTAACATAATCACCAGACAAAACTTCCAAGTCCTCAATTTGATACTCGTCGGAATAACCGTCGTCAGTAACTCCGTCATCAACCTCCTTATAGGTGTAAATCAAGGTGTTACCAAATGCTGCCAAAACTTCTGCGTCTTCTTGATCAAGCAGGGGTGCTGACAATGCCACGTAAACCACTCCTTGCCCGTTGGGGCCAATTTCGGGTACAGGGACGTTGAATTCGACTTCGTAAGCAGCATTGTCTGATTCCACGACAATAGACACATCCTCCAATTGACAATTCGAAAGGGTGTTGGACACCTGGTATTGAATGACCAACTTGGACGCGTCTGCAAAGACGTGTTTGACGGCAGTGACAACAAATTCGTTCTCTTTTTCCGTCAAGTAGATTGGAGTGGACAGCGACTTAGATAATTTGCCAAAGGCAGCAATCTCAGGAATGGCAAACAATTCAGCTTCGTACTGCTGTTGCTTGAGAGCATCAGCGGCGGCACCGTTGTCGGCGACAGCGCCAGAAGGTCCTTCAACCGGCGACGCTTCTTGAGTGGTATCAACCGCCTCAAGTTTGTTCATCTTCTTGGTGTATTCCAACAGTTTCAATTCTTCAGCGGACAAAACGGGAATCTCATCAATGGGGAACTTGATTGTAAAATCATTTGTCGACAAATACAGCGACAACTTCAGCTCAAGGGCACCGAGGTCGTATTGGCCATCAGATACCAACAATTTTTTGGCATCGGGAGCTCGTTTCATCATACCAAGAGCAATAGCAGCTCGATCGCGGACTTCATCGTCGACATCATTAAGACAGCGAGTCAACAATGTTTTGATGTTGGCAGCAATAGAGCCCCCACATACGATAGCAAACTTCGAAAGCGCTACAACCGCCAGCGACCGCACCACCGAGTTTTCAAGTACCAAGCGATTGTAAATGTGGCGAATATAATACGAGGGGTTGGAAGTTTGAGGGCCTTGCTGCCCGAGTAAATGTAAAATGCGAACCAGCAACTCAGTGTACTCGCAGTCCTCAATAAACTCACACAAATTCATCAAAATAAGTTGATGAGCCAGCGAGTCGTCCAAATAAGCAATCAAATCGAAAAGCGCATCGACCACAGCCAGCTTAAGTGTCAACAGCCCATCTTCTCTCAACAAATCGGTAAGGAATGACACCAATTGTTGATGCTTTGACGGGAATTTGAGTGTCAAATTTTCGATTGCCTCGATGATGACGATTTTGAACTCCTCAGTGATCTCGTCCATCAACAATGTCATCTTGGAGATGAGACGGTCCACCAGGGCGGTGGACAGAGAGCTACCAGCGGCAGAGCTCAGACCCATAGTCTTGAGAAGAGTTGTGATTGCGAGAGTCAGAATCAGACGGTTTTGATCGTTAATCAAATTTTCCAATTCTGGCACCACGACCATGATCTTTTCGGGGTGGGACATCGAAATTTTGTTGATCAAACGGATAGCTGCGAACCTGGTTGAAATCCGTGGTACCAGCAATAACTTTTGCAAGCAGGTGATTATGCTCATGAATTGGTCTTCCAGCAAGTGACGCTCAAGACCGACAAGAGTCTTGCACGCTTCCAATTCTACCATGTCCAGCTTGTGCTTCAAGAACAGAGCAAGAGCAGGGTACAAGTGATTTAACAACGCCGGGTCGTTAGTGACAATTTCCGAAATGTACCGAATCAATTGGATAAGGGCCAACGAGTTTTTAAGTTGGCCACCTTCGGAAAGCGACGTCACCAACTTCATCAACCCCATTTTGTCATGATTACGTAATGGGTGTAACAATCCCAAAGCGTGGAACTGATACATGTACAGTGTCAGGGGCAAGTTGGCAGTGGACGCGCCGTAAAAGTCATGAAGCTGCCATTGAGTAGGTGGGAACTGCTTGTACAGTTGCACAGCTTCCAACAGTTCATTTGTGAAGCGCTTAACCACATCTTTAGCTTGTGGTAATAAGTGGTATGCCGAAATGAGCGCCGCACTCAGCACGATGGGGTTTTTGTCAACAATGGCATTTTTGAACAATCGTTCTGCCAGTGACACAGTGGTAGAATCCAAGACCTTAGCAAGCGTGCGGATAGCGTTGGGTTTGTAAATCAAGTCACCTCCTTGGATGTCCTTCATGATCAGCGACGTAACCATCAAGATATCTTGCGAAGTTTCCAGCAACTCCTTGATGGCCAAGTAAACCAACTGCCGCAACAGCAGGTCCTTATGCTGAAACAACTTCAGAATGCTGAAAAACAAAGTCGTCAGTTCCAGCAGAGGAAACAGTTCACCTTGGTAAAGAAGACGCAACAATGTTGCCAACAATTGCCGACATTTCTTCGCGTTCACCGGCAGGGCATTGAACTGCTGAAGACACTCTTGGAAGACAGCCATCTTGTCAGGGGTACCACCGACCCCCGCATACGCGTCCTTGCCTTTGTAAGACTGAGTGGACATGGGAAAGGTGGATAAAAGGAGACGTGGCTGTTTGCGCGCGTTGAAAAAACCCGAGCGGAGGTGAAAAACTCGACGTTTCGTCACGTGATGAGTCTTAGAGCCGCATCAACCAAATTAGGCGATCTCTTAAGGTGAAATTTACTCACTCACGATCAACCAACCATGTTACCCCTTCTAGGTTTGCGCAATATGCCCTTGGCGTCACGGTTGATGGCTATACCGAGAGTGCCGACGCAGATGGTTATGCCGATGGCTCCTTCGCTCACCGCTTTGCGCACCTTTAAAGTGAGAACCTCGGTGAAGAAGTTTTGCAACGCCTGCTATCTTGTGAGACGACGGGGCAGAGTTTACGTGTATTGCAAGGCTAATGGCAAGCACAAGCAAAGACAAGGGTAAGCAGTCGAGCTTTTGAAGGGTCGTGTATATAGTCAATATTCAATTTACGTGATAGAATTTTTTTGACGGGACCGTAGAGACAGCAATATAATGTTTGATCGTATAGAAGAGTTTACAGAAGCGGTTTACGTAGACATGTCCAAACTTTTACTAATTTTCATATTGGGGTATACGATTATGAGTTATTTCGCAGTTTTTGTAATCGGTAGTCATGACTAGCTTACTTGAAATTACTTCATGTGAGAGCTATGATCACAACCCATTGATTTCGAGCTAACTTCTCCTAAAGACTCACCATGATTTTTTCTATTAGGCTGTTATCCGATTGACTTCGCGCACTCATGACCGATGGAGCTCATCGCAAGGCCTGTGATGACGATACCCAGGACCTTATACCAACAATGAAGGGACTTCAGAGTCCTCGTGACGCTGCATTCAAACCCATCAACATTATCAAGCGGGTATCAGAGCATCGACCAGTAACGGTGGCTGGCCCCATGGTCAGATACCTGAAGCTCCCCTTCCGAGAAACCTGTCGCCATTTCGGTGTAGACATCGTGTATACACCTATGATTCTAGCACGGGAATTTGTCAGAAATGACATGGCTCGGCTCTCTGACTATACTACCAACCAACGCGATCAATGTGTGGTGGCTCAAGTGGGTGCAAATAATGTTGAAGATTTTGTACGTTTTTGCGACATGATCCACCCATACGTCGATGGTGTCGGTCTCAACTGTGGATGTCCGATCCGAGATCAAGTTAGAGAGGGTATTGGAGCGGCATTGATGACGAAGCCTGAATTAGTTGCTGATATGGTGCGTGCGGTGAAGACCAAATATGGCGATAAGCTTTGTGTTGAGACTAAAATTCGCATTCACTGGGATTTAGAGGAGACGGTGAGGTTTGCTAGAGGTGTGGAGGCAGCGGGTGTCGACTACATCACGGTGCATGGTCGCACAAAGAACACACGCTCGCTGGTTCCAGTGAATCTTGAGGCAATTAAATTGGTCAAATCATCAGTTTCGGTGCCTGTGATAGCGAATGGAGACTGCTTTTCCGTAGAGGATTGCCAGCGTATAGCCGAGTACACTAAGGTTGATGGAGTGATGTCAGCACGAGGAGTCTTAGCCAACCCGGCGTTATTCGCTGGCTACAAAGCTACTCCTTGGAGTGCGATCGAAGTACTTTTGGATGCGGCGTTGGCGTACGGGCTCAGTTTCCGGTTACTTCAACATCATGTGTCCCAGATGGCAGATAAACTTCTTCCTAAACTGTACATGCGCCAGCTTCACAGCCTCAAACTGAATATAGAGCTAATAGACTGGCTCGATGAACATTTCATTGTGCATAGAAAGCACGATCCGGGGTTTGGTACAGCAGTAGCGGTTCCATGGCGTCCTGGGAAAGAACCGCAGCCAGAGCCGGAATCACAAGGCTGAAGTTCGAGGAGCACGACTACCTATCCCATAATTCCCTCCTGTCACAAGTTGTACCTGCGGGGACCTTAACCGCATCGCATGTAGCCTACTTTTGGACCAAGGCCCATTAATAAGCGATCACAATACGCCATTGATCAGCAAACTTTGAATGCAACAGCATGCTCTATGTTGGTACAGAGACGCATTCTCATATAAAACTTTCATACGTCATAGATAAAGTTCAACGATGAAGCACAACTTGTAAGAAAGTAAATAATCGCAATTGCTATTGAGATCTTCCATGGTCTGATTGAAAACTTAATCCGATTTATCTCTGTCTCCGCTCATTTTTCATCTTAGCTGCAATCTACGTGCGCACGACGCCCACTGGAATACACTGTACGCGTCGCGATGGGGAATGGGCATCACGCGTATCGCCGCCTCATTACAAATTTGTAAACAATATGCATTCAACAAAAAGGAGAACGCCATACGAAACGAACCCCTTAGACAGTGTGCTACTTTGGGGTAGCTTTTAAATTGAGATTTTTTTATTATGAACCAAGTAGTCTAAAGTGCACTTAACACCTCAATGTCCTCTTGCGAGGATTGAACACCCTCGGCTAAAGAGATAGTCTTTGCATCCATATCGAACATTGCGTAGACCAGCTTCATAAACGAAGCCCCAAGAGTGCCCAGGGACTGTTGAAAGATTGCCAAAATGCACTTATCCTCGCTCTTGGTAATGAAGTTGTCGAGAGGTACTGTCACCTTGTGAGAATTATTAAATTCAAAAGTCAATGAGTGACCAGCATTTTGAAGCTCGCAAGGAAGTTCGTAATACTTACCTGCAGATGATGAAAACTTGACAGGAGCATCAGGAGCTATGGCGGTGATGATCGCTCTTACTAAACCCGGCTTCATGTAGGTAAACGTGGAACCTGAATCTAACAACACACTAGCGTCTCCACTCATGGTGATATTAGTATGGGCTGCTTCCTTACGAACGCCAATCCACAAGCCATCATCAACATATTGTTCATCATATGGCTGATCACGACGGAATAACGACCCGTACCGCAAAAATGGAAGCTTGTGGTGTTCATGTTTGGGCAGGAAGATGGGGCGAAGAAACTTGTTGCGGAAGCAGCTAATAAGAATATCCAATCGACGTTCCCAAGCGACATGGCCCTCGCCCACTAGGCCAATCAATCCCGAAAAGTCGGGTGGAGATTGCTGGAATTTGTCATCAGAAGACTCGGATTGACTGGAGCTCCCAGTTGGGTGTGCCACAGCTAGCGAAGAAAGTGTAGTGCTGTGAGGAGCCTCTTCCTGAGGGGTAGTGGATCTTTCGGCAGAAGGAGTCTTGGGTGTGGTCGCATCCTGAAGAGCAGAACTCCCAGGAGCCTTAGGGGTAGCGATTTTTGATTGAGCAGGAGGAATATGAGTGGTGCCTTGGTTGGTGATGGTAGGTGAAACTTGCGTAATAGCAGTAGTGGGATTTTGTTGCCCAGAAGAAATAGTCACGGTGACTGTAGGAGTAATGGTCGTGATCCCCTCAGTGACCACAGCACACAGGCTCAGATCGTGGCTGGTAGGTACACTAGAGGAAGTGGATACTTCCGTGGGACCAGTAGAAGTTGTGGTGGTTCCAACGTCAGAAAGGGTTGGCCACGAAGAGATCAGGTCACCGGAGCTAGAAGGGTTCTCTAATTCGGATAATGACAGGGAATCCACTGGATCATCATGAGTCAGGAAGGTTGTGCCCAGCAATGACGTCTGTGTGTCATCACTTGACGCAATGTCGGAAGAAGTGATGATGTACGATGAAGATTCTGTGGAAGCTTCACCAGAAGCGGAGGCACTGACAGATGTCGATACATCACTAAAAGATGATTCTTCAACAAACGGGGAGACGTCGGCTGTGGAAGAAACTTCAGTAGATGACGCTTCAGTCGAAGACGACGCTTCAGTCGAGGAAGACGCTTCAGTCGAAGACGACGCTTCAGTCGAGGAAGACGCTTCAGTCGAAGACGACGCTTCAGTCGAGGAAGACGCTTCAGTCGAAGACGACGCTTCAGTAGACGAGGAAGCTTCAGTGGAAGAAGACGCTTCAGTGGAAGAAGACGCTTCAGTGGAAGAAGACGCTTCAGTGGAAGAAGATGAGCTAGAGCTGGAACTGCTGGAGCTAGAGCTGGAGCTGGAGCTGGAGTTAGAGTCTTCATCAATAGCGGTGGCATTATTGAAACTCAAACCAGTCAACATCACCCTTTGTGACCGGTAAACCCCTTGATCATCAGGCACTACCGGAATCAGCTTCAATTCACCTTTGTATTTGGCATGATCAATCGCCCCAAACAAAATGTGACCAACGGATGACGTGTCCTGAGGTGTGTGCAAAGAATATGCTAACCGTTTAATGTAACCTTGCTGCTTCATCACTTCAGGAATGGTGGGGTAAGGCTGAGACGCCACCGATACCAGGGAGTACGAAAGACCAAACACCCCAACGGTGTTTTGGTGCGTTTGTCCTGCCACCCCGAACTGGGCTTGCTTGAGAGTAAGTCCGTTGGTACCAACTGTCAACGTGTCTTTGCCAAACAGTCCCGCTGCCCACAGTTGATCAACGTATGTCATGTTGAAATCGACACTAGTATCTTCAAAAGTCAGCGACTTAGACTTATCAAACATCCCAAACACCCCACATGGCAGCGTACCCCCGTTCACAGCACATTCAGGGGAGTCAGATCCCACAAGGAATAAGTCAGCCGAACCAGAGTCGACCAAAACCTTGATTTCCTGTGGTGGCGTTCCCACCTGAACTGTGGTGATGAAATATTTACCTTGATCCCAAACGTCAGCTTCCAACGTGTTAGCTCGCTTCAGAATCCGGTGAGCTATCTCTTTGAGCGCGGCACTGGCCTCAGGAATCTTGTCGTTGAGAATTTCCTTCCAATAACCCTCAAACTGTGTATATAGCTGAGAGTCATCAACTGTGTCAAACAGCATTTTGGCGAACCCATTGGCATTTGCAGCCACCAATGCTGCCAACCCAAGGAACGTGGGTACAGTGAAAAGCATGGTGATTGAACGAATGTAGGAAAAAAACGAAGGGACGGAAAACTAAGTTCCAATGGTAGACCGGCTGGGGATAAATCGACGGTGTTAAATGAACGGCGACACGGTTTTTTTATAAATTTGACGGCATGCATCGTGTAAAATGGTACACGCACCCACGTCATGCAGCACTCTGCCCCTGTTGTGATGCACGGCGAAAGGGGTAAACATTCTACTGTTCCCGTAAGCGACTTGTACAGGGCTGCCTAACAGATGCCGAACAAACAACTACAAAGAAGAGGCTCGGCTTAATCATGTAACTCGAGATTGATGTTCGCTATTATTAGCAGGGGGGTGTACTTTCTATATACGAGTATTATACGTGTGCCCTCTACCAGGGGTTTTCTTCGAACTCACTGGCTAGATTGGATGTCCATGTCCGATGAATAAGAGAATCTGGCATTTGAACGTTCTTGAAAATTTCGTCCCCGTGGTACGTATTGTCGCTGCCATTTTCAGTATCGAGCTTTTCGCTGTTAGTACTGTCATCATCGCGTTCGGCCTCGTCTCTTGCCTCTTCACCATCTTTATCGTAATCGTCATCTTCATCTTCATCTTCCACCTCTACAGCATTTCCATCGTCCACTTCGTAGGCTCTAGCCGAAGCATTTTCTTGAATGATTTCATCGACGTCGTCCATCAATACCATGGGCAACAGAGGTTGGTACTTTTTACCACGAAGAACTCTCACGCCACCAATACCCAGGCCAAACCGGTTTATCATCTCTGCTAGGTTCGGTAATGCCACATCAAAAATCCAGTTAGGATTGAGATAGATGTATTCCTCCTTGGTTAAGAAAGTTGTTTGAGTCATGTAGTGCATGTGAGATGCCTCCACTTGCGCCGGACCCTGTTGAACTGATAACTGCTTGACGTATTCGCGAAGCTTCTTCGGCAACTTGGGTTCATCCACCTCATACTTATAAAGTTTGTTCATCACCTTATAATATTGGTAGTAATTGAGGTCATCAAATTGGTTAAGGGTTGTAATCAAGAACTCCTGATCAGTACATGACAGCATAACCTGGAGCCATTGTAATAGTTCGATCAACGGGTTGAATTGGATTTTGCCCACCTTGTACAACAGGTTGTAATAAAAGTCTAAGTAGTGAGGGTCCATTCCAGGGTGTTCTGCATCGCCCTCCTCAGGCTTGAGCAATGAGTTTATAGTGTGGTGAGTTCCATCAATCAAAGCTTCAATCCCACCAATGCGATTTTTCTCAGCTTTGAACAGATGCGTACGCAACCAATCCTCAATCGCTGAAAGATTAAGTCGAATCTGTACAGCTTTAGTTCGAGTACAGTACTTCGACAGCGACATGATTTTGTTGAAGATGGTGGCATTCGAGTAGTAGAAGACCTGAGAGAAAGCCATCATTCGAACTATGTTATCAATGTTATGAATGCGAAGAACGTAATCAAGGGCACCCAACACTTGCAAATAACGTAATGGCAGCGGCTTCATTAACTCCGTGATCAGGGGCGGGTACAACATTTGTACAATGTCGTCAAACAGGTTCGGATGCTTCTTTTTCTGACGGTAGAAGTTCCAGTCACGAGCGTACATCACCTCCTTTACGTCCACCAACAGGGTAAAGTCCAAGATGCAAGAGTCGACGAGTTTGTCTAAGCGCAGGTTGATCAGGAACAGAAGTACCACAACCAACAGCCGCGTCATCATGATGAGTTCCTGAAGAAACTTAGGGTATTTGGGATAAAAATGGCCCTTCATCAAGTAAAAATGAAGAAATTGGATCACCGCCAACCAGTAGCTGGTCAAAACAATATCGTGGCCCCCGGTCTCGATGAATGTTGCCATATTATAAACTCCCAGTTCGGTGTCGGTCACGCTGCTCAACCGAGTGATGAAGCAATGAAATATAAACTCGGTAAACTCTTTCGATTGGACCCCTTGGTCTGCGTACCGCAAAAGTTGGAAAAGAATTGCTGCAGGATACTTTGCGTCGTGCTGGAATTTGGTATGCTTAGTGCGTAGGTTGAACATGTAGTCTAAGAGCTGTGGCATGTCCAGATCGGTGAATTTGATATATTCGTCACGAGCTAAACTGTCATAGTCAAATTCTTTTAATGCAACCAATGTGTGATCCGTGCCGAGGTATTCCTCCAGATCCTCGTCAGGAACCAGTTCTTCATCGGAAGGGTATTCCACCGTTGTTGGCGATAACTGTGTCTGTGCCAACCGAGAAGAGATGTCGTTAAAATTATTATCTTCTTGGTAATAATCAGCGCCGCCGGAGACGGGTCTAAGAAGACCATGTGTTTGGAAATAATTATAGATTTCCGGCTTATCAAGTTTGACAAGATCAACGGGACTCAGATTCTGGCCTTCCGGAGTCAAATGAGGGTCGGCTTGGTGCTCTAGAAGTTTTTTCACGGCATCAAGGTTATCGAAGTGTATAGCCCACATCAATGGCAGATAAAACACTAAGGTATCAGCAAGGTCGGGGTCTGCCCCCGCATTCAATATTCTTTCGATAAGCTCAGTATGGCCAAACACAACCGCCGCGATCAACGGTGTAAGTCCACCTTCCTCAGGATAGATGGCATTGGAGATCTCGGGGTGTTTGCGAAGAATTCCTTCTAGCAGAACGATATCGCCATCTGAAACTGCCACGAGAATCTCGGCCGTCTCTCGGTGAGGTCCCAACACCAGAGGCGTAGTTTTGAGGGTGAGCTTGAGGGCGGTTTTTGCTGCCTTGGCCTTGGCGAAGAGCGGGTCTGAGTCGGCGAATATCAGCCCCACCAGCGTGCCAAATCCTCCACTGAGCCCCAGGCTGAGCCCAGAACCAATCCAATCATCCATCGCCGGCGTGTTTTTTGTATTGAGGGGAGGGGGATCGCTGTTCGGTTAAACTGCGCGAATTGAGTTATTTCGCCGTGACGTAACGCGCGGAAAAAGGCTAGCGAAAACTGAGATAGTCAGACTCGTTACTCGATGTGGCGCTATCATCGATTCGTGGCAGGCGATAGAGAATAGCGGTTACTGAGTGTTTTTGATAGGCTAAACTTGAAAGATAATTCAAAGTTGAAGCGCGGTGGACATGTTTGGGTAGGATATAGCCTCACCAAGCGTTTTCAATTACTTGACAGTAACAGTGGACGTCAGAAGTTGCAAAAATTGATCAAGCTCCTTGCTTCGTGAACACTTTGATTTTCTGGAATATATCCAAAAGCTTACCCCAACTAAGCCCGACCATCAAGTTACTTTGTTACGAATTCGGTCTTGAATCTATAAGTGCCACACTTCCATTCTTCAGCAGTGTGCATCTTTGCAAACTTGTGAAGACTGACAATATCTCTGGAAAAAGACTTCTGGTTGTTATATCCGGATCAATCCAAGGATTAAGAGAGAGAGAAACTAACTCGAGATCCTGACTGAACAATTCACCCAAATAATCCAAGTATATTTGAGGTGAATTTTGACACTGGTATGTTTCTCATGAATATCAACATGCATTTCAATGTGCTCTGATTACAGACTCCAAAAATTACATGACAATTGATGAGATATTCCTGTGCTCTATGACAGTTGATGCGATACGAGGGACATACAACCATGAATGCAGTCCTCTACATTCAGAGGTATGGGGAAATTCGAAAAGGGGGCCATCCCATGAAGATAGGATACCTTTGGCCAATTTTCACTATTTCTAACATACCAATGTGACGCAGCGAGAATATGTTCAATATGTCAAAACTTGCGCAAATGTAGGGTCTTTTAGTGTAGCGGTTATCACTTTCGGTTCTGATCCGAACAACCGGAGTTCGAATCTCCGAAGGACCTCTCTTTTTACGTCTCTGTAGTATTTCTACTTCTTAAGAGCTTTCCCCTATGTTTTTTTTTTTTTAGTTTTGCCAATTTATCTGGATTTTATCGTATTGTGCGTGCAGACTTCACTCTATGTATACGTGTATACTATGATGTCGTTCGGTAGGTTTCATCATCATCATCATCATCAGCATCATGATCATCATCATCAAGTACTTCCGGTTCCTCGTTCAGTTCCTCGGCGGTTGGTTCATCACTCAGATTATAATCTTCTCGAATGCGTTCAATTTCGAGATTATCCCTCAGAATAAACTGGGTGATCGGTGGAGGAACAGTGACAGCAACCTTCTCATTGAACAGTTCTTGACTGGCATAGTATAGCCACATCAGTACATAAGGGTCGCGCGTGCGTTCAAGCACGTAGGTGTGCATGGCGTCAAAACTCAAAAGTTTAACGTCAAAGTCAATAACCCGACCACTCAGAGTGCTCAGAACGTTGATATGAACCCAATTTTCGTCTTCGTTCAGTAATGTTTTCTGTCGGTAGAAGTATTCGCTATCCGAAAACACAACACCAATCAAAAGATACTCTTCTAAGGCAACACCTTCAACATGGCTTAGGAGTACATCGCGGTGGTAAAAATTGAGACCCTTCAACTCCTTTGTAACCTCCTCTACCAGCTGAAGAAGCTGATTTCTTCTATTGGAAACGTTATCGCGTAACTGATTTATGTCATCAAGCTCCGTTTTATGATCACCGTCGCCATAAGTCTCTTGCAAATACTCTTTTGTTTGATCCAACATGCCGAGGATACTCCGCCCCCCAAATGCAGTCACGTCAATGATAGGTGCTTCGAGTGACGACCTGTACTGTTTGAGTTCCTGTTGCTTAGTATACACCGATTTGAAACGATCAGCACACTTTCTCGAATAGATATCCGGGTAAAAATACTCGTCAAGACTAAACGGTTCGGTGCCTGGATTGGCTTCGCCCAACTGGAAGCCCATCACTGGAGCACATTGGCTTAATCGAATCGACCCAACGCTATCAGGTTCTGACCAAAAGAGTTGTGTCATCAGATCATAAAGATTACCCCGACGACTCTCACCTTCAATGGAGAACAAACCCAATGGATTAGACCGATTGTCCGTAATACTCTCCACTGTAGAGAGGAACAATTGGTCGATTTTTGACGACTTCCCCGTCAAATGCTGGATGTTATTGTCGAGACTGGTAACGAACTTCACGTAGCAGTCGTCCACTTCCTCGATAAGACCAAGCTCGCGACAGAAATCAGGGGGATAATTCGTTACAAGCACCTTATTGGTGATGAATGCCCGCTCGGCCACCGAGGACGGGCCGGCGACAGCTGAGATCAATTGCAAGATGGTGACAAACTTTGCTGCTGCTACCTGCAGTTGCTTTTCGTATTGTTCAGTCGGGGTAATGGTGATGGGGGAATTATACCACCGGGATGTGTATTCTGGCACCCCTCCAGGAGCAACCATGAGAGCTTGCTGGAACCGGTCCAATTGGCTCATGATCAGGAGGAAAGGTAACATGTGGTTATCAAGCAATCCCGTCACCGTCGGGATCACCACTGTCAGCAACGGCAGCGTCTCCGGTTTGGGGTAGTAGTCCTCATTGTCGATGATCGAGCGGACGCCACTCTCTCGTGGGGGGAAGTTGGGTATATCTTCTGGATTCGAGATGGGAACGAGGTCATCGTAGTGGTATCGATCAGGGAGAGGTGGCGGTGGCGCCTGGTGGGTATGATCATCGGTGGGGGGAGGAGGATCGTTGCCTTCATCATGGTCGCCAAGGAGAAAGGCAATGGCAATCTCAACGTCGTTGTTGCTCTGCTCAAGGGCTTTCTGGGCTTCCTCAGCAGAGAACCCCATACTCACGATGGAGCTAATGAGTTCATCATTGATCATGGCCAGGCGTGATATGGCTGTAACCGCGCGCGCGTGCTAAGGTATTGGTAATCCTAGGGCGATCACCTTTATTTATGAAGCTAAAGAATTTTTTGGAAAAGACTTTAGTGGATTCCGTGTTTCTTTGAACTGAAACTAAGCTCATGAGCAACGATTCCAACTATAAGTGTACATGATTTATTTGCTCCGAAGTGATATTTAGGTTACCTACATGCGGTGTGAAATTGTGCAACCCCATGCTTGAGTGGCATGTCATGGCTGCTAGGAGCTTTACTGGAATAGTAACTACTTGTCGTGCAATCTACGCAAGGCCATAGATTTGTGCATAGGATTTGAGTTGGTGTGGCACTACTCACGATTAATGGTGACGATGAAAATGTAATTTACTATGTGCAAGATGATCGTTAGCAGTGTTGACTGGCGTACGCGTGAACGAGAACGGCGGTGGCGGTTTGAATATTCATCAGTCGAATAACCCCGACTTGCTTGATTTCAACACACATGTCCAATTCCGCAAGCAAATGGCCGGGGATCCCCTCGCGCTCTTTGCCCAAAAGGAACACCAGCTTTTTGGGGAACTGAAGAGCCGGTGATAACTGTACTGACTGATCGGTTTGTTCGAGCCCAATGAGGGTGAATCCCTCGCGTTTCTTTTGTCGTAAGAACTCGACAATGCCGTCGATCTTGACCTCCGTGATCGGCATCCAGCGATCGGCAGTAACCGCAACACTCTTGAACAGAGGATGTTGCTTGACTCGGATATCGTCCACTGTCATCAAGCCCGCGCCAAGAACATCAGACAACCGACAGATCCCCCCTAAATTGGGCGGCTTGTCGACTAAACTGGCCACCACCACCAAGTCGCTACGTTCAACGTCGCTACCTTTGTCAGATTCAATGTCGACAAATGTCGACCATGCCCCACTTTTGGTTTGGAGCATGGTATCGTTTTGGGTAACCACATTTTTAGTGACGTTTGGCTTTTTGGTAATGATCCACAGGCCTTGGTCTTCATCACCAATGGCATGGCGCAAGCGAGATTTGTGGCTTGGCAGAAGAAGGCGGTGGAAGTGGTCGGAAGAGATCCAATCGTACGTGTCCCGTTCGCTGGTCCGTTTCATCACCTCCCCACTGATTGAAGTCAAAGTCAAATTACAAATGTCCCAAAGCTGGGCATCCCCGGGGCGATAAGTCTTGAGTTGGTGGACTTGAGCCACGGAGTCGTAAAGCCCTTTTAAAACTACGCGTAACAGTTCGTCAACCTCGAGACGCTTGTCGTTCACTTCGGCGTATATCAGGCAAATCAATGATAAACTGAAATGACGAATCAGCGCCTTGTTCGAGGAGGCGAACGTAATCACAAGCGGAACAAACCGTTGGTATAATTGTGATTCCTCTTTAGTGGACATTTGTTGAGCGGCTAAGAAGAGAATTCTCAAAACCCCGGTGATTTGTACTGGAGAGAGGGAACCGTCGAGGATACGTTTGAAACATTCGTCAACGGTGGCCGCGTCAGAAACGGCATGGTATGCAATAATCCATTCGAGGTAAACTCGGACCCACGGCAGGGGTTGGGCTAAGAGGTAATCAAAGTACTCCAAAGGATTGAAGTCGGCCAAATCGATCAAACTGACGAGGATCTGGTAAAGCTGAACTCGGATGCGTTCCTCGTTGGCATCAGTTTTGCGGTCAACCTTGACAAGATTGTATTCACGCTGGTTTTCCCAAATATGCTGGTAGATCGAGTTTGCAAATTGCGAGGATAATTTGGTATTGAATAACGCGAGCAAATACACGCGTGCACTGATCTCTTCCTCGCCATAAATCTGTTGATACCACTCATTGGTGTCGATATTGTCAGTAAGTTGGTCAATCATTCTCGGCAATAAGTACTCAAGCTGGAATTGGAAACTAGTGCCCTGGTCAACTAATTGGGCTTTCACCAAAACATCAACCGCCCATTCAAGTCTGTCGACACCCTCGAAGTCGAGGAAAGCCCGCGTCATAGCAGGGAAAATGCATCTGCGTCCGTGGCACTGTGCCATGATCAGAAAGCAGACTTGCTTCAAGGTTTCGGCAAGGTCTGAGTTTGCGATAGATTCTTCAAGAATTGGCGGCAGCAAGATAGTTTGGATCAAAGTGGTGTGTAATTCTCTTTGAGTGAGTTGCAAACGACTAGCAACCATATCAAACCAAATCTCAGCAAGAAGCTGGGCAACCTTTTGTTTTGAAACATAAGGAAGAATTTTGTATGCAATTCTCACAATAGCAAGATTCGCATCCCCACTGGCTGAATTGGATGTGAGAGCCGGTAAAACCTTTTCACTCAATTCGGGGGTGACCTCCACTTTGTTCATCGATGCTGCGAAGATCTGCCAGTAGTCTCCATCGATCTTATTCCGCAACTTGTAAAAGTCACTCACTTGTTTTGCCACCTCATCTTCGTGGGGAATAAGGGCGAGACCAATTAATAATTCAGGGTCTAGTTTAAATGATGAATGCGGGTAAAGATGGGCAAATAATCGGAAAAGTAATTCACCTTTCTCAACGCCAGCATATGTTTCCAGCGCTAAACAATTTACAGCAGACTGCCAAAGCTTAGTCAAATCATTGGGGACAACTTGAGGGTAACTTGCAAATTGTACTTCGGCCAATTGTTCAAGTTGAGAATCGTCTGTCAACCCATTGGAAAGATTCTCTTGAAGGATATCCAGATCAAATTTCAGAGTGTGGATACCCGATGCTAACACAGTTGCCAAATCTGATGATGATACTGGTGTTTCAGTGTCAACCAAAACCTGTAATCTGGGGTCAGTCAAGGATTGATTCTTCAAAAGAGGACGAATTTCATCAGCTAAAAGAGCAATGATATCCCACCGGCCGAATGTCACCAACATCGATTCAGTGTCTTCGCTCCACTGGAACTTCATGAGCAATTTGAGATTAAGGGTCTGAAGGGCTCGATCGTACATGGGGGTTTCTGCCTGGTGTCTCATGAGCAGGGCGAGCGCCTCCCGGTGAGGAGCCAATGCTATCACGTTCAGTTTGAGTCCAGCGACAATGCCAGCAATGGTGAACACCCGGGTGGGGTCATACAGCTCGTGGGATTCAGCAAAGTAAGTGATAAGCGGGAGTACCAACGTTGGCTCTACGGAAACCGCTCGAGCAACAAACAGCTGCCACAGGTCGCCGAAGGGACAAGTCATCAGCGACTTATCGATGCCAAAGTGACTAGCTTGAAGGGCGTAGGGAAGAATGGTCTGTTTAAGAATTGCATCCAGCTCGCTAAGCACTGCCAACAGCTCTTCTGGAAGCTGCAACAAAAGGTCCAAAGCGAAACGTCTAACATTATCAGTAGTAGCTCTCAACCCCGTCGAAAGTAAACAAATGCCCCATCTTGGTTTCACAAGCGAGCCGGGAGCGAGAAGCTGGATGATGTCTCCCGATGCCGCCTCCGCTTGGTGAAGCAGGGTATCCAACGCGACGATCTCGTAGTAAGTGATAAACCGACGCCATGAGTTTTCGTAGTTAGCCGCACGGTCAGGGTGCCAGACCATGTAGTCGTTGTCCACAACAAACGTGATGTGATGAAGTGAAATTTGAAGAATTGACACGCAGTAACGACGGTGTTCAGCAGACACTGAGGCTAAACCCTGGTATAAGTTATGCCAATACTGATCCGAACAGAGAAGCTCTTCCATAAAACCATCTTTAGCGAGCAGGTCTCTTCCGTTGATGAAGCGAAGCCACTGAAGGTAGCCTTGAGTATGGTGGAAGGGGTGAATACTCGCCAAAAGACTGGAGATAATATGCCACAAATCCTTGAACGAAACCGTCAATTCGCTCATCCGCCACCGTAAAACATTAGAAGCTAACTTCACTGTGTTCTCATCGTTATTACCCAAAAGCATCAACAATTGACGGTCGAGATCACTTGCAACTTGAGCGTGAGAGCGCATAAAGTGTTCAAGAAACCGTAAATATTGAGTCAACGTAGGTTGGTCGTGGTCGTTGTCATCGCCATTTTGAGTGTTTTCCGATTGAAAGTCTGTAACGAGATTCTCAAATCCAGGAGTCCAGTTCCGTGGCAGACGCAGCACCAATGCGGCGATGGAAGCGTCCACATTCTTGACAAAAGCATCGGCTAGGCCAAACTGGATGAGTAAGTCGCATAACGAGTCGAATCTGTCGGTGTCGTCATTGGCAATCGTCTTGACAGCGAAGTTGAGCACGTCATCTCGATGGGTATCCAGCGCTTCTTCCGCGACGAGTGTGGCGAGTTCGACGTAATTTGGGTCCGACAATTTGGTCACCGCATCATCGAGGATGCTTCGCTTGGTGGCACTGTCTAGATGCTGGAGCACCGCTGCCGTGGGAGCCACCATTTGGTGTTGTGGGGTGCGATGGTGATTTCCGATGAGATCGGCGAGGACATAAAATTTAGATCCACCCATAGGAAATTAGTAGGAGATTTTGAAGGAAGTCGTTGATGATTTCAAAATCACATATATGTCGACTTATTCATATTTGGTAGCAAAAGTTAACGTCATGATGGACATTTTGGAAAACAATTAGAGTGAACTAATAGGCTTATATTTAGCATGAGAGCTGCAAGGGTACGTCACATATAAAATTCGTAGGGAAGAGTGAATTCAGAGTTACAAATTATGTGTTGGAGGTAGCATTTTCAACAAAATGTGTCGATGCTAACAAATCGCAAATTATTGAGAGTTTTGTGTAAGCCATATACCGGCGCGATCTACTGGTAGTGGAGAGCCACCAGCGGTAGTCAAGGGGTTCGACTCCAGCAGCTCGCTTTCGGTTTTCTTGTCGTTGTTGCCGAATAACAACCAGCAATATCGTAAAATCGTCGCAATCCGTCCCAGGGACGACGGCACTTGGGCCATTTTAACAATATACATATCCCTGAGACAACCGAGCTATGGCTTAGCTAAGACTATAAGTATGTCTACTATCGGAAGGTATAATTTACCACTAGTACTAGGCATCGCTTGCGGCCGCTTATTGTACGGTATCCCCCTCACCATACTGGTTCACATAATCGTTTCCACCGATTTTCCGAGTCTACCCTCGTAAATTAATTCTCATAACTGTGCCAATGTTTATCCTGGCGCAATTGTCGTTGCTACCGGAGATCGCGGGGTTATCGCGCGGAAAATCTTCGACGACCAACGCGACCAACTAAGACGTGTCATCATGAGGTAAGTGGTGGATGGGTTGTGATGGTGGCGGCCATCGATTTTCAACCGGAGACTAACCGCTAGTGGAAAGTTTGTTCGGGCGAGTAAATATCGCCATGTGTTTGGCCAATCGACGAAAAAGGAATTGTGTTACGAGAACCTCAAAATCACCAAAAACGCCTGGGACTCTAACATCATTCAGGCCAACAACGACTACCTCTCGGTAAACTGGGACGCCTCCGGCGGTGGTGCCTTTGCCGTGATTCCCGTCAAGGAAGTGGGCAAGGCTCCCGACACCGTGCCGTTGTTCCGCGGCCACAAAGCCCCCGTCACCGACACCGCGTTTAACCCGTTCAACCGGCGCCAGATTGCCAGTTGTGCCGACGACGGTAAGATCTGCGTGTGGGAAATTCCCGAGGACTACTCGTTCCACCGCTACCTCGACGACAACGACGAAATCAAGGACATCACCGAGCCGCTCAAGGTGTTGCTGGGCCACACCCGTAAGGTTGGCCACATCCAGTACCACCCGTGTGCCGAAAACGTCCTTGCCCTGTCGTCGTTGGACTACACGGTGAAGATCTGGAACGTGGAGACGGGTAAGGCCGAGATCACTTTAAAGCACAAGGATCTCGTCACGTCGTTCGCGTTCAACTACAACGGGCTGTTATTGGCCACCACCTCCCGTGACAAGAAGTTGCGCATCTGGGATATCCGCAAGGGTGAAGTGATCTCGGAAGGCCCGTCGCACACCGGGGCGAAGCCGCTGCGAGTTATCTGGTTGGGTAACACCGACAGAGTGTTGACTACGGGTTTTGACCGGTTGCTGGATCGTCAGATTGGGTTGTGGGATATCAATGCCATCGACAAAGGTCCCATCAACGGCTTCCAAATCATCGACGCGCTGTCGGGGGTTTTGATTCCGTTCTTCGATGAACTGTGTCTGATCCTTTATCTCGCCGGTAAAGGTGACGGTAACATCCGCTACTACGAATACGACAACGACGTGTTACACGAAATTTCGCAGTACGCGCTGACCGACCCGCAAAGAGGGTTCGCTGTTGCCCCTAAGAATGCGGTTAATGTCAAGGAGTGTGAAGTGGTGAAGCTGTACAAAACCGTTAAGGATCTGGCAATCGAGCCCATCTCTTTCATTGTCCCGAGAAAGTCGGAGTTGTTCCAGGAAGACATCTACCCCGATTGCCCTTCGGAAAAGCCCGCATGTGGCGCCGACGACTGGTTCTCGGGTAAGGAGATCAACGGCCCTGTGCTCATGAACATGGAAGCCTTGTTTGAAGGTGAAGAACCTGAATTGAGAGATTCTGATCCTATGGTGAAGGTTTCGGAAAAGAAGGCCGAAGCGGAGAAGAAGGCTGAAGAGAAAAAAGCTGCTTCTGCCCCTCAATCCCCTGTCAAGAAGGAAGAACCCAAAAAGGAAGCCGACGCTAAGGCTAAGGATTTGCCTGAACCTAACCCCACCGTCCCTAACTCGGGTATGCCTAAGCTTACTAATGCCGAGCTTGACGACTCGTTGCAATCGTCGGAGAAGGTCAACTCCATGCTTAAAAAGGTTGAGGACAACTCTGATGACGAAGTCGAGGACAACGACGGTTGGGAAGAAATTCCCAAGTCTACCAAGAATGTCGCTGCCAACGGTGAAGCTAAAAAGGCTGATGTGAGCGCAGCTAAGGAGGAGCCTAAGAAGGAAGAACCCAAGAAGAAGGAAGTAGCCAAGAAAGACATTCCTGTCAAGGAAGAACCCAAGGAGGAGCCTAAGCAAGAAGAGCTGAAGAAGGTTACCCCAACTGAGGAACCCAAGGTCGAAGCCACCAAACTGGAGTCTAAGGTGGAAGCCAAAGAGACCAAGGACGAAGCCAAGGCTATTGAGAAGGAAGACACTAAGGAACTGACAAAGGCCGCCACTGATAGCGTTGACGCTAAGCCTGAAGCGGAAAAGTCGAAGACTTCGAGCGCTCCTACGCTCAAGCAAACGGTGGAAAAGCTTGCCCAAATTGCCGTGAACCTTGAACAACAAATCGAAAAGATGGCCCAGGCCCAGTTGGAAAAGGACGACAGATTGGCGGCCTTAGAAGCCCGCATCGAGCAATTGATGAAAGGCAACTAAATCATGAAAGTCAAATGAATGTATGATGTCATAGTAAATAGACAATGTTAAGGTTTACTCAAAGCAGATAGCATCATTTAGAGACCGAAAACCATGTCACAATTGGGGAAATAAGACTTTCGTACCTAATTTCACCACCAAATACGATTCATTTAAGTGTTTTGATAATGCCACCTTCTAACCAGTTAGTTCCCAAGTCATATACATCAGCCTCAAGCTCAAAGCAGTGATATTTCGCGAAGTGAGAATTCGCAATTTTGAAGTTTCCTTATATACCTTGGTGTTGCTCCCAAATTTCAACGCGCATCAATGGTGTAGTGGTAACATTTCACTTTCCCAAGGTGGAGCCAGGGGTTCGATTCCCCTTTGATGCAACGCGCTTTGTTTTTCCACGTCATTTGAAGCTATATGTCGTCTATTCTAGTGACTAGCTCTATTGTTTAGTTTTTTTTTTTTTTTTTTTTTTTTTTTTTTTTTTTTTTTTTTTTTTTTTTTTTTTTTTTTTTTTTTTTTTTTTTTTTTTTTTTTTTTTTTTTTTTTTTTTTTTTTTTTTTTTTTTTTTTTTTTTTTTTTTTTTTTTTTTTTTTTTTTTTTTTTTTTTTTTTTTTTTTTTTTTTTTTTTTTTTTTTTTTTTTTTTTTTTTTTTTTTTTTTTTTTTTTTTTTTTTTTTTTTTTTTTTTTTTTTTTTTTTTTTTTTTTTTTTTTTTTTTTTTTTTTTTTTTTTTTTTTTTTTTTTTTTTTTTTTTTTTTTTTTTTTTTTTTTTTTTTTTTTTTTTTTTTTTTTTTTTTTTTTTTTTTTTTTTTTTTTTTTTTTTTTTTTTTTTTTTTTTTTTTTTTTTTTTTTTTTTTTTTTTTTTTTTTTTTTTTTTTTTTTTTTTTTTTTTTTTTTTTTTTTTTTTTTTTTTTTTTTTTTTTTTTTTTTTTTTTTTTTTTTTTTTTTTTTTTTTTTTTTTTTTTTTTTTTTTTTTTTTTTTTTTTTTTTTTTTTTTTTTTTTTTTTTTTTTTTTTTTTTTTTTTTTTTTTTTTTCTCGTGGATTTTTCACAATCGTTCATACATCATACATAAAGTTCACGCGACGGCGTAGCCCGATGCGTACGACACGCTGTGGTCGGCAAGCAGCTTCGCCTTGTTGCTTTGCGAGTAGCCGATCCACTCGATGCCAGTGCCGTGGAGAAGTCTCAACAATACCAGGATGGGTTTCTGGCCACAGATGGTGTTGCCCGTCTTCTGGATGTAGCGGTCCCAGCCCGCCGCATCCCCTGAGCTGGCGATATCCATCCCCCGCCGGTCCAAAAGCTCAATCAGCTTGTATAATGGCATCCCTGGAGGCGACCCCGAGCGCAACGACGTCAACGGCGCGTCCTCCACCGGACCCAGCGGCCGGTCGGCGATGTACTTGGTGTAGTCAAACAGGCGCCCCCAATGGCAGAAGTCCAGCAGCACGCAGAAGGTGTTTTCCGGGTTAGCAGCGTAGGGCTCAAGCGCCGCCACGAGCGCCAGGCACAACTTGGCGTCCATGCTTGAGATCATGATGGGAATAATCTTCACCGACGGGTGCTTGTAGTAGATGAACGGGGCGTGCATTTCGAATGAGTGTTCGTCTTCGTCGACGTCCTCCAGCATTTTGCGGAATACTGGCAACTTGGTGAGTTCGTCAACGACTTCAGTATCGACAGCAAGCCGTCCTAACGGAGTGTCGTAGTAGGCAAACGGCAGCACCATGGCCACCCCCCGGTAGAGCACGTGGTGGGAGGGGCCCAAAATGAACACGCGTCGAGTGGAGTGGGCGTCCCAGGCGGCAAACGTCTCCGCCAACCGCTCGCCCAGGTAGGTGTAGCCCGCGTGGGGCCCGACGAGAAACCGGGCCCCAGGGACCAGCGAGTCGCCCACCACCAGCAGCGCTTGCTGGAACAAGCCGGCGAGCTGCAGTTTAAGCTTGTGCTTGTCGCTGGTGTACCACGAGCCGGCGTGGGAGGCGTGACGAACACTCATATGGGAGTGGCGAAATGAATGAGACGAGAGACCGCGGTGAGCGTGAGGGTTGGGTGGTCGAGAGAGGGTGGGGTGAGGCGGAGTCTCGGCAGAGACGGTTCCGAGCCGGGACACGGAGGTGTCAAAGAGAGGCTGATTCTAGACCTCGAAGAGTCGGCGATAACGGTGAGGGTACAAATCGGGGGGCCCGCGGTGAGCTCAGTATAGGGGCAATAGGGACCCCACAAACGTAACTTGTTGAGAGTACACATAGTATTGATTAAGGCAGTTGCGGTAAACAAATAGTTTTAATTTGCTAGCAATTATTATCAAAATATCTAAGACATTTTTGCTCTGTACCATAACTATTGATGGCTAAAAACTGCTATCAGGCGCACTAGCAAGGGGGTTGTTGTCCCTACTCTACTCCACAATCAGTGACGTCATGATAAACAATTCGCACCCGTGCTGCAAAATACAATAAACCGATTGATGAGTTCTTTTCTGCCTAAGCCTATGTTTGAAATGCTTGTCTGGGTGGTTGATCTTTAAATTATATGTATTGTTTATTATATCGTAAATGTTTCTTGAGCTGGGACTCACCTGGCATTGAAATCTGTCCACTCGGTCCCTTTGTAATGGGGACTGTCTAAGTGGGATCCACCGGTATTTCACGAACCCAGCTCAAAATTTTCGTATCTATATTGTATTTCCCCAGTGTCTTCTATAAGCACACTGCCTCTTGGTGGATATGACGGGCTATACCAGTGAGGTATGTTTGCGCGACTCGCCCCCTTTCCGAGAGGAACCACACGGTCACGATGTAAGTCGACGTCGATGTGGTTAGGATTGTCGATCGGCAAGCCGATGTTTACTGGGCTAACCACCACTGGGAGTGAGGTACGGCCGTCAGAATCTGAGACCAGATAGTCATCCTAATGGACCGTCTGTTAATCTCCATCCGCGTATGCGTAGTGTCATCTCCAAGTGGGAGGAGGCCACGATAAGGTGGCCATCCACCACTGAGTCCTCTCCATCCTCTTACAAACTTCGTTCCACAGGCGGGCGAACATGGCAACCTTAGCGCCATGCCACCTCGCGTCTAGAGTCCTCACAGGCCGCCCAAATTCCCCGACAGCATACTCGGGGCCTTCCTATAGTTCGGCTTGCTCGTCTTTACTGTGGTCCTTAGTAAGGGAGGTATGAAGAGGGGTCTCAGCCCGGTAGCGTCAGCAACAACAACTTCAATCGGTATCAAGGTCGGTGCTCTAACCTATAGGTGAAGGTGAGCAGTGATCAGCAAGCGTCATCGTATCAGACCAGGCCAATGGATCTCATTGGCCAATGGCGGGTGGTCAAGCGTTGGGGGTCACCCGTAGAATGTAGGGCCCATTCGCTGAAGTGAGTAGTGGTTGATAGGTGAAAACCATATCGACGGGGGACAGGCATATTTATACACCAAAGGGACAGGCAGCCCTGTTCGTCAGCCAGCCACCCAAAATTAATTAATGGTTCCCCGCCACGCCCCGTCTATTCCATTGTTCTCGTTGCCAACGCGACGCGCAGCATCGTCTAAAGTGAGATTTCATCGGCGATCGAGATTTCTTGTTAATTGAAGGAGGCAACATATAGGGCACCTTCAAACAACTCTCTAGCAACTTCTCTGGTGTCAATAGCTTCAAAACTGAAAGAGAAACCTCCCTCTCCATCACGATGGGGAGTCCTATATTAGGGGGTGTAGTCGGGTATGTTGACAAAACAATGGAGACCTCCCCGCACGCTCAGCCAGCATCGTCATCGTCGTCAGCGCCACCCCTTATTTGCGGGAGCAGAAATGGTAACGTCGACAAACCGGTGGGATAGAGGACGGTATCCCAGGTGTAGCACCTTCTCGACCGCTGTAGGCAATGTGGTGGGTGATTACTTGTCTGTCGACACCATCAGAATTCAATAACCAGGGGTTGCCACCAGATGAGCCATTATTGTCATGGCGGGGGCTTTGGTGCGTGCTCGTCTGATGGATATCAAAATAGCGTGATTTCGATACAGCCCAGTTTTGACGACAACGACGCAATGAGCAACACAGATTGCTGGTAAACACCTCTGATAAATATGTGGCAGGGAAAGTGTTCCGTTCGGCACTGTTATTGGCCACATGAAGATCTGGCACTTGTAGTTGGTGTGGCCTACAACTGATAGTCAACGAAGCAGTTGTCAAGCCAAATCACTTTTTCAGTAAGTCTGTTGTACCCATCAAAGTCCAATTGAGGGAGTAGTCATTCATTGTGGAGGGGCTTAGGCCTTGATTTTTCCTAAGGCGCTAATTGTAGGGTCGTAGCATCAGTGCGGGGGATTTGTATTACTTGAGGACGACACGACGACCTTCAACTACATCATCGACAGTGTGAATGTACTATCAGAAATCTATAGGGCCTAAGCGAGTGTTTGATTACCTATGCTACAACGTTGATCACCTACGCTGAGTTTACCGATGGCTAAAATTGCGCCAGTGACAGAGACCTGAAATTGCATCAGTGAAGTCTTTCTCGTGGCTGAAGTTACCACCAAAGCAATACACCAATGAGACAGACGATCGTCCGATAATTCGTTGGGCAGGCAGAGGGATCCCGATATTCTCTGCATCGTATACGCATGTTATCGCTGAGTGGAACGATAGTATCCATTGCTACACCAGCCCCAATTGCCGGGCTCGCACAACCAAATATAGAAACCAGTTGGGAACTAGAGTGTATGCCATTGTTCGGCATGCCTCTATCATCATTTAGCTCCCATTAAAGGCAGGTTGCTGACCCGGAAGTGGCATTTTGACTACAATGAGATGACTGCAGCAGAGTGACTACACTGAGATGGAAACACCAGGCACACTGATGCAAAATGGCCTCACCAACACCAAAATTACTATAAAAACTGTGTCATTTTGCCATCAATTCAATCCTACCACCTCGCTTTCGATGAAGTTCGCTACCTCCGTCTTCACCCTTGCGCTTCTTCTCGTGTTCACCAGAACCGTCCACGCCTTCTTCGAAGCGGCTGCCTTGCAATTGTTTATTCTCATCGAGGCTGCCGTCTTCCTCATCATCTACACCGGCGAAATCCCCGCCCCGCCTCTGTTCTTGAGGCAACCCACCCTTCCCCCGCCTGTCAGCGAAACCCTCCGCATTGAAGGCGTCACCCTCCAAGTCGCCGATTCGCTGGCGGAGTTGCTGCTTGTGGTGCATGCCGAGTTGTCGGCACCGACACTGATTGTTGCCACCCCACTGGCACCGACACTGATTGTTGCCGCCCCACTGGCACCGGAGATGCTGCTTGCATCTCCAGCACAACTGCTGTCGCTGACTATCGACCACCCTACCCCGTCGATTTCGTCTACCATCGTGTCGCTGTTGCAACTGGTCTTCGAGCTCTTTACCCCGCCGATTTTGTTTGCAAAAGCGCTGCATCGGATTTTCAAGCTCTATGTCCCGCCGATTTTGTCTACCATCGTGTCGCTGTTGCAACTGATTTTCGAGCTCTTTACGCCGCCGATTTTCTTTACTATCGCGTCGCTGTTGCAACTGGGTTTCAAGTTCCTTTCCCCGCTGGTTTTGTTTGGTTTCGTGCCGCTGTTGCCGTTTCTACGTGTCTTCAGCGCCGTGAAGGAGTTGTGCACGTCGGTTTCAGTTCGTCTTGCGACGCTACCTTGGAACTCCCTTTTTCAGGGTCTCACGTTTTGCGCCCTCGTTTACCAAACTCACTTGATCACAAAGATCAATGTTCTTCTCACACTCATCGAGCAGGAGCTTCGGCGTGTTCGCGAAGATGACAACGACGCTGGCGATCTCCCAAATTTCTTCCCGGAAAGAGAGCCCTTCGTCGCCACTGACGTCATCAGAGCGATGGAACATGCCGCCGCAAGAGAGCCTCACCCTCAAGCGACATACACTGCAATCACCGCCTCAGAGGCGAGAACTTTGAATCCTCGGACTGGTACTGGCCACCCCAGTCCCGGGACTTCAAATTCTCGTCCTGTCGCAGGTAGTAGTGCTGTCGCCGCCACAGGGCAGAGAAAGTTGGATCCTGGGGCTGGTACTGGCCGCACCAGTCTCGAGATCCCACGTTTTCGTCCCGTCGGAGGGAGCAGTGCTGACACCGCCTCAGTGGCGAGAACTTTGAATCCTGGGGCTGGTACTGGCCACCCCAGTCCCGGGACTTCAAATTCTCGTCCTGTCGCAGGTAGTAGTGCTGTCGCCGCCACAGGGCAGAGAAAGTTGGATCCTGGGGCTGGTACTGGCCGCACCAGTCTCGAGACTACACGTTTTCGTCCTGTCGGGGGGAGCCGTGCTGACACCGCCTCAGAGGCGAGAAATTTGAATCCTGGGGCTGGTACTGGCCCCACCCGTCCCGGGACTTCAAATTCTCGTACTGACGGTGGCAACATGGCAGCCCCCGAAAATGGCGAAGGCTTTCCGTGGCAAGAGCCGGAAACGTTAGCTGAAACCCGGATGGCGATTCGTGTGGCTAACGACTGGTTGCAAGCCAACCAAAACTGAACTCGCCCAGTATATTATATAAAAATGCAAAAAGTAATGAAAAAAATCTTGTAGTTGAACTTGGCAATATTGGTTGTACATTAATTGTTACAGTTCAAAAAACGATGAAGAAAAGAACAACTAGATGAACTTAGCAATATTGGTTGTAGATCAAAATTTGCAAAACACACTTCGATAATAGTCAATCAGCTTCAGAAAATTTGTCGTTCACGATTTTAAAAAAAAAACGAAAAGTTCCAATACAGGCGTTAATAGTATGTTATAGTTGGTGGGGGTGAGGCATCGGTTGCAGGCTGTAGATGTCATGTACATGCGTGTGCGATGCATGGAATACATGTACATTCACTAGCCACACGTAGCCTCATCCAAGCCAAAGCTAACTCAATATCATTAAGAATTAGTCGACAATTGTTTCCATTATTTATTTGCCTTATAGTGAGAGTCTATCTAGAGTTCGATGCGGGCCATGATATCTTTTAACGAACTGACATAGCGGTTTTCAATTGAGGGACCGTCGCCAGCGGCTACCCGCAACACCAACTCGTTAAGTTCCGCCAGTCCCAAGATGTCGACGTGGTCAGCAGTCTTAGCACCGCCTCTGATATCGAACCGGTCAGGCTCGTCCTTAATTTCGACGATGGTCACCTCGATCCCCGCCGGGTTATACCGCGATAACTTACCCTTTTGCCACTCGTGGCACATGGCGTGGGTCATGAGGGACACGGTGCCGTCGCCGTCACCAAATAAGATCAGTTCCGACAGGTCGGCGTCGATGATCATGTCGAGGCCGGTGTAGTTGGCGGCCTTGGTGTAAGTGTAGGCGCGCTCAGTGGCTTTGCCGACACCGTAAAAGCAGTAGATCTTCATATCGGGAGCGTAGGGTAATCTCAGCTCCAACGGGTTCAGCCAGTACTTGTGGTGCTGGTCGTTGTGGTCGAGTTCGTGCTCGGTTTTGGCGAGGCCAAACGAGTAGTGTTCGCGGACGCGGTTGGAGTACCACTGGGGCGACTGGCTAAGCAACTTGTCGATGGTTTCGTCGACGGTGTAGTTGGCCAGGTCGGCGCCGTCGTTGTAGCGTAAAAATTTCCCGAAGGTGCCGTGGTTGGGCTCGTTGTGTTCGTCGATAGTGTTTAATTCGTCTTCGCCAAGCTGAGGGTCATCGGGAGCTTGAGTGAGGTCGCCCCAGATGGTTTTGCCACCTTTAGGGAACATCAGGGCGATACCGCCGAACGAACGAAGCATCACCACCCGTTCTTTACGGCTAAAGAACTTTTCAAGCCCATAAACGGCGACGGCGTTTAATTGGACGGTGTCCTTCATTTCCCCCGAGAGCATCGCCGTAATCGATTTGGGAGTACCTAATGACGAGCCACTAATGTCAACAACTGAGGCAATGTGGTCATTACACCAGGAAGAGCCCCCGTTACCATAGTGTTCGCCACTGGCTTCCACCCATTTGAGGAAATAATAAATCACCTGCGACCCCATCAGGTGGCCGACAAGCACCAGTTTCTTACCCAGGTGTTGCAAGGCAAGCTCAATACTCAATTTAAGCTTGGAGAAATAGCCATCACGTAACTCTAGGTCGAGGTAGGCGAGACGCCAGTCGTAGGCGGCCAGCACCATGTTATTGGGCCCGTAGCCAAGCACCGAAAGATTCTGTAAGATTTTATTCCAGATCCAGTATCCCGCCACAAAGAAGTCGGCGGCTTCGAAACCCTGGGCGGCTCTCACTCTAATATTTGGCGGATCAAGCCCCGTCTCGGTATCGAGCATCACGTGCTTTAACCAACACGCTTTATCGAGGACCATGGTTCTAAGCATGTAAAATGACCCCCAGAGCCGTTTTCTGAAGTGGGCGATCAGGGGACAGTCGCCGTCGGTCAGTGTGCCCCACAGCTCTAACCCCGTCAGAATGACCCCCGGGACCATCACCACGTTATAGTCAGTGGATAAATTGCGTTCGGCGACCATTCGGCGGCCGACACTGAACAGTTCTGCCAGGCCGTGCGAGCTTTGGTTCGACGAAAGGAAATCGTAGTCGGAAATGATATTGGTGAGTCCCAGCGGCAAAATGTCTCGCCAGTCGTCAAAAAGATCCTGGACGCTTTCAAAGGTGACGAGGCGATCCAATTCCAGCTTTAGCGAAGGGTGGGACACCGTGCTGAAGAATACCGTGAGTAAAAGGCCAAGCACGGCGCCCAACACAAACACGACGCGTCTCAGCTCGTGGAGACGCTTTTTCAATTGGGTTTTATCCTGCTGGAGCCGTTCTTTGATATGTTCCTTGTCATTGGGAAGGCGTTCTTTCAGCTGGTCGGCGGGGGAGTCCGGGGAGTCCACGGCTTCCAGGTCGTCGTCGACGTCGACGGTACGTGGTCGTTGTTGTTGGTGTGCCTGTTTCAGCGTCTGTTTGCGGTTGGTGACACCCATGGTAGGGGCTAGTGGAGTGGGGGGGTAAGGTGGGTGGGGAGGGTCGGCTATCGAGAGGCTTCTGTCACGTGTGAATTTTTCACGGGAAAGTTGCGCCGGCTACCACGGAGACATTCACTAGCCGAGACGGAAAAGGGGAGCCTAAACACAATTTAAAATGGTTATTGGTAGTGGGGGAAGTTAATTTTTTAAGCATTGGGTTGGAGTTTTTAAATTGTCACAATATTTGGGTGAGATTTTGTGTGGGTAGCAACGAGTACTGAAGATCGTGTACAATTGTGAGAAATATTTACAATTGCCGTGACAAAAAGGAAGGTGATCACAAGATCGACTCCTCGGGGTGGCAAACACTGATGGGTACGTGAAGTGAAAAGAGATAGGATACTAATATAGATGGCATTAGACGTGGAACTAACCCTCTCTTACAGGGTCCATAGGTGGTTCTTACACTTTTTAGCAAAACAACTAGTGGTTCAAATAATTGATAGAATTAATTCCACGACAGCAAATCATATATTTTGAATCATGATGAATACTTGATTAATATTTCAAGAGTATTTGTTGAATATTTACTGAGTGTTTGCTACTTCCATTTGCTGATCGTTCAGCTGATACTCTTCACATCGCTAATGTTGAGATTGATCCATAGCCATGATCTGAAATAGCTATTCCAGGTTTTAATTGAGTAACTCACTAGAATCGACGTATGTTATTTTCTTTTGGATGGCTGTCCATAAAGGGAAGCAATATTTTGAGGAATTAAAAATGGGTCATAATGGCTAGGCTCCAGGCCTTGATCATCGTCGCCTATGCTAGAGCATCCATGGTATAATCATAGTCAATACCAGGACACACACTAGCAATAAACTTCAAAAACACCACGAGATAATGATCGGCTCTTACCCCGCCACTTTCCTTCGCATGAGCCATCATTACCCTCATTACGTTAGCGTGTTTACACGGATGGATCAGGACCAGGGTTGTCGCCGTCGCCACGGGGAGTTTTTCGATTGTCAGCGTCTTATCCCGGTAATCGGCATTGATATCTTCAAACATTTGTTGTGGGGTTAACGGGACGCCATCGCCTCCGTAGCCCACCAAATACATCTTCGGAACCCGGTACAGCGTCAGGTAGGTGATGTACATGTCGTATTTGCGCAATTTCGAGTCATTATTGACTATTTCCATATCGTCGAAATCTGCCAAATCGTCGTCATTAGCATTCATAAGCGCCTCCATATCAGCTATTTCGTCATTGACAGCATTAGCAGTAAGCTGAGGAGCGGCTACCTGGATGATATCGTCATCATCGTCGCCATTTTCGTCGAAATGGACCTCGGTTAACGCCGAGGCTCGTTGCACCAGTGGCACTTTGCGGGTGACGAGGAACTGTTTATCTGGCGGTAAGAACGGTTTTTGGAGCTGCGGAGGCAGCAGCCCCCACTGCCACGTAGGGAATTTGGCCACGAGAAAGTCGCCGGCGGCGATAAACTCGTCGGGGGAGAGTTCACCCTTTTCGTCGAAATTCAGCGTGTTGTTGATCGGAGTCAAATACTCGCGCCACAGCGAGAGCTTTGAACGGAGCATACCAGCAATTAATTGATCAGAAAGTGGTTTGTAGTGGTGGTAAATTGGTAGAAGCAATGGGTGGTGGTTGGTGGTGAGTGAGGCGTGAGCGATTGTAGCACTGATGATCGTGGCGCAGGGCTCGTGGCGTGCACCGTCACCAACTATAAAGCTGGGTGACCTAGGGGCTGGCTGACTAGAGGGAATATTGAGGTTTAGTGAGCCAATTGAGGTGACTTAAAGTAAATTGGGTTAATTGGAATTAGTAGAGGATAATTATTATTTGATTAGAGTCAATTATCGCAGTTTATTTCCTTATCGTATATGGCCAAATTTGGGTGGCAATTAATAGAAAAGTCACCAGGTAGTGCCAGCTCAATCTCAATCAAATATTACCTACCAGAAACATGTCTTCATATTAGAACTACCAGAGAAACAAAACATCAAAGAATTTAGTTTGATTCCAATAGAAGATGAACTCCAAATCAAATACATCTTGAAACCCAGTCAAGTTTTATACAATAGAATCAGGTATAAACGCTGCCCTCTTCGTTAATTTCCCGGTTTAGTCAATTATCGGCTAGCGCCACTTGGTGATCTTGGGGGGCGGGGGTGGGGGGGAAATGGTGTCACGTCTAGACGCGTCCGCGTCATGAGGCTTCCGAGAGAGACCGGTGGCGTCATGGCGCGGCACCTCTGATAAAAGCGAGTGGCAACCAGCAAGTTTGATACCTATCGTAAACTGCTTGTTTCGTAAAGTGTTTCGTAAACTGGTTGTTTCAGGTGTTGCTGTCGTTTATGGCAATGACGGCAATTTGGGGCGGCACTGGTAGCGTGGTGTAGGCTGTGGGCAGTACTGAGTAAATCATGCACCTCTCCGTCGTAGTAACAAGAGTCATGCCAGTTCCCAGGGCTGCATAACCAGGGTTTAAACTTTTAGCACCGAAGCCCTGAGGAATTCCGAGGTAGACCATTAGCTTCAATAAAGTCAATAGACGAAAATTGAATAGAATTTCTCAACGGGGACAGCCGTGGCTGTCCCTATAATTGTCCCCGCCCCGCCTAGACGCGTCTCGGTCGACGACACAACAAGCCCGCACGCGCCCTGGCAAAACGCACCCTTAAACGACGCGTCAGCAACACTAGGTGGAATTTGCTCAGTTTTCCGCAAAATTGGAGCAACGGCACCTGATGAGGGTGTTTTAGCATTACCAATTATGAAACATGATACGAAACAAGCACCACCAAATAAAACTAACACGCTCTACACCCTCCCTTCCTCTGTCTTCTCCCTTTGTATCTTTCCCCAACCCCTTCGTATGCGCGTGGTGCCCGTTCCCTATTGGGGCCCTCACATAAACAAAAAATCACATATATATAGGCGCTGGCACCCCTCCCGCCCCATAGCGGCCGAAAATTTCTGTTCCATCCCCAAACTCCAAAAACTAAAACCAAAACCAAAACAACCAAGCATTTACCCAGCCAAAACCTTATCCCTTACCTTGGCTGAAACAACCTTCATTTTGTCATTTCCCATACACCATCCAGTTTCCCAAAACCCGATTTTCCAAACACAATTTGAAACAAAACATATAATGACTCGTGTGGCGTTGGCTCCCATTAAGGACTCCCAGTTGAACCTGGCCCCCAACACCCCGCTCCGCAAACAACCGAAAGTGCTGGCGCTGCTGACACCGGTGGTGAAACCAGTGGTGAAACCGCTGCTGTTGTTTCGGACCAGTCCCCGCAAATCGCCGACGAAACTCTCGGTGTTTCGCTCGCCCCACAGCCAGCGCGTCGATAAGGCCGCCGGCCAGTTGCGCCGCCAGTTGCAGATGGCGGTGCTGCGAGTGAAGGCGCTGGCCCCGCCGCTGGCGCTGTCAACGCCGGCGCCATTAACGCGCCCTTCGTCGGCGCCGACAGTGTCGACCCTCGCGGCGTTGGCACGGGCGCTGCCGACGCGGCGCCATTCGCGCCCTAAAGTGTCTTTAACTTCCATCGCCCGCCGCCGTCTCCGCATCTACCGGGTGAAGAAGACGCTGCTGTTCTACCAGCTGCTGCTGCTGCCTCTGCGCCTCCCGCTTACCGGCGCTAAGGTGAGTTTGCCCCGCATCGCCTGCCACGACATGGACCACCAGCGGTTCATTTTACCCTACGCCGCCGCCGCAGCGCTGGCGGCGGGGGCGCAGCCGTTGCCGCTGATCAATATCATTTTGAAGACGCCGATCCGCAACGCTCAAGGGAGGGCGCCGGCGCCGGGGGCGCTGATGGCGCGGTCGCGCCTGGCGCTGCTGGGGGCGCTGGCAGTGGCGCCCCGCGACGCGTCGTCGCTGTCGGCGGCGCTGACCGAGGACACCACCATCGACGACGACGACACCACCATTGCCAACGTCACCGCCACCGGCGACGACCTGGCGGTGAAGCGCGCCGAGCGCCGGCGCCCCGTGCTCACGCTGCTGCCGCTTCAAAACCCGTTGGGTACGCCTAGTTCATTTCTGGTGGCGAAACTGCTTTTACAATTAGCGGGGAACATGTGAAACCAGTGGTGAAACCAGTGGTGAAACAACTGGTGGAACTACACCTGAAACAAGAAAAAACACTGGTAGTAATGCCGTTATAGATTATGACCCTTAATAGATACGAATTAAAGCGAATGCTAGTTTGCACTTGTCACGTACACGGCGCCAGATGGGGTAGTGTTTTTTGGCGCGAGTGGCGCCGCCCTTGGGCGCTTGGCAGCATTTGAAGGCCATAGTAAATCTGGTAATATCTAAATATAAACATTCCCCAATTGGGTCATCAGAATCAAGAAGAATGGAGAAAAATTGAATCAATTGCGACTGTCACAGCTTGCTACTAAGTGAAACGTGTTTCAGTTAGTAGTTTTAGTTTTGTAGGGGACGCGTCGCGTTGGAGAGCGCTGGCTGGAGAGCGCGTTCAGCGCCGCCGCCGTAAATAGCGCGGTGGAGCTGGCTGAGCTCGTTGGTGGGTGTGGGGGCACAGGTCATCGCGCGCGCGCGCGCGCGTTGTCAGTTACGCGTGGATCTCGGGTCGACACGCGAGGTCTATAACGGCGCGGGGTTAAGGGCGAGCCCACCCACATTTACCACTTGGCGCTTACGTAATCGAGGGCACCAAACTCTCGTAGCGATCGCCACTGCGTCGAACCGACAAGGTACCCACCACCACAGCTGAAACTAGGTATGATAACTTATGAAACACTAGTTGTTACACGCTAGAGAAATTGTGGAGTGAGACATCAATATTTACAAAAGTTTGAATTTTTCTAAAGTTTACGTTTTCGCCCGACGTGGTTATTGGATGAACATCTAGGTTCGCGAACCCGATTGGGGTTGTCACTAAGAATAGATCGAGCCATTGTTTATTGTAGAGAAAAAACTACTATTTGTGGATGAAACCGACACAGGCACCGACACAGGCACGGATACAGGGGGCGGATACAGGGGGCGGGTGACACCCAAAACAAGCGGCGGTGCGAGTTTTGGTAGTGGGCGACGGCGGTAACCCGTATATTTACCAAAACAATGCACACGCAGCGCGATGAGCATGTACAGGGTAAACAACACAAACCCGCCGTGTTTTCTTTTTTAGACTGGGGGAAGCAGACGTTTACGAGGCAAACGCCAGGGTCCGTGTAAACAAACCTACGTGACAGCTGTGACGAGCGTGACAGCTGTGACGAGCGTGACCATTGAACATAGTAAACTCAGGTACACTAAGTCAAACGAAGACCACAAGGAGTCATAGGAGTCATAGGAGTCAAATTCTGATAGGAGTTCTGATCTAGCCATTACCAACAAAAATTTAGTAGACTTTGAGTCAGAAAGTACGGCTGAACGATGGCCCAGAAACATGTGTTGACTGTGACATGAGCTTTAACAATGACAGTAATTGAACTAATTGCGTAACATTATCATAGTCAATTGAAATCATCTTATGTGAATTTGCTTGTTCAAGTGGATAATCTTCTTTAATGGTGGATCTAATTTTCCCAACAATCTTCGCGTTTGACTTCTTATGAGAGGCATGACTCGTCAAACAAAATGATAGGGAAATACAGAGTAGTATAGAATTACAAACTTGACACTTCAAAGATATACATCTGTCATTCGTATCCTGATATATTCTCTCTATTCAGATTACCACCTAGGCCCTTCTAATGTAACTATAATGAATTCGGTGGTGGAGTCTCGTATCCGATAGATCAAGTTAAACCTAAGACAGTAGTACATTATGAAATATGTGTTCTCTAGCTGATTAAGCAGTGACTCATTCAGTACGTTTACTACTGCAATTGATCTCCCCCATAGCTTTGAACTCAATGACCTTAACACAAAATAGGGAACGTCTTACCGTATACTATCTCTATATGACTTTATATTATCCTTTAAAACTTGCCGCGGAGCAAGTGGCCGACCATATCTTTCGCGGTCAACCGGCAGGTGTGGTACAAGGTGCGGAAGTCCCAGGTGGAGAAGAACGTATCCAAAAAGCCGAACGGTAACATCAGCGGGATCCAACCTTGGGCTAATTCGAGAGCGTAGCCACCCAGAGGCATCAGGTACTGCTTCACTTGGCCCTTAATCAAATGGTGGACGTCGCCAGGGTAGTATATCTCCGGTTGGAGCTCATTGGCAAACGCCGCCTTTTGGTGGCCGGTAAGGATGTGGAACCAGTCGTCGGCAAAGTGGACCCCAGTGTGACCTTCAGTACCGGTGGCAGTACCAAAAAAGATCAAGTATTCCGAGATCAGGGCGTGTAAAATGAACATTTGTCCCATGGCCCCACCGGCATTGTTAAACACCCAGTCGTCGAAATTGAGCTCGTTAATCAAATCGGGGTACTCTTGTTTGATTTTCGCCCCCAAATCAATCATGATCTCGGTCGAGTTTCCTTCCTTACCGTGGACATCCAACGTTTCGTGGACTAATCTTTCGAGCACGGTTTGGTCGAGCTGGTAGTTTGACGGGAGCCAGTGGTAGTAGAGCCAGTCGAACACCTGGAACACGAGGTAGGGGACGACGACAAGCAACGCCAACCGCAACAACTTCATATTGGTGGGGGTTGGTTCCAGCTAAGGTGTTTGTATATATAATCGATGGGCGGCTATACGAGGCATACGACGCGCAGCGCGACCAGGCACTATGTGTAGGAAAAGAACCACTGGAATATGAGAGGTGGTGGCTATAACTCTAAGGAAAGTTGAGAAAAATGAAGTAAAAAAGTGAAGTATCCGTTTCAATATAAGGAAGGATGAAGTGGATGAGGTTTGGGTTAATTTTATACGACTTATTTGGTTGATTTTGGCGCAGTTTACCTAGCTTTTGGCGCGTCGGGGTGGGCGCTGAGGTAAGCGCGATCTCGAAGCTAAACGATGAAGAAACAGCTTGGCACGGTACCAGCCACGCGGATCAATCCTATATCGATCAGACCAACTTTCGACTGATCCAAGGGGATGAAAGAAACGAAATCTAAAATGGAATTAAAACCTTGATCTACGATTGTCAATAAATCTCCGTTTAGATTCATATCTGACGATCATCATTCAAAGTTAATATTGACACGTATTGGAGGGTGATGCCATCGAGTCCAGCCTATTCAAGGAGGTAGCTCCACTATTACTCAGACCAATTTAAAATTGTAAAAAATGGGCCGATTCAATTTTATTATTCATTTAAGTGGATTATACCCTCGTGGTTGTCAATGGGACCATTGGACCACAAGAACTAAGACTAATTTAATTATCTTGCCCCATTACTCGTGATCCTCACACCCCTCGAACTTCTCATAGACGGTTCTCTAATTTTCTATAATAGTATTCATTATGGTGTTTGTCTCTTGAATATTAGTAGTGGTGGTAACCAGTAAAATTTTTTATGAGCCCTTCGACTCCACGTCGTCGTAATCGTCGCTGGTTTCCCCACCAGTTGTCGTCATTGTGCTGCGGTGGGGCGCACTCCGAAAAAAACCACCCTCTACTGGGGCGGCGCACTCCGGACTCAGCGGGAGCGGGCTCCGACAGAACCGAAATCCTCCCACTACCACCGCCACTACAACGACTCAAATGACAAGCTTACCCGACCAGTTCACTGGTAAAGACGATGCCTACTTGATTGACCACTTGCCGCAAGCAGTGGACCGGCTCACCACCTATACCGTCGCCGACCCCGTGGTGGCGCTGCTCGTACGTGTGATCCAGGCCAGCCACTACGCCGCCACCCCGGACTGGGAACAGGCATTGCTGGTTGCAACGAGTGCCCCGGAGTACCAGCAGTGCCTTGACCAGCAGCTGACACGGCTAGCGGCGGCGTACACGGTGGCGCTGGCGACGGACCAACATACGGAACACCAGGTGTTTGGCGCTAAACGCGTGGTGGAATTGATCAATAAGAAAGTGCTTTCGGTTAACAGTTTACCACAAATTGAAGGGATTGAAGTGGTGGCGAAACCGATCTTTTATAAGATCATCCAGTTGTTGATTTTGGCACCTCCCGACCACCGATTGGCCAGTGTCGTCCAGTTTATTCGTCGGCACTATAAACCCGATCCGGAATTGGAAGGGGAACAGTTTGAGCCTACGCGGGCCTTACTTGACGACGTCTTGAACGATAAAGTGATCCAATTGGACGCGTTGCTGGAGTTCTTGACCCGCCGCGATGCGCTGATGGTCCTCGGCGGTTCGATTCTGCGGCTTATCATTGGCGTGGGAGCTCAAGTATGGGTGACTAACATCGTCGAACTGAACCTCATGAGAGTGGCGAAGTATTATTCCGAAGTCCTGCTTGATCGCTTACGGGAACTTTTGGGTCTTGTCGATGAACCCATCGATTTGGAACGCATACTAGCAGATATGATTGCCCACGATAAGTTTGGCCGCCCTACGAAACTTGACCAGAACAAAGGCACGGTCGATTTCGGCCCCGTGGCGCCGGCGACGACGAATTCGGGGGTTGCGCAGGTGGTTACTCTTGTGAATGATATCAGCTACGATGTCAAATAAGCGTGATGGCCTTCAGCCAGCACGCCGTCAGAGAAGACACCTGGGTCTACTTCCTATAACCATGTGGGTCTTCTCCGAGACCCCGTGGTGGCATTGAAGAATACAATGGAAAACCGTGAAAGCTGTGAACAGCCGAATGCAGGTACGATACCCGAGGTCAGAAAACAAAAAGATGAATGGACGCGTCTCTCCTATCGCCACAAATATATATATATTCCTCGATTTGTGCCGTGGACCCCTGGGACGCTGTGTGTCTCCGCCTCGACTTTCCGCCTCGCGGCGCGGGTTCGCCCTCCCCTAGGGCACCCCGACGCGTCGCCAGGGTCTGTGCTAACGGCACCCGCTAGCCTCGTACTCCCCTATTATAAGGCGTGATCCGGGAACCAAGGGTGCCTCGGCAAGGAGGTGTGTGGGTGGGTGCCTGTCGCTGGCGATTGCCGACACCACCGTGGAACGTGAGGGGGCCTCGCGCGTGATTAGGGGAGTGGGCAGGGGTAGGTGGAGCCGTGGCCGTGTTATTATAATGGCTACTGATGGTAGGAAAGATAATACACGAGTATTATTGGGAAAAGTAGTAAAGCGCCAGCATCAGACCACACCATCCGTTTATAGTTAATTTGCTATCGAAGCTGATACTTTGGCTATTGGACCCTGGATAAAGTATTAAATTTCAGTATCATTGGAAACACAGTTAACGCCATTGAACTCAAACGATTTTCACTTGTTTTATACCTAACAAGCGTCTGGTTTTGCTTGTCATCGCACCACTACCATGTGGCTGGTGTGTAATTATTCAATATATATTGAGGAACTGCTCAGCCACTAGGTGAACCCTTAGACCCTGAAACGATGAGATCCAAACAATGAAAGCCCCTCTGGAACAATACGACTCTGATTGTTGTGGTGTGACGTGGTCGATAACCAATACGAGAAGTTTAATTGACTTCCGTCACTTCCGTCACTTCCGTCACTTCCGACATCGATAGCGCCGTCACCGCCGTCAGTGCGCGATGCGCGCCACATGCCGTGCGCTGCACGCCGCACACTCACCGCACGAGACATTTCACCATCTCCGGCTCTCCATCTTTCCATACCTCCATTAATCGTCGTCTACAGTCCACCATGGTTAGCGACGACCACGCGGTGGTGGCGGGGACACAGCAGCGGCGGGTGCTGTTTGGCATGGCCGACCGGCGGCGGCTGTTTGAGCCGTTGCTCAGCGCCATTCGCGACGACTACGGCGCCGGCGCTCATGGCGACGACGACGAGGCGGCGCCGGTGGCGGAAATAGCGGTGCCCACCGTCAGTTCCGAGGCCAAACTGCTTTTGTTTAATGCGGTGCCGCTTACGATCACGTTTTTACTCGAATTTTCACTCACGGTGGCCTCAGTGTTCGCCGTGGGCCGGTTGGGCGATGACTACCTCGCCGCCGTCTCCGTGCTGAGTATGACGGCCAATATCACCGGCTACGCTCTTGTCGCCGGTGTCGCCACTTGTCTCGATACTCTTTGCGCCCAAGCGTTTGGCAAAGGCGACGTGGCGGCGGTGGGGGTGGTGTTTGTCAGGTGTACTCTATTTCTCCTTGCGCTCCTGGCGCCCATCGCGCTCTTGTGGTGCAACTCCGAGCGCCTCCTCGTGGCGATGATGGGCGCCGATAAGCGCCCCGTGTGCGCCCTCGCCGCCGACTACTTAAAAGTGGTTTCCGTGGGTCTCCCCGGGTTCATCCTTTTTGAAAACGGAAAGCATTTCCTTCAAGCGCAGGGGATCTTCCACGCCACCACCTATATCCTCATCGTGTGTGCTCCCCTCAACGTGGCGCTCACGTATACCCTCGTCGCCCACCCCCGGTTTGGCCTTGGTTTCATCGGGGCGCCGTGGGCGGTGGTGATCACCAACTGGGCGATGTGCGCTTTGACGTACGCCTACATTTTCTTGGTTGACGGCTACCAGTGCTGGCCAAAATACTCGATCACCGATAAGATATACTGGCAGCGGTGGCGGCGCGTCATCGATTTAGCCATCCCCGGCATCGTCATGGTCGAAGCGGAATGGATGGCGTTTGAAATTATAACGTTCACCGCTGCCCGCTTAGGAACTCAGGTGCTAGCAGCGCAAACGATATTGCTGACGACGTGTATCTTGCTTTACCAAGTGCCCTTTGCCATTGGCATCGCCGCCACCACCAGAATCGCGTGGTACGTCGGCGCCAATCGCGCCGCGGCGGCGCAAGTGGCGGCGCGGGCGACGATGGCGTCGCTGGCCGGGTTAGGCGTCATCAACGCCGCCGTCCTCTACCGCTGGCGCCGGTGGTTTGCGGGCTTATACACCCGCGACCCCGAGGTGATCGAGATCGCCCTGGCGGCGATGGCGATCGCGGCGTGGTACCAGGTTTCAGACTATTTGCTGTGCGCCACCGGCGGCATTTTGAAAGGTCAGGGGCGGCAGAAGATCTCGGGGTACATCAACGTCGCCTGCTTTTACGGGGTGGCGCTACCCTTAGCCCACTGGTTGGGTCTCTCGCGCCATTTGGGGCTCAACGGGTTGTGGATGGGGATGGTGGTGGGGCTCTATTTGATCGCCGGATTGCAGTACTATTTTGTTCGGCGTTCAGATTGGAAGCAAATAGCCTTCAATTGTTAAATAGAGGCGACCATAGTGTTTCCACCACCCATATTCCATTGCATAGCATCACTCTCAAACCAATAAGGAGCCCTCCATAGCGGTGTGTGCCCACGATATTTGAGAACCAAGCACACAATTCGCTTTTCAATGATATCTTCGAGTAAGATGAAGATCATAAAGCGTCAGTTGTCATTAATCGCAGTCTTCAATCACCCAGAGATCATATAGTAATAATCTAACAGACGCTTAGCATTCTTGGAACGACTCTCTTGACTATCAACAATTTTCACTCACTTGCTTTCAAAACAACACTAACTTATTGTCAATTTGACCAACGTACACTTCATCTCCATGGCGCACGAATAGAGACAGAAGCTGTGGCCCACGAGTAGTCATCGCTGGAATGGAGAATGTGGTACAAAGCACGGGCCCACATATGGCCACTAGCACAAATCGACCAGAGACAGCCTTGCCAAGTGTGTGCATTGGCGCCACAACACAAAGCGCTAGGGCACGCTTAGTGAGTGTTCATCGGTGCCGCAACTCGTAGTTGAAACAATACGACGCCTAGTCATTGTTTGAGTTGGAGTAATGCGTGTCTTAGTGTCATGTTGTCGTCCGTGTTCCGAGTCAACTAGTTTAGCGTCGTCTAAAACACGTTTTAGAAACGTGTCACCGGTGCCGCCAGAGAATGCCTAATCTTACATAGTTAGCCAACTCTAGTATTAATTAAACCCGCACGTGTTATGCCGCGTCTGCTGCTGCTGCTGCTGCTGGTGGCTGCCGCGGTGGTCCACCCCCGGCGCCGCCCCACAAATTTTCGGGGAATGTGTGAGCTGGTTGCGAGCCCCGGCAGGCGATGCTCGCGGCGAAACGGATGAGACACCCACACCCAACTGTAAGGGGGAATCTGTCCCATTTTGTGAAACCACTGACCCCGCCACGAAGGGTATGCACCACCAAAAAGTCACGAATTTCGAACATGACCAACAACAGCCCATTTCAATTTGATGAAACAGGTTTCATCTCACCACCATCACCTGACCCCTCCTATATATATCGCTCGTAGCCGGCGCACTAACAAACAAAAACCCCCCTAGTCATCCATTCCCCGCCCCTCCCAGCCACGCCATCAACAAACCCAAATACCCTACTCAATGTTCTGCTATTATTTTGCCACAATACCCCTTTACTTCCTCCTGCTCTCTGGCTGGTCCTCCCCTAATGGGTGATGAGCGTTTGTTGTCATTGACTACACGATACACCCCCCACACCAAAATTAGCCGAGCGCCACCCACTAAGCCAGACTAACAGACGTTGGCAATGACTACACCAACTACACCGACTAAACGTCCAGGAATCATGAAACTAAAGGCAACACAGGCAAGCACACTAAGCCATCATTGGATCGTCATTGTCTGATGGATGGTATCTGGTGACCAATGGGGTTATACTTGGAGGCTATCAGAGGCTGTTCCCGGTGGGGCAAGTGGACATGCCCCAAGCGGGCACCCGCCGTTTCCGGACGGTCTGCGGCGCCGCGCCCCGCATAGACAAATTATTTTCCTCCCATGGGTATTTTGTCGGTGTGCGCCCTGCCCACACACTGTGTGGTCCCTCCCCCATAGCAGAGATTATTATTATTTTCTGCGCCCACTCCCAATGGGGCAGCGCTAAAGTACATAAAGGGCCGCCGCCCCAACCAGCCGACTAACCACTGACGCCAATACCTCCCCAACCCCTACCCCTTCATCCCTCCCCCGCTACTGCTCCATTCATCGCTACGAGCGCTCCATTCACAGCCCCCACCTTCATAAGGAACTCATACCCTGTGACTGCTTGTTACTCCCCTCAGTCTCCAATACCAATACTCCTTATACTCGCATGAAACCCCGTTTCTGCCAGTACGAGTACCCCCGCGGCGTCTACGCCCGCGAGGTCGCCACCCACACCCACTCCGTCGGCGAGTACGACCGCGACATTTACGACACGATGATGGCGCAAATTGCCGCTAACCGACCAAATGTCGAGCTCTATCGTCAGCAGCCGTACCTCACGCCTGCCATCAGGTCTAAGCTCGTCGATTTTTTGCTTAAAATGGCGGTGCGCTTGAAGATTGTCCCATTTGTATTTGCCAAAGCCGTTCGCTTGTTTGACCGCTACTGTCTGAAACGGATAGTACTCCTCGACCAGAGCCAGCTTATCATCACCACTTGTTTGTGGATCGCGGCCAAGACTCAGGGCGGCAATAACCATTTCGTCAATTTGGCCAATCTCGATAAAGTACCCTCGGTACGCACCATTTCCGACCTTGGCTACGGCGCCGGCGGCAAGTTTATCGGCCCTACTGAAAGGTTTAGGCTTCCAAAGCTCCACGAGTTGGTAAAGCTCTGTGGCGCTAAATGCAATTACGACGCCGGCATGTTTAAACAGATGGAAGTGCACGTGCTTCTGACCCTCGAGTGGGCCACTAACGACCCGGGCGTCGACGAGTTCCTCATGCTGCTGGCGGAGTTTTGCACCATCCCCTCCGTCGTCCACAGCGACGGCCACCACGGCCACCCTCTCCTGTTAGGGGAAATGGCGCTGACAAAGCGGTTTTTGGCCTATGTCGCCCACTACTCGTTTGACCTCTGCGACGTCCACCCGGTGCATTTAGCCCACGTCATCGGCGATATCGTCAACGACACCTTCAATTTGACCCCAGGACACCCCAGTTTCCAGCTGGTAGGACCCATACTAGAATTGGGGGCGCCGTTGGACTATACCACTTATAAGCTGATCAAAAAGCACGTGGTCAAACTGGTATTGGCGCTGCTGGAGTTTATCCTTAAGCTCTTTGCCCTGAAAGGACCGCAATACCTCTACCACCAGGTGTGTCTCGCCTATAAGTTTGGCGCTAGCCACGAGTCGCCGTTGGCTACGGCCGTGGTGGCCCCCCGGCGTCCCCTCGGCGTCACCAATGCTGTTGCTGCCACTGGTGCTGGCGCCGCTACCAATGGCCACAGACGACCGCTGGCAGTGTCCCCAGTGGGAATGGCGGCGGCGGCGCCGGCGCTGCCGCTCGAGCGCAAGAAGCCCTACCCATACACACCACTGCCGTACCAGGCCTACCCCCACCTGAGCCAGGCGCTGGTGCTGAGCGTGCTGTCGCTGCTGGCGCTGGCGCTGGCGCTGATGCTGCTGCTGATGCTGCCGATGTTTGCTGCTCCACACTACCGGGCGCTGTCGTCGCCCCAACGCCGGGCGCCCCTGGTTACTACTACTCTGCACTCGCTGCGCCAACAACACCAACAACACCAACAGCAACAACAGCAACAGCAGCAGCTCTACAAGCTCCCCAGCCTTCCACACAACGGCATCTTTGTCCACTCCCACCAGCACTTGTCGCAGACATCGCTCACGCTGCTGGCGCTGCTGGCCTATGGCGACGACGCCACCGGCGCCGATTTGTTTGAGTACGACTACGTTCGCCGCCAGGGCATCCTGACCCCGTTACTGGAAAACGACTCCCCCATCTTTATCAAGCATTAGCTTAGCCAGAAAGCTGGTGATCAAGCTCCTCGCATTGTCCTATCAACTAATACTATCAACTACCCTCTTTTCACGAATACACGACTCATTGAACTTAAGATTATAAACGTAATGACGTAGCGTTTCAATTTGGTGCTTGCCCTGGCCTAATCAGAGAACTACCACTCAGTTCGATGTAGCTAATCATCTTCCCGATTGGGATATACATGGGACCAGGGCTACTAGTACCAACCCGAGGTAAATTGACAAAAGAAACGTTAAACCTCATCGCCTCACGATGTTGGCCGTCGCCTATCTCACCCAGCCATAACACTTTACAAAAAAAGAAGATACCCCACAAATAGAAATTATTGCCGGTTGCATCACTTCCTCAATTTCGCGTTTTTTTAGTGGTGTGGTGACGCCCTCAATTAACCAGATGGTTTACTATTAACAAATGTAGCACAAGTTTACAAGATTACCCTGGACCCCCCCTGAACCCCTGGCAGCGCAGTTTCAGAGACGGTAAAAGGGATTGCCATATTTCTAAGAGTCTATGGCCTAGGGGCATTGGTTGCTGACAACGCCACCCGCAATAGGTGAAGACGACTCCCCAATTTGCCCTGTCACTTTTTAAAATCAGGTGGCAGGGGCTGCTATTCCTATTAGGCGTGGGGTAGCAGTCGACGTACGGTGTGCATATAATCAGTACACAGCATAACCGAAATCCTAATCGAGTAACCCGGTGCACATAAACGGATCCCGATAAAAGAGACATTATTGTCCGATCCGCAAACGTCAGATGGTCCGTTCATTTCAGGCAGCCACTGACGTTTTCTCTTTGGGAATACAGTCAAGCAAGATGTTTCCAGAACGCTTCGCCGATGAGTGGCTCAACCGCAGAAACTTCCATTGATTAAAATCTTAGCTGTAGCATGACTAAATCGCGGAAACCGTGAAATGTGTGGTGGTAGTGGTTATTTCGTATTCACCTGTCACGTTACCAAAAAAAGTCACAAGGGCAAACCTAGCCGAACTTAACTAGCCTTAGCTTTCTTAACAATAGCTTTTAGACCTCGCACTAATCGTCAAGCCACCGTCACTTCTCGCCTGACCCCATCACCCCAAATCACATGATTTATGGACAAAAATCAATGTCACCGGCAAATCCTTCTATCAGTCTTTTTGCCCTAGTGTTAGCCTGTGCCACAAGGGGGCGGTAGGCGATGGTCCGCTTACGGTATCCGCTTGCATTTGCCTGGCGCGGCTTCCCCTTGCGGGTGCGTTGGGTGTACACACACGCTCATTCCCTCCTCCCCCTCTCCCGCGATCGCGCCCTTCCCCTCCATATACGGGCAAAATGTAACTTGACCACCTCACGCCCACAAACCACTCGTAAAACCTGAGTCAAGTATACCCGATGGCCAAACATCTACGCGTACGTCCGCCACCAGCCACGCGGACAAAAAGAAGACTGTATGAGTAGTGATGATACAGCGTTTGTCTCACCGATAACAAATGAGATGTGCGCTAATCTCACTGATTTTCTTTGTTAGTTTGTCTCATCTGATTCCTTGTCTCACTTGTCTTTTTCTTTGTCAGTTTCCATTGTTTTGGGAGGCTTTTTTTTTTCGTGGTAGGCTTACGGTATTCTCTTTGTGTTAGGGCGCGTTTGTGGCATTAATCTGAAAAAAAAAAAAAAAAACAATGCGAGGGCGGCGATGCCACTGGGGGCTTTTCTTTGTATTATGGAGCTTTTGTTTTGGTTTTGCCGTTGTCGATGGCTGGCATTAGTGACGAGGCACCAGATCCCCGAGCCAGATAGACGACAACGACAACAACGACGACGACAACAGCGACGACTATTGTTAGTAGAGCGTATATAGAACAGAGGGACACGTCGCTTCCCTCGATAGTTAAGGCCTTGAATGAAGTCTACTTTCATCGTTTAGCTCCACCTCTACTTCTACTCTTCTTGACACCCGTGGATTCGAGAATAGACGACGTCATCGCCGCTAGCCGAGAGAACGTTCTGATGGCCTCATGGTATCATTTTGTCGACTGCTGGTAAATGTCGTGCGCCCACCAATTTAACCACAACCTTGACAAACGATGCCTAACGTCGCCTAAATATCAACAACATCAAAATGACAATACTTTCAGTGGACCAAAATGGCCTCATGACACGAGCCAGAGAGCGGTGCTAGTGTCGCGACACAGCCACTACCTACAACCTCTCCCCCCCCCTTCGAGCTTGTCGCCTACCTGCAGGACTCATTTGCTCCGCCGCGGTCGCATTTGGCGTTCGCTCCCCTCCCGCCAACCCACCACCAAAAGCCAACTTTGCCATGCTCTGGAAGCCGCTCGCCGTCGCCGTCTGGGCTGCTGTAACGGCCGCCGACTTCACTATGGACGACTTGGAAGGCACGTGGGTGCTGAAGTCGAATACCGTGTTTACCGGACCGGGTTTTTATGACCCCGTCGACGAGCTCTTGATCGAACCCGATTTACCGGGTATTTCCTACTCGTTTACCAAAGACGGCCACTACGAAGAGGCGATGTACCGCGTGGTCGCCAACCCTGTTGATCACCATTGTCCTACAGGGCTGATTACCTACCAGCACGGCACCTACGAGATGTTGCTGAACGGGTCGGTGGTGCTCCACCCGATCGCCGTCGACGGGCGCCAGTTGCTTTCCGAGCCCTGTGGCGACTCTCCCGACAAGCTGAAGTACACCCGTTACTACCAGCCGACGTGGTTTAAGGAGATCTTGGTGTACGTGCTGGAGTATCACGGACGCAAAACTCTCCAGATCTTCCAGTTCGACGGGCTGAAAATGCAGCCGTTGTACTTGGCGTATAAGCCGCCGATGATGTTGCCCACGGAAACGCTTAACCCGACCCAGGACGCCCCGCAACCGGAGGAAACGGCGCTGAAACGGAAGCGCGACGACTTGGGATTAAAGCACCGCGTGCGCCGGTCGTTGGAGAACCAGTACCGCACTAATGCCATCCGCGAAACGACCACGCCGCACATGGATAAGATGTGGTGGGTCGCCGTCGGCGTGTTGGGACTGACACTGTTGGCGTTCTTCATGATGTAATTGTCAAAATTTGTTTAAAAGTTGTTTAAGATATTGGGTTCTAGGTTTAAATCAGACATTTGGAAAAGGCATGGTGTAGTCAAATCAGGAGTAGTGGTTTTGGTTTGAGATCATTGAAGTTTGCGTTAATTTGAGATCCAACCAAAATTCAAACTTTTCCGTGAGATGCTAGTGTGACTTGACGTGTAGAGTTTCATGATGATGATTCTTTCCAATCTGACAGGCGTTGGTTTCAATAGAGCATGGGGTTGATTTCGGTAGGGCATGGAGTTGATCCCAAACGGCATGAATGTGATCTCATTGTCATAGAGTGGTGACGGACAACACTTTAGTATAATGGATAATGGAGTTGACTGTTTTGAGTGGCGTCAATGAAGTTTATTTCATGATAATACCGTTGCTTGTCTCCTTAAAGTTGGAGTCTATTTGGAACCTAAAGTCAGATCAGACATTCCAGGTATCACTTGACTCGTAGTGCTTGATGACGATGAATCTTCCAAATCTATCAAGGATCGATCTCAAAATAGCATGGAGTTGATCTCCAGCCAGCATAGACTCGGTAGTAAGTTTCTTTTTAGTGCAGTATATAGAGGCTGGAGTTACCATGAAGTTATATAGATTTCCGTGATCAGAGTATTTTAACTATTAATTGTGGATGTGGCTTGTTTCAATATGTACTGACCTCGAAGTCAAAACGTTGGGATCTAGGTTCAAATCAGGGTTAGATGTCGGTGGCCAGAAATAGGCTTTAGTGGGGCATTGGCGCCGGTGCGTAAATTGCTCGATTGGGACTACTACCCCGAAAGTAGGTTCACCCCACCCATATCGAACCTAATCCAAATAACACCCGAAAAGGGAAGGAGGGGGCCTCTAGTTGCCTTCTTTTAGATGACAGTTGACGATTTAAAGTATAGCTAAAATTAGCCTTTTGGCAGTGTGAGGGGGGGACCCCTTTTCCATTGCTTTTTCTAAGATTACCGCATTGAGGGGTCAAACGGAGGGTTAACCGGAGGTTGACAAGTGGGGGCCGTTTTGTGAGACCTGTGGCAACGTCATCGGCAATCCGAATAACTGGGGTGTTTTGCAACCCACGGAGACGTGCGGGCTACCTGCTGGATACATCGCACTACGTCGCAGCCCTCTGCTGTGCCTGGTGATCGCTGACACCGCCGAGATTACTAGAACCATCACCATCACAACCAAACCAGGAAAACGTGATTACGATTAGATGTATCTGACCATGAAATTAACTATATGGTAATCCTAGTCCAGAAAAGCTAGGCTAAAAGTTGTGGTTTCTGGCGGTTGGTGACGGGGCATTGTCTATACCGTGCTTTGTTACGCGTAACGGCGGGGGGCTTCCGGCAATCGGTAGACTGTGCATCGCCCACGCACGGTGTCCCACGCACAGTGTCCCACGCACAGTGGGAGCCAACGTCGTACGACCTCGGCGTCGTCTACCGGTAAGGGGGCTCGTCTCGACGTTCGCCTCGGGTGATTTCGGTGAGTACATTCCGCTGTATGTGGGTCATCTTCTCTTTAGTTCTCTGATGGTATTTTATTTAGTATTGATGGCTTATGCTGGGTGGCGTGAGGCCACCGGAAATTAAGTGCGTTGAGCACACACCACCGCGTGCGCTCCCACCGGTTTTACGAGGTGGGACCGGTCGAGTCCGGCGGTGGTTTCGTCGAGAATCTGTTTGAGGTGGCGTCTGACCTGTTCCTGGTCGTCTGGAGGTAATTTTGTGATGAACAGCCGCGTCATCCAGTACTCGATGACGTCATCGTCGCTGTGAACGTTAGTCCCAAGCAAAAACAATTCTGGCGGCGTAATTTGGAAGTACTGGTTATCCTTGAAAATCGCTCGCCATTCGCCTTTACGGTATTGGGGCACACCGCCTTCAAGCAGGTAGATATACTCGCAGCACCGCTTCAGCCACGTCGCCGGGTCAAAGTAATTGGCAAATACTTGCTTAGCCGTAGTACCTTGACTAGTCACGTGACTAAAGTCATGTGCGCCACCATCAATATAGCGAACATTAGTACTATCAACCTCGGCCAGAGGGTTAGCGTACTCAAAGTTCCATATACACCCTAATTTCCCTTCGGGCTTTAACACCCGCTGGATTTCCTTAAGACTAGCATCATCAGCAAACCAATGGAACGCCTGAGCGATAATCACGGCGTCGACCGAGTTATCAGGCACTGGTAAATGGTAGGAGTCACCGAGTAAAATATCGTCGGCGCCGAGCTCGGGGAAGTTCTCGCGACACAGAGCCAACATCCCCTTCGACGGGTCCATCACTTTCAACGTGCCGTGGCCCCAACCGTGGCCAATCAAATTGCGGGTGAATTTACCCGTCCCCACGGCCACTTCTAGGATCAGTTTGTTAAGATTGGGCACGATGTGACCTTCGGGATTTTCCGAGGCGAGGCCAAGCTCCACGAGGAAAGGGTCGACGATTTTGGCGTCGTAGGCAGGCCGGTAGGCATCGTAGGCACCGTGGTTAACGTTATATGCGTTGACGGCAGTGGAATGAGCCGACATTGTACAAAGTGAATAGTGGAGGTGGTTGTCGAATTTGTGGAGGTGAATCATAGACTATATGCAGGACATGACATCACCGTACCAAACGCCTCGGACCGGTGGCGGCTAGACTCCGAGCCAAAAAAAAGAAAAAGAGAGATAGTCCAAGAAAAGAGGGGACTTATAGCCTGCACGATCGTCGCGATTGTCTCCAGCGATCCCCGGGGTGTCTCAGATCGGGTGCATCCTGAGCTGCTACCACCAATTGATAGGAATTGACACTGACTAGGTATTTCAATTGTAGCCACCAATCAGTGAAACCAACTTTTGCAAGAACGAATCAGTTTCAATTGGTGACAGTAGAGGTGTTTGAATTAATTGTACAGTGGGTTATTGATGATTTAGACTAATTATGCCACGTTAGCCATCGATGCAAAATTCAAGTAGACGCCTATACTAAGCCACCGTGGGCTGGCCACTTAAACAATCAATCACTTGCTGTCTTTCTTACAAGCATTAAGCTGTGCATTTGAACAATCGCCCATTGCATCACGCGCCTCGGACTATCTGAACTTCCACAATAACGGCGATGACGTGCCATCACACGCCCCCATTCTACTGTACCGCCTAAACCCATTTATCCAGACGTTACACGTCGTCAAAATATGTAGCCACGATGACTTCCATGCCTGGTGGCTCACGTCACCGAATGCGTTTGGCTGCTGCAACTTGTGGCTGCAACATGGCTGCAAATGACAATGCTATTGTTATCTATGTACAAGTAAAACAGGTGGGACACCTTTACAACGGGGGGCTGGAAATTCATAACAGGGCCCCAATTTGGTCGGCACGGGGTTTCAGGGCCCGCCGCATGCCGCCGTAGGTCATATCGAAGGTCCCTCTACCGCCAGTCATCAGCCGCAATTTTGAAAGGTAGCCCACCATTTCCCGTAACGGCGTTTCCGCCCGAATCATCTTCCGGTCACCACCGACCTTGGCCGTGGCTCCTGACGACGACGACGACATGGTATAGTCAGGAGGTAAGTACATCGAATCGGCGTAGCTTCGAGTCCACTGGGTGTCATTATCTCCGTTTACACCAGAATCATCAGCGTCAACAATCTCCGAGATGACCCCATGGCACCGGGTGCTGAGATCATGGGATACTTCGCCCATATGGTCGGCGTTAACGTACACTTTAGTGTCCATCACCGGTTCGAGGATGGTGGCGCTGGCGGTTTCCAGTCTCAGGTAGCGGGTGACGGCTTGTCTGGCTACCAGCAGTAATGCTCCCACCAGCGCCAGGGGGTCGTCACTGGGGAAATCCCATTCCATCACTCTTACAACGACTGAATGGAGGGCCATACCGTAAAGAGGACCCCCCATTTGGAGAGCGGTAAGACAGCCACGAACAACAGCGTCGCGGAGGTCCTCGGCCAGCGCCTCGTGTTTCCACCGTCTCTGGTCTAAGATATCCTTAAGGCGAGGAGCCATGGCATTCTCCCCTAAAATGACGATATTGTTATCACCGTAGATCTCGGCCCCTTCCTCTTCAGCGAACTCCGACGTCTCAGCCTCGCCTTCAAATGAGTCTAAGGCCACGGTAACTGAAGCTCCCGACTCGTCACTAACGGTGATCTCCGCCAGAGGAGCGGTAAACGTCTCCTTATAACTGACAACCACATCGGAAAACCGGACATTCGCCTTCATATCGTTAACCATCCGGTCACGAGTGATCTCCAAATGGAGCTCGCCCATCCCCAGCACCACCGTCTGGCCCATATCAGCGTCCTCGTACACGTGGAGCGACGGGTCTTCCCGCACTAATTGCGTAAGACACTGGTGCATGTAGCGCTGGTCGCCGGCAGTGGCAGGCTCAATGCCCAGGTTGAATAAGGGAGGGGGGATCTCAATCGGTAAAAGGCGTAAATTAGCTTCGGTATCGGTGAATTGCTTCTTATTAGCCACTGCCACGAGAGTATCACCGGTAACAATATCGTCGTCATGACCCAATACCACCCCGATATTACCTGCTTTCAATTGTTTCACTTCTTCAGGCATGTCGCCGTGCATCACCATGAGCTTTTTCACGTGGAGTTTGGCGCCCAGTCTCGTGTTAACCACCGTCAGATTCGCCTGGAGCTTACCGCTGTACACTCTGAAAAAGGTCATGACCCCTTTAGTGGCGTGGGTCATCACTTTGAACGCAAGAGCCACGGCTAAAGTCGGCTGGCCGTTGATCACAAGCCCTTGGGGAGTCACTTTAGCCGGTACCTCCACCAGTTCCGCTCCAGCAGTCGATTGACTAGCCTTACGCTTTGATTTACCACGAGTGGCTTTTGTAGTGGTAATTTCAGGCACAGGAGCGTCTAACGGCAGCGGCAAATAGCTGGTGACGGCGTCCATCAACGGTTGGACCCCAATATTACGGAAACTCAGGCCACAAACAACGGGGGTAACGGTGGTAGCGAGACAACCACTACGCAACGCTGATTGGAGTACAGCAGTGGGGACAGCCATGTGGTCCTCAGTCTCCAAAAATGACTCGATAACCGCTTCATCGATCTCCCCAAGGGTTTCCACCATCAGCTCCCGAGAGGCAGCACACATCTCGTAGGCCTCAGGGTAGTCTTCCAGGGGTTCAGAAAGGTCGATAACTTCCACTGATTGGCCAGTAGCATCACTCGTATCCCATATAAGGAGTTTCTTATGGACAACATCCACTACTCCCGAGAACACTCGATCGTCTCCAGGGGCAAAATACGGCAACGAACACACCACCGCTTTGGTGTTAAGCTTAGTGACAATCTCCTTAACCGTACGAGAAAAGCCAGCGCCGGGACGGTCCATTTTATTGACGTAAGCCACTTTAGGGATACCCAACTCGTGGGCCTGACGCCACACTTTTTCCGTCTGGGCTTCGACACCAGCAACAGCGTCAAGTATAGTCACCGCCCCGTCCAATACCCGAAGCGATCGGACCACCTCAAACGTGAAATCGGCGTGTCCCGGAGTATCGATAACGTTGATGGTGTGCCCATTCCAGGGTAAGGAAATCGCTGCCAGCTGGATGGTGATCCCCCGAGCCCTCTCCAGGGGTAAATAATCGGTTACGGTATCACCCTCATCGACATTCCCCATTCTTCCCGTTCTCCCTGAATAGAAAAGCATCCGCTCGGTGGTGGTGGTTTTGCCGGCATCGATGTGGGCGATGATCCCGATATTGCGAATCTTGGCCGGCGCCACCTCGTGGAGACGCAGCGCCAGTTGCTGTTGGAGCCACCGGGGCGTGGTGTGGAGTAGTCGTCGCCACAACATGGACTAAGGGTAGGACTAACCTGGCTGCGAAGATGATGGTAGGTAGAGTGAGTGAGAAAACATGAAATAAGATACGATTTTAAAAATACTGATGAAACAGGTTATGAATTAGCTAGCTGGTTAAATGATGAATTATTATGAAGTCTTTTTTTTGAGGTATTTGAGCTGATGGCTAAGATTTCACCTATGGTCTTGGAAAGGACTTCAGTGCGAAATCAGACCACTAACAAACATATTGATCCAGGGTAGCGAAACCGTTGTTGCAATCAATTAACTACTAATACTTTGAGCCGTTGTTGCTAGAACCGATTATTAGTTTCAATTGCTAATAGGAGGACACTTATTTGCTAGAACCAATTGCCATTACTTTGGATCACAAAGGGGAACTGGTTGTTGCTAGAACTAAACATCGAGGTGGAACCTTGCTAGAACATATTATCATTTATTGGTTTGAACCATTTCGAGTTGTTAGATTCAATTTACAGACGCTTGGGCGTTGATGCTAGAACCAAAAAACTGCTATTAGTTTAGGCTAGTTCGAGCGTTGTTGCGAACCAATATATAGCTATTAAGGGAGGCTGGCTGGTGCTAGGACCCAAACATACGCTTTGGATCATTGTCAGCCTTGCCGGAACCAATTACCAGCATCAGTTGAGTGCTGCTTGTGTCGAAGTAAACGACGGTGCTGCTTAAAAGTCTATGGTTACGCTTAAATATACCAACCCTGTTTACACCACTGGAGTTCGACTCCGTCAATTACATTTTATCAATTTTTTATTAAACACTAGCAAGCATTAAAAAAACAAAACACACACAAAAAGACTCGTGCCACGACCACAATTTACTCAGTGGCCAGAATCAGTTTTTACTCAATCGAAGATAGTGTCTTTACACTGGCATCAAAACACATTGTCACAAAAACCCCATCCGTTTGAGCTGTTCGTAGTTGTAGTCGACGGTTCGTTCGGTGTTCTTAGCACTGCTGGCGACACTCAGAACACACCCTTCCGGTCCCCCCGTGGTCAAGTACTTGCCGTTATCTTTAGCTGCCGTCAACAGCGGGTCAAGTGCCGCCCGGAGACTGGAGAGAGAACCTTCTTCAACGGAAACACCACCCACGGCGTCAGCAGCCTTGACGGTGGCATTAAAGATCGGGCCCAATACCGGTAGCTTCGTCCAGTGGTCGTACAACGCCGTACCCCCGACAATCCCCGGGTGCACCGCAAGCCAGAGGATCCGCGGGTGCTGTTTCGCCATGTATCTGACGTACTGGATCTCCGCCGCCTTGGCGTTGCCGTAGCGGACCCATGTCCACATCGCGTTGGGCCACCGGTTGACTTTTTTGGCGGGGTCAAAGTAGGTGTAGGCAAAGTTGTGGCCGACCGAAGAAAGGAACACCACTCGGGCTTCAGGGGCCGCTTCCAAGTTGGGGATGAGCCGCTCCGTCAAGAGCATGTGGCCGACAAAGTTCACCTGGTACTGCACTTCGTAGCCGTCCTTGGTGACGTCAAACGGCACCCCCATGATGCCAGCATTATTAATCAAGATATCGATCTTCGGCTCCGCTTTAGCGAGCTCCTGGCTCGCCGTTTTCACCGAGTCCAACAGCATCAAGTCCATTTGCACGTGTTTGATCTCGCCCAACGCATGGCCCGTAGACCGCTTGTGTGCTTCTGCCTTGATTTCGTCAATTGCCTTCTGCACCTTGGTGGGGTTTCTTGCCGCCATGTACACCACGTAGCCGTGGAGGTACAAGTGGAGAATGGTGTACCAGCCGAGGCCGCCAGCGCCGCCGGTGATGACGGCCACCCGGCGGTCATTGTTCGGGTCGAGGTAGACGGCGGTGTTTGGGTCGTAGTATTTAGCCTTCACCATGGTGTTTTTTCGATTGGATGCTTTGGTATGAGAAGGTCTCTGGGACGATGGGCTACTTATACGCCGCCATTTGTGGGGTATTGCTTATCAGAAGGCCATCGATTCTCAAGTCTGGGGTTGCCACTTTTCGGGGCCCTGACGAATGGGGTAATGTGCGGCACCGATAACCTCGGCACTTTCGCGTTTGAGAATGCCTCCGAAGCGGTCTCGAACGCCCCCCCACGTAAGCGTGTGAGGCTACTTCCAGCGGTCTCGAACGACCCCCACGTAACCGAGGTATACGCTGATTACATGTGAATAACGCGATGAATACGATGAATAATTGGGTGAAATTAACCCAGCACAATGACGATCGAACTGTTATTGTTGTAAGTATGTGACTTGTCGTAGATATATCAACATTTGCAACGAAAAACCCTCTGCCAACCCTCACTTTGAAATTTGACATTTTGATAACTGCACGACGGTTTCACACTTTTGAACATCGCACGACTATCAACTACAAGATGCCTATCGTTTAAAAACGTAATTACACAGGCTATCTGTTTCCGCCGTCCGCTTAGCATTATCCTAGTCAAAACTTGCCACTATCTCGCGCCGCCAGTGTGCCGATAGTGGAGGCAGGACCTAGTAATCCCCCAAACTAAAGCGATTAATGGATTGTCGTTATCCCTACTATATACTCTCTATCTACACGACGTTGTGGAACTGCTTTTCCAACCCTTTCTTCACGATCTTCTCGATCTCAACGGGATCGGAAGTGATCTTAGTCAAGTTTTCGTAGCCGTCTTTAGTAATCACAATATCGTCCTCGATTCTCACCCCACCAATGTACCAGTACTTGTCGACGACATCCTTGTTGATATACTTCAACATGGTCTCGTCCTTGAGCGGCTTTTCCAACAAGAACGGCAGGAAGTAGATCCCCGGCTCGTTGGTCACCACCATCCCCTGTTGCAAGGGGCGTCTCAACCGCAAGTACGCAAGCAAGGGGTCGGCATCGTCGTAGTTGGGTTCGCCGCCGACGTCGTGGGTGTCTAAGCCGAGCACGTGACCCAAGCCGTGGGGGAAGAAAGGAGCCGATACTTTATTGGCAAAGATCTCGTCGGCGTCACCTTTAAAAATGCCAAGCTTAAGAAACTCGTCGATTAAGATGCGGTGGGCCAAAAGGTGCAATTCGTCCCACAGCTGGCCGGGCTTCATCTTGGCCATCGTCTCCAGCTGCATTCTTAACACGGCGTTATAGATGTCCAAATGCTCTTTAGTCCAGGTGCCGTTAATCGGGAAACATCTGGTGACGTCCGAGGTATAGTTCATCCACTCGGCCCCGGCGTCAATAAGCACCGAGTGCTTTTTATCGTCGATATCGTCGTCGTTGGTAACGTAGTGGAGAGTGGAGCAGTTGGGGCCGGCACAGCACACGGGGTCGTACAGCTGGGCCTTCAGCCCTTGGCGGAGCGCGTGGTACATGAACTCGGCGTGGATGTGGCACTCGTTGGTCTCGATCTTGGTGGCTTCCATCACGGCGCGGTGGCAGTTATCGGTGATAGCGGCGGCGTAGCGCATCAATTCAAGCTCGAACTCGTCCTTAATCAATCTCGCTTCGTCGAGAGCCCATACAAAGTCCTGAGAAACCGTTAATTGGTCGTGGAATTGCGAGTTCATGTCATTAAGCTCCACCGTCAACAACGGCCCTTTAGCGGCTTCCAAATCGGTTTTGAGGTCCACAGCGTACTTAACCTCATCAACATGGAACCGTTTGGCGGCATCGGCTTGCGAGATCGGGTACCCCAGCCACATGATATCGTCTTCATCGATGTCGGCCAAGTACAACGTAGTGCGGCCCAGAGCCACGTCCACAGTCACATGAGACCCTGGAGTCTCACAACCGGTGAGGTAGAAGAAGTAGCGCTCTTGACGGAATCGTTTCAGCAGGTCCAGAAACGAGTAGCACTCCTGGACGGCGCCGGCGACGTAGAGGGTCCCCTCCTTAGTGTTGGATTTGCGCTTAAAATGATCGGCGACACGTTGGGCGTGTTCCTTAGCCGGGTAGGGTTTGTTTTCAAGCAGTTTGGGTCCCCAGAAGCCCACGGATTTCATGTTTTGTGGCGTCATTAGCGTGTGATGGGTGTGGCGGTCTCGGCCCTAAAGTATGAGGGGAGAGCCGCGCGATCGGACGGGGCGGCATCGCTCGGAGTGCGGCAATCGGCGGACACACCAAGAAGACCATTAACTATAAACACCAGAAAACGAGAAGAATAGAGCCTGGATGTGTAAATTGACAATACTACATTATTTTGTGTACTTTCCTGATGAATATTATCACATTGTAGTACCGATCCCTTTTGTTTCCGTGGATATTTCCTGGCATTGGCACGGCGATTTAAGGTCATCTCGCTTAAGCATACCCGAGGCTGAATGTGCTTTCAATCGATGCCAGGTGATTAAAAAGAGAGTAGGTATCAAAAAGCTACGTCAGCTACAGGACTCGAACCTGTGCGCTCAGAGAGCATTTGATGCCTCGAAGGGAATTCGAGTCAAACTCCTTAACCACTCGGACAAACTGACTGGCGATGGCGGAATAACTCCCCGAAGCCTCCCGGAGCGTTGGTAAATAACGAAGCCAACGCCTCCAGAACCGCTCCAAATGGCTTCAAATGGCTCTAGCAGGCTTAGAAATCATTCCAAGATGCTATTAATCCCCTCATATTGCTCATTATAGACCCCAAGCTTGTCTTTTCACTCTCTTTCCCTCATTATTAATCATGCCTGGGGCCCGCGCTTTTTTCACGCCTCCGCAGTTCGGAATTGTTCGACAAATTCCGTGTCGGACCGTTATCACCCTCCACAAACGACAACACACGACGAAAAGAAACATGGTTGAATTCACAAGAAAGTTTACCACCAAATCGGGTATCCCCATCACTATTGGGGCCGGTTCCGGTACTAAATGGCAGTGGTTTAAGAAGAACCAAAACCAGGGCAATCTCACCCAAGAACTCATCGACCAGTTGGTTTTGGCGTTGAAAGTCGGCTTTAACCATATTGACACGGCCGAATACTATACCACTCATGAAGAAGTAGCCGCAGCGATTAAGCAATCGGGCAAAAAGAGAGAGGACTTGTTTTTGACCACTAAGTACTCGCCTGGCTACTTGGGCACTCTGTGCATCACTTCGGGACCTTTGGAGTCGATCGACAAGGCGTTAAAGGAGTTTGACACCGACTACATCGACTTGTTTTTGATCCACTCGCCGTTCTTTGACGAAACGTGTCTGAGAGGTTTGACGTTGCTGGACGCGTGGAAACAGATGCTCGAGGTGAAAAAGTCGGGCAAAGTGAGACACATCGGCGTGCTGAACTTTGCCATCCCCCACTTGGAGGAGATCATGGCCATTGACCCCTCTGTTGTCCCCGAAGTGAACCAGATCGAAGTGCACGCGCAATTACAGGAACAAACCCCCGGTATCTTAGATTTCTGCCGTCAACACCAGATCCAAGTGGAAGCCTACGGCCCGTTGCTGCCGTTATTCCGCTCGGAACAGTCTCCGATTATCCCGGAAGTGGAGAAGTTGGCCCAGAAATACCAGAAAACCCAGGCCCAAATCTTATTGAGATGGGTCTACCAACAAGGCATCCTCCCCATTACCACTCTGACCAATGAGCAAAGACTTAGAGACGCGTTAGACATTGTTAACTTTGAGCTTGAGCAGAAGGATCTCGATGCCCTTACCCAATTGGGGTTGGTTCACCGCCAACGCAACTTCTTTGCCGACGACATGGCCAAAGTGGAAAAGCAATTGACGGTTCCTGCTGCTGTTGCCATCTAGACTACTGCTTAGAGATGACTAAATATCAATAGATAGATGACTATTCGAAAATCATCATATATTAGACGTATACGTCACACCAGTAGATGATCATATTGATGGGGTTGACTCGGTAGAGAATAGAGGAGTATGTTACATATGGTACAGGAGAGAGATAGCAGTAGTAGTCGGACTACGAGAACTTCCAGCGGTTGTCGCAGTTCAAACAGGTGACGAACGTCGTCAACGGCTCATCGGCAGAACGGGTTTGCATCTGGAAGTAAGTGGTCTTGCGCCCTTTACATTTCAGACACTCAAACCGGTCGGAGATGGCGTGTTCCTGTTGCGCTTCCTGGGCGTCAAATAAGTTCTTTTTGTGCATCTCTTCCATCTCCTTCTTTAACAGTTCCGGCGCCATTTCCTTCGGCGTCATCTTGATGAACGCAGCGGGTTCGATGGCTCCCGTCAATAACCGGTGGCGCAATTCGGGGTTCTTCTTGTTGCGCAAGTTCATCGTGAACGATCTCAACTTGTTGCGGTAGTTGTCGTTGACGGCCAGGTACTCCAGCTTAAACACTTCCGATTCGATAGCCGTAGCCACAGCGACGATATCCTTGGCGGCGTCGTCGCGGTCAATGGCCAACGCCGTGTATAACGCCGAAACGGAGGCGTTTCTGGTGGTATTCTCGTAAAGCGTGGTGTTGACGCCGTCGGTCTGCGGGTTACGCGGCCCCTGGTGGAATTTGGAGTTGGTGGAACCCGCCCCCGCAGCAGGGGCATTGGTCGAGGGCAGCGCTGGTTTCGCCGCCAGGGTCCCCGCCGCCGCCGCCTTTGCTGGAGCCGGCAGCGCCAGCTGTTTCTTCTTTTTCTTTTCGTTCAGCACTGCTTCCTTCCACAGCTTAATCATTTTCACCACGAGTTGCTGGACCTTAGGGTTGGCGTGGCTCTTAAACTTATTCACCGCCACGCCGACCTTGGTCTCGCGGAGAAGCTTTTCCGTCGGGTTGACGCCGTCGTTCAAGATGTTGAGCAACTTGAGGATGGTGGCCTCGTCCTGGGCCTTCTCGAGGTTCGAGATGATGGTGAGGATCTCCTTGGGTTCCATGGCTAGAGAGAAGAGACGGAGAGACTGAGACGGAGAGAGAGAGAGTTAGCCGGTAAGCGCGCGCTATGTCTCGTGAGGCTAGTGAAGAGTATGGAACAGTGTCGAGAAAACAAGACAAAATAGGGGTCCCGGAAATGAGCGGCGGACTCTCAAGTAAATACTGATGGAGACAGGTGGAGACAGATGAAAAGTAAGAGTGCAAGGGGATACGTTTTGTGGAGATGGGGAACTCCGAAGGGTGCGGGAATTTGTCGAGGCAAGTAGAGATAAACGTAACAGTAAACAATGACCATGGTTCGTGGATAAAGAGAACAAATATATGCACAGACAAGAATTGTTTTGTTCTTATAGCGTGGCAATATTGCTTTGGACGGTTAATTTATATAAAGCGAACAAAGCGGTCGAAGAGAAATCGTCTCGATCTTGGCTCACTTGAAAAAGAAATCTTAGCCTATGGAAATGATTATTTCGATTACGGTGCATCAATAGTAGACGGAAACTTGAATGAAGAACGACCATTGGTAGTAAAACCAGTTGTTAGCGATGGTGACTTTAATACAGTGAGTTGTTGCCAGAACGAACTATGAGCTATTAGCTTGGCTCAGCAAAGTGGGATCGTTGCTGCTGGAACCAATTATTTGGTATCACTTCTCTCTTGTAGGATCGTTGTTGCTAATCATCGGTTATTCGCTTGGTTTAGAGAAGTGGGATCGTTGGTGCTAAAACCGATTATGATTTTAGTACGAATGGGGTCAATGGATGACACTTTGGAGGTACCAGCTGGTGTCGACATTACGGTACTGAACATCAATTTCATTGCGTGTCTTCTGAAGCCAGCAACAGAGACCCTGCTTGTGGTTGGACATTCATATATTCATCAAATGCAAGCATCACCAACAACGGCTCCGTTCGTAGATCTAAAGAAGAAACTGCTCATATGAATTTGATGACTTGTGATTGTACCAGTTGGATCGTGAAAGCTTTGTGGCTCTACCTTGAGAAACTTTGGGGATAGCTGGGCACCCATAATTTACCCCATGTGATCCACGCCACAACAATGACTCACGCCGGTTATTGCATTAAATGATCCGTGGCTTTGGCAGCTTTAGCGGCTAGTTATTTTGGGTGTCTGACATATTTTTTTGGGTTTGGTATGTGTCATTCGATTGTGGAAAATCACATGCGGCTGAAGTATTGTGACAAACACAACAGCGAATTGTAGTGTTCGAGAGAAGGTAGTCGATAACACATGCTGAGCCGCTAGCACAACACGGGGGGAGAGAATGTTGGGTGGGGACGGCCACGGTGCTACAAACGCTACCTCCGGTTGCTGTTGACGTCAACTGCGGTAAGCTCATGTGATATCACAAGGCTGACACACCCCCAAAGCTAAACTTAGACATTGACTGTGATCACTAGAGATCAAGGAACGAGCACTAACCGATGAGCTTTCCAATAACATAGATTATCTTCTCAGTCCCTAGTCATTAATATTCTCAAATCTACCTGCACCTAGTTTGATTATGCAAACTCATAATGATTACCAAGAACTTGTTAAACTAAACAAAACTAGTTTCATCGAGATCATCTACGTTTCGTATCATGTTTCATCTCTCGTCTCACTGTCTTAATACTCATAGTTGTCGCGCGCGACTTTGACTACCGACAACGCTTACGCCGCCGTCGCCTTTCCTTTGTGTCCCCATCCCCTCAATCTCCCCGGTCCACACCAATTACCAACACAGTTTTTAATCGCTACACTACCCTGAGTTATGGAGCTGACGACCGTATCCGTGGGCAAGTTCCCGCAGGAGTACACTGAGGAACAGATCATGGCCATCGCCAAGCTGGTGGGCCCCGTGAGCGACGTGAAACTCATGTTTGACGACATGACGGGCCGGCTGAAAGGGTTTGCCCATATCCGCTACAACGACGTCGAAACCGCCCGCCTGGCTGTCCGCAACCTCAACTACATGCCCATCGCCAACAACCGCTACTTGCGGTGTGTGTTCACCACCGACACCCACACCGACGCCCAGCTTCCCCAGTTGCCCCTCGGACTGCAGATCGCCATGAACCAGCAGGCGGACCGCGTCGTCGACGACATCGTCGCCCAGCTCGACAACCTGACGTCGATGGCGGTGATCGCCGACTTGAAAAAGATGTGCCAGGACAACCCCGAGTTGGCGTGTGTGTTGTTTGAGCGCTACCCGCAGTTGGGGATGGCGGCGGTCGACATTGCCATCAAGACCGGCGCCACTAACCCGGATATTGTCGGGCTTGTGCGGCGCCACCGGTCGCGAGAAATTGTTGAGCTCTCGCCCGAACAGCTCCACTGGCTCCGGCAAGTTGCGGTGGTGCCCGCGTCGGACTTTGACGACGTTGGCGACGCCGCCGCCACCATGCGCCAGCTCCAGGAGGACGTCATCGCCGGGAGGTTCGGCGACATTTCACATGCAAATTGATCGCAAAATATAAAGTGGCATCAACAATATCAGAATCACACGAATCACCACACCAATGCCTGAGAAACAACTAAAGACCCGCGAGGAGATCGTGGCTGACTTTGAGAATGAGCTTATTGAGCTTCACGGGATGACCGTCACCGTCGACGGCCACCCGCCGTTGGAGTTTTCGCGCGACATGGAGCCGATGCCCCAGCGCCTCCACTTTATCTTGCCGGAGTACCTGACCTACACGTTGACGGTGCGGTTTAAGACACCCAATAAGCAATTGCTGAAGTTGCGGTACAAGCAGCTGGTGAAGAAGGCCGGGATGACGCTTAACCTGAGAGATGAGCACTTGTGCGACTCTACTAATCTTGAGGAAATGCACACGGTGACGTTGCCTCCGGAAACCTTACCTGGTGGTACCTTCCTCAGAGGCGTGTACCCGGCTACCCTGAAGTTTTTGGAGGACGACGAACCGGTGCTCCGGTGCAAATGGACCATCGAGTTGGTGAGTAAGAAGCACGCCCCCGCCATTGGCGGATACGAATAGGCGATTTGCTTTTAACGAATGGCTGGTCCTGACGACGCATGAGTATATAGATAATAAACGCATAATACCACCCTGGCTTTTTGCTGTCAAATGTGTCAAATAGTGTGGCTATTCCGCCTCGTAAATCGCTTTCACAAGCACGTTACGACCCAAAAAAAAAGGAAGCGGTCTGGAATCAACTGATCCAAATCGGGTCACCTACGACGTGCTAAGATAGGTGGTACGAGTCCAAATCATGTTAACTACTAATGTAACCGTTAAGGTATTTATAGCAGTTACACAATCGACTAATTTCGAAGAGAGTAGTGGTCACAAGAGAGACGACTTTCCAGCGACTTCCCTTAAATGTGGCGTGATAGCAACCGCACTACCAGAGGCCTCGGGAGCTACTCTCCAAGGACACAAAAAGTAATAGTTATGCTACCAGATCCACCACTCGGTAACCAAACAGACGCTTGTATAGCAATTTTTGTAAATGACTTAGCTAGGGGCTATACCGGTTGTCTTAGAGGTAGTACTAGTGGTAGTGTGGGGTTACCTGCAGGGGTTTATCTCCACGTGACCTGGGGAGTGACCCCCCTTGGGCCACTCTCCTATAAACCTCACCATTATCACCAACCACCACCACCGCCAGTCGCCACCACCACCCACAGCTCCCCACGCCTTCCCCAATCAACCTCAAACGCAACCTCAAACACACAATTCCAAACTCAGTCAGTCCCGTGTTAGTATGACCACTCCCAAGCGCAGAATCGAAAAGGACATGATGGAGTTGATGATGCTGGACCACGAGGTCCTGCTTGTCGACGACAACATGCAGCAGTTCTACGTGATGTTCAAAGGTCCCCGGGACACCCCCTACGAAGGCGGCACCTGGAAGGTGCGGGTGGAGTTGCCCGACCAGTACCCGATCAAGCTGCCCCTGATTGGCTTTACCAACAAGATCTACCATCCAAACATCGACGAGCTGCTGGGGCTGGTGTGTCTTGACGTCATCAACCAGACGTGGTCGCCCATGTTTGGTTTGCTCAACATTTTCGAGGAGTTTTTGCCCCATTTATTGCGCTACGCCAACCCCAGTGATCCGTTAAACGCCGACGCTCTGGGGTTGATGAATAAAGATATCGACCAGTACACCGAGACGGTGAAGCAGTACGTCAAGAAGTATGCGCAGGCGCAGCAGGAGGTGGCCGAGAACGGCGCCGACGACGACGGCGACGACGACGAGCTCAGCGACGTCGGGAGCTTGTCCGACATCGACTAATCGACCAATGCATTACCCAATAGACACATTACGAAACTGACTAGGGCTTGTAGAGTATTATCGTTGATCGGTCTCGTCAACGGTAGAGTAGATGCGAGCTATGATCATCAATTTCAATTGATGGTAGTTTGTTGTGAATCGATTTCACTTGTATTTCTTTTGAAACACGATGAGCTCTAGTTTATGATGAGTCGTCAACTTAATTTGACATAGACATGATCGCCATGATAGCAATGAGATCTCCAGGATAGAAGACGTCAGAGAGATGCTATAGAGGTTTCGAGTACTCACTAGAGTTTATTGACTTGTACTCAACCTCTTCCTCACTTGTAAGTTTCTAACTTACCATGGATATTCTCTATTCATAGTAGTATACTCACCGTTGCTGTTACCAGACCCCACACGATCTCAAACCTCAGTGAAACTCATAATCAATTGATTTAATCCATCTTCCACTACTAACCAAACCAATGGCTCATTTAAATCATCAATTCCAATTTACTTTGCCTGGTGTTTGATGTATTTGTGGAGGAGTCTATCGTCTTCTCATCACTAGCGCGCTGGACCATGACTCAGGAGGCGCCGCCAACCAAGGCCCGCTCCGTCACCGGCGACGATCTCTACCGCCGGCTGAGCCAGTACCGGTTATGGTCGTATACTCCCGAGCTGTTAGCTGAACGCAAACGCCACACCCACGAGCGGGGGGTCCGCAAAGTCAACGATAAGTTTGACGAGGCCCACAAACGGCTATGCGAGCAACACCCCCAGGCGTTCGCCGACCACGGGCCCCAGCTCTCTCGCGACGCTTTGGTGGAGTATTTTACCCTCCAGGAAGAGACGAGCTATCTTACTTATTACTGTATGATGATATTACGGTTGCTGGACTCGCTTAAGATGCCGTCTCAGGTGAAGGCGACGGCGGTGCTGTTCTTCCGCAAATTCTATTTGGAGAACCTGGTGATGGAGTTCCACCCCAGAAACGTGTTGTTTACGTGTGTGTTTTTGGCGGCGAAGCTGGAGAACTGCTTTATGAAGCTCGAGGCCTTTGTCAACGCTGCGCGCAAATCCAACTCCAAATTGACGGAAAAGGACATTTCTGACCTTGAATTCACCGTGTTGCTGCTGCTAAAGTTTACTTTGTTGGTACACCACCCGTTCCGCCCGCTTTACGGGTTTTTCCTCGACTTTCAACAGGTATTGATCCAGGCGGCCAACCCCCCCGTACTCACCGTTGACCGGCTCGGGGCGCTTTATGATCGAGCGAAAAGATGGCTCAGTGACCAGGCATTGCTTACCGACGTCCAGTTTTTGTTTACACCGCCGCAAATCGCATTGGCGGCACTTTATTCGGTGGATCCAGCCATGGTTGAGACCTATATCAATAAGAAATTTCCAACACCGACTGAAACTAAAGTTGAAGCTACCCCTGAAACTAAAGCTGAAACTAAAGCTGAAACGAATGGTGAAACGAATGGTGAAACCGAAGAGGCTGAGGAACCAGCACCGCCGACACCACAACAGTTACTCGAAGTGGTTAAACAGTGTGCTCAGTTAGGGCTGGCAGTGCCTGAAGAAGATAAGGAGGCGATCCGGGAGATCGACAAGAAGGGGTTCTTCTGTCTCCACCCGACTCGACTCATTGAAAAACGGTTGAAAAAGCTTAATCCGACGCCGCCACCGCCACCTCAATAAACTCGCTCATCGAGCATCGTCGAGCAGTGTCCTTAGCGGCTAACCCCCGCACCCAGCCAAAAATGGCCACCAGTGCGAAGTCATAGCCACGAACCAGAGCAACCCACTGGAGCCCTGTCGATCCTCCCCATAAACTATATCATATTATACTATAGTGAATTTCACGAGAAATATAATCTCAATCCTAGTAAGGTTCCTCAGCTCATCTCTATCGTCTCCCCTATTGCTAGCGGCTAGAGGGATGCGCTACGCACCTACCGTTTTGCCGCTAGCCGCTAACGCCCGCACACCCGCACGCCCCCCACGCTTGCTCTATATAAACCCGTACCATCCACCCTGCCAAGATGCTCCGCAGAACCTGGACTCGCTTGTACTCAATGAACTCGCACGTGGCGTCCCAATTCAAAAACCAGAACCTCCTCAAGACCGAGGCTTTCGTCAACGGGAAATGGGTGTCGTCGGGTAAGACGTTTGCCGTCACCGATCCGGCGAAGGATACCGACAACGAGCTCGCCCAGGTGACGGACATGCCGACCGATGCGTTTGAACTGGCGGTGGAAGACGCCTATACCGCGTTCGCCTCGTTCAAGAAGGTTTCCGGCCGCGACCGGGGGGCCATGCTCCAGAAGTTGTACCAGCTCATGATCGATAACGCCGACGATTTGGCTAAGTTGATCGTGTTGGAAAACGGGAAACCGTATGCCGATGCCCTTGGCGAAGTCAAGTATTCGGCGCTGTTCTTCCAGTGGTTTGCCGAAGAGGCTCCTCGAGTGTACGGCACCGTTATCCCCTCGGCCGACTCGCAAAAGCGGATTTTGGCGTTGAAACAACCCGTCGGCGTGTGTGGGATCATGACCCCGTGGAACTTCCCCCTGGCGATGATTCTGAGAAAAATGGGCGCAGCTATGGCTACTGGTTGTACCGTGGTGATTAGACCCGCCTCGGAAACTCCCCTTTCCGCCCTCGCTCTCGCCTATCTTGCAGAACAGGCTGGTTTCCCTGCGGGTACCGTCAACGTGCTCCCGTCGCTGAGCGCTCTGGCCTCGGGTAAGGTGCTTACCCAACACCCTAAGGTGAAGAAAGTGTCGTTCACTGGCTCCACCAGAGTCGGGAAGATCCTTATGGAACAACTGTCGCTGACTTTGAAGAAGTTGCTGATGGAATTGGGTGGCAACGCTCCGTTTATCGTGTTTGAGGACGCTGATCTCGACGCCGCCGCCCAGGGGGCAATGGTGTCCAAGTTCAGATCGCTGGGCCAGACCTGTGTGTGTGCCAACCGTCTCTACATCCACGAAAAAGTCTACGACGAGTTCGCCAAGAAGTTTGTTGCTCTCGTCAACAAGACGAAGATGGGGTACGGTCTCGATGAAGGCATCACCCACGGTCCTTTGATCAACCAGAAACTGATGGATAAAGTGAGAGAACACATCGACGACGCCGTGAAAAAGGGCGCCAAGGTGCTTGCTGGCGGTAACAAGCTCCCTAACTTGGGCGAGAACTTCCACGAGTTGACGGTGTTGGGTGACGTCACCAAGGACATGGTGATCACCCAGGACGAGACCTTCGGGCCCGTGTGCCCCTTGATCAAGTTCTCCACCGACGAGGAGGTGATTGCTGCTGCTAACGATACCGACGTCGGCCTCGCCGGCTACTTCTTCTCGAAGGACGTGCTGAGACTCTTCACCGTGGGCGAAGAACTCAACGTGGGGATGATCGGGGTAAACGCCGGCGGTATTTCCGAGGCGGCGTTGCCCTTTGGCGGTGTTGGCGAAGCCGGGTTTGGCCGTGAAGGGTCGAAGTACGGCATCGACGACTACACCGTGGTTAAGGCGATGGTGGTGGGGTTGTGATAGATTATAGAATATTTTTAGTTTTACGATACCAGAAATGAACAGACACGAGAAACAGACAACCTTCATAAAATTCTGGGCCCATTGCTGTTGGCAACGGCAGTAATTATCAATTTGGGAAGTCCAACTTAAATTACATTGGGAAAACATATTTTACTTTCACCAGCGTCCTCTTCAGGTACGACGTACTTCTACGGCTAATCTCTTTGTCTTTTAGCTTTAAAATAACGGTGGTATATCTTCATTCCCGGCCTAAGGCGGACTTTACTCACCATCCCCGTATTTAGGGGATTGCACACAAAATCGATGACTCTCCCTGAGCTCGGATGTCTGCACCCAAGTGTCGGAGTTGCTATCAGTACGGTTGAAAACTATATAAACTAGTCTTTCAGGCGGTCTGTGAATCCCACGATTGGCCTTCATTCATCGAAATGCCTCCTAACGTTTCCGAAAGCGAGGCTACTCCGCTCCAGACGGAGACGCAAAATAATGCTAGCTACGGCAAGGTTAACCAGCAATACGTAACGGTGGATGAATTCAACGCTTTTAAGGCGGAGATTGAGGAGAAACTCCGCCAGCTGAACAACGAATTGAAGACCGTCCACAAGGAACTTGACCACGAGTCCCACGACAGGGACCACAGCCAACTCTACAAAGTTCGGTTTACTCCTAAGTGAGTTTTCTTATTCTTTTATTGCGTTTACCAACCAATAAACGTATCCCAGTCGCCCGATTTCACTGTAATCAGCCAATTTGTAGGATGGGTCGATGCTAAACTGTAAAAATGTCATTGCGTCGTCATGCACCGCATCCCCGTGACGCGATTGGAAATAGAATCGGAAATACTGTTTCATGGGTGAAAAATGTCAAATATGAAATTGTAATGAACTTGCTGCATTAGTATTAGAACCTTTTCGTTGATTGAATCGACGCTGGTGGCTCCCACTGCCTGTCGGAGGTGTCTTTACTAAGGTACAGTATGAGCACGATCCACGGGGCTACGGGTCGTTGATATGGCTGACGGTACACGCTAATCGACTGGTCCGAGGATGGGGTACCGCTGTAAATAGTTGGGAACTGTAAGTTTTACCTCAAAAAGCGTCCTGTGACTATGTCGTAGTTGAATCAGACTTGAATTAGACTTTGGTAACGATGATCATTTTGGCGAGGCTAAAGGAAATCGAGTGCGGAATGTCAAGCTCAGTGAGAAGCAGCAGGAGAAGGTGCTAGCCCGGTATTTAATCACGAGGCTTCCCTTCATGTTGATCCCCGATTGAGACAGCGTGCTATAATAGCGACAACCAGGAGGTAGCTTCTCAGGCCGGTCTCGCTCTCAGTCGTTGGTAGAGTCTGAGTACGGGTGAACTCGGAACCCTCAGGTTACATAATCGGGGTGAGACAACAAGTCGCACCCGTCAACGCGACATATGTATACAATAAACCGCAGCGCGCGTGGGGGTAATAACCAGCGGACCCATGTTCTTCCACATTTTTCAACTAAGTTGAACTTTATGTGATTAGCAAAGACACCATAAAAATGCCCTGCTTCTGATAGATTATATGGTCAGTCTTTTCTTCTTTTTCTAGATTGAGTTAGCCACGCTGAAGTCAACATTCCGCAGTCGTCTCGTCAACCTTCCCCTCTTTTCACGCGACATTTTCAATTAATTGTCCAAGCCCCCTACGCCCATGACAACGACAAGACAAAATTTCCCCACCAGTTTTCAAGATATTGACACCGGGGAAGTTGGTAGCAACTCATTTACTCATTAAATATGGTGGTGGTTTTGTACCAGATTTATTGCCGATCAGGATCTGATTAAGCTGCAACCCCAGATGCTAAATGTCGCAGACGACACTGCGATGAGATAAGGGGGGGAACGCGGGCGAGGAAATAGGGGGCTCGTCTAATTAACCTAGTATACACTCTTCGTCTAACTGACTTAATATACAGTCTCCGTCTATATAATCCCAGTGCCCCCCCCCCAGTATTAGCTCAATAATTCCAATGATGCAATCTCAACCGCTGCAGACTGTGTGCCATACATATCCGACTGCATGCCTTCCCTAATTGGGATTGACACACTGGACCTACCATCAAGACCTAAGCCTACTGTTGGCTCCTCTTGAACTCGTGACCCGTTCCCAGCCACGACCACTACCCTTAAGTGGCTTGGTTTGACCTACTAACGCCAGCAACCCACTACCCTTAAGTGGCCTGGCTTGGCCCACCTATTGCCGGAACCCACTACCCTTAAGTGGCCTGGCTCCACCAAATGCCAGCAACCACTACTCCTAAGTGACCTGGCTTGACCTACTAATTGCCTGGACCCATCATCCCTCGGTGGCTTGGCTTGGTCTACTAACACCAGAACCCACTACCCTTAAGTGGCCTGGTGACCTGACTTACAGTTGCTTTTTGACTATCAACCCTTTGGAGCTTTGGCTACCCGCCTTACTCATCTCGCGGTCAAAAGGCATGCTGTTGCTGTTGATACCACTACCCAAGATTTTGTGACCTCAAATTTGACGTTGTTGAACATGCTGTTTCTATTTAGTTGGAACTTCTTGCCCCAAAGCTCCAGTGGTGTCCTTTGACACCCCGGCTGGAAAGGGTGATCGCCTGCCAACAGTTTAACGCTTTAGCGACTTCTACCGGCTCGGTCACCACGGAAGGCGCGAGCCATCCTGGAGCCCTTACTCTCCCAAGGACTTCAAAGGTGGTACTCGTGGGTGCTTGCTCACGCTCGGAATTGTGCTGGCCTCGGGTAGTCATATACATTGACGCCGCGGGGATGCATCCGTACGGCTACTGACATATAGTGGGTGTTGGAAAGACTCTATAGACATGGTCCTAACGCTGTTTAGCCCAACTTTAGGCTGGTATTGTGCCCCTTAGATAGCATGCCGGTCCCCAGTACGTAGCCGATTAACGTCGATGAAATACTGTGGGTTCCAAATCATGGCATGTTAGTTTCCAGAAACCGGGTGGAAGCCCCCTTATTTTTTGAAAAAAAAAAAAGAGGGGAAACTGACCACGCCCTGCACCAGCGGTTTAGCTCTCTGTAACATCCCTCACCGGATGATCACGTTAACAGGGACAACCCGGCTGCTCTGCAGGTTTTTACTGGCGACTGGACGTCGACGTGTGAACAGGGGGTTCCCCCGCTGAAACATCCCCACGGGGTGATCAAGTTGTCAGCGGCAACCCGCCTGCTCTCGCACCCCACGGGAGACACTTTACTATTGGCTAAAGCTACGGCTTCTCAGTTGTCGTTTGTAGTTACTGGTTGCGGGGAGTGATATTAACAATTTAGGTGGACGGGTTAACCGGCTAATGATCCATGGATTTTGAACTCTGATGGCCATTAGCCTCATCGTCAGTGGCCGCTGGGCCAATAAAACTAAGTCTAGTGGCCGCCTTACCCTTTGCATAAGTGGTTGATGGCCATTAACAACTATCGGTGGCTACTAAACTTACTATACCACTGCTATTGGACACTAACTGCTGCCTGAAGCCACTGGCACTTTGAATAATTGCTGTTTGGGCCTTCAAAATAATTTACGCTGGCACTGACACTCTGAAATTGTGGCTGAAGTTCATCAAAAACTGCTGCAAGCCCTTGGCCCTTTGGAACAACTTGTGCTGGCACTGAACCTATGGCCTTCTGGTATTTTGCTGGAGGCCATTTGCCCTTTGGTTTAATTTCTTGAAACCATTTGCCCTTTGAACTAACTAATATTGGCGACTGTTCCCTCAACTTTGGTTGCCATTAATCCCTTTGACAAAAGCTATTTGAGCTCCGGTGAGATGAGTCATTTAGCAACGGGAATTGTGATGCTTAGCTGTGAACACCACTACACCGACGCAAACCCTCAGGGCAACTCATACACGTTTGCCGTCGGTACAAGCTGGTGATGGAGTTGGTGACAAAAAGAAGTGGAGGTGGTGAAGAAGGAGGTGGTGAAGAGGGGGGTTGTGGATCAAACGTGTTGGGGTTGGAGGTTGTGTGTGGAGGAAGACAGTTGTGGTGATGGAGGTTGTGGTGGGGGAGGTGGTGCAGAAGAAGGAAGTGGTGGAGGGGGTTGTGAAGAGGGTTGGACGCTGCTGAATTCTAATTGCCATGGCTGGAACCTTTAACCTTTTATTAACTTCAGGGGATTTGTTCGAAGACTAAACACACGCTTGCCATGGCAACAGATCCCGCTGGAATTTGATTGAAACTACCTGAAAGAGAAGATTGATGCTCACAAGAACTTACGCTGAAGATACTGAAAGAGAAGATTGATGCTCACAAGAACTTACGCTGAAGATACCGAAAGAGAATACCAATGCTCACGCTGAACTTCTATGGAGAAATACAACCGGTGCTCACTTACAACTTTTGCTGCTGAACTCGAGGACCTTGGATGGTTACAATCGGCGTGTCGCTACATATACTGCGGTTTGAGTCTTTCACTGGGGTCAGAGGTACTACTTCGCCGGCTCACAAATCTACAAGCCCGTGCTCCCGAATACGTGAAGGTTGTATTGGAAATCCCATTCCACCATCACTACCTGGCCCCCATACTCTATCAAACTTACTGCTAAACTGATGACACTGGAAAGGCGCCTATAACGATGCTTGTGGCTGTTGCCCACACTGAAGGGTAATGCCGAACTTGAAAACTCTAAGACAAGTCACTGACGCTAAAATTTAACAAGCCATTGGCGCTGAACCATAACCAAGTGACCACAATATCTCATATAGCTTAAGTAGTACTGGACTTATGTAGAGCTCGGAACGGTCAAGTCAACTCCCGTTCGGCGTGTAGCACTTTATAGGTATTTAGGGTTCTCACTGACGTGAGCATCATATATAAGAAATACACATAAACAAAGTTTCACAACTTCGTCAAGCTTTCTATAAGAAATTCAAAGGCTTAATCTTGAGAAGGCTTTCTGCGACTTCATACAAACTGACTGGTCTATTACTAAGGATGTATATGGCTCAAGCAATTTGGCAAGGCTAAGCGATTCCGAGGTTCTTGATAAACAATGCTTAAACCATTGCAAAAAACAGATGAGAGATCAGTAGCACAAGATCAAACCTATAAGCCTGCTTTATGAATTCAGAATGTGAACTAAGAGATGGTTAGAAATGATCGATTTTAACGTAGATTAGACTAAGAGTCTGTGGTCACAAAATTCAATATAGGATCAAAGTACTGATCATCGATTCATTTCTATATGCTGTGGAGACTACTAGATTTCTAATATGACTCATTCATTCATAAAAATTATCTGGTTCTAATGACACCGGCGGCGATCAACATGTTGACCTTTTTGGCGACGTCGGGATTCTTCATGTGTTCCTGCAACGCGGCGGGGTTGTCGCGGGCCTGGCCCAAGATCAGCTGCATGACGGGGTCCTGTAAGATCTTGACGATCTCGGGGTCCTTCAGCACCCGTTCCATCGTCTGTTCCGGGGTTTCCCCTTCGATGTTCTGGAACCGTTGCGCCGCCGCCTTGTTGTACAATTGGTCGATTTCGGCAGCGTTCTTGCCGCCGAGGGCCTGGTCACGTTCACGAGCGGTGGCCAAGGTTTCCATCACCTGCGAGTACTCCTTCATCATCAACTGGGCGTTGGCCTTGCGGATGTAAGCTCTGATGAAGTCCGGGTCCTTTTCAATGGCCTTGTTGCAGTCTTCGACGGCGTCAGGGAACGACAAGAGCTTAGCGAGAGCAGCAGCACGGTTGGAGTAGCCACGAGCGTCTTCGGGAGCCCGCTTGATCATCTCGGTATAGGCTTTAACGGCGTTGGGCCAGTCTTGCTTTTCAAAGTAATCCTTACCTTGGAGACGGGCCTCTTCGGCCTTTTCCGGGTCGACATAAGCATCAGCCTCGCGCTTCTTCAACTCCTTTTGCGTCGCCCGCAACTTATTGAGGACGTCGGGGGTACGGTGTTCCGTGAGCGACTTGTCGAACGCCTTAATCGCCAGCTCGAGGTCGTCCTTCTTCAAGTAGGTGTTACCCAAACGGGCGAACGCCTTGGCGATGAGCTTGTAGTCGGCTCTCATCTCACGGCCTTCGTCAATGGCCTTTTCACAAGTAGCAATGGCGGCATCGTAGTCCCCCTTTTCATACTCAGCCGCCAGCCGGTTGTTTAAGTAGGTGATGTCCTTGTAAGTTTCCCAGGCCTTGTTGTAAAGATCGATGGCGTCGTCAAACTTGCGTTGCTTGTACAATGTGTTGGCTTCGGCCTTGTACTTGTCGGCCTCGACCTTGGCGGCATCGGTCATCTCGACATCTTCATCCTTAGCCGCCGGTTCCGGTTCCTTAGCTTTGGCAGTTTTAGCTTCCGCCTGAGCGGCATCGGCTTCGGCCTTAGTCTTTTCTTCAAAGCCCGCAGGCGGCTGGTCGGGCAAGTTGTCCAAATCAATGCCCATCATCGCCGCCATGATCGACATCAATCTGGGGTCGGTGAGGAACTGGGTGGCGTTGGCCTTGGGGTTAGCTTGAATCTGTTGAAGTTTAGCCACAAGCTCCGGGTCTTCCATCAATTTCGAGGTCTTAGGGTTGGCCTTTAAGTTCTCAATCAAATTAGGGTCGGAGAAAATAGCCCCCAAACCCATATCGGGAGTGGCGTTACGCGCTTCAATCAAGTGCAGCGCCTGGTCCAAACCTTCCTTGGCCATGGCGTTGGTGGGTTCGATTTCAAGCGCTTTTTGGTACGCCAGTTTCGCGTCCTCCAAATTGCCCAAACCAAGCTCGGCAGCGCCGACACGGTTATACCCTTTCGCCCAGGTAGGGTTGATCTTGACACACTCCTTGGCATCGGCTAACGCCTTGTCGAACTGCTTCAACAGCGCTTCCGCCGCCGACCGGTTCAGGTAGAGCACATGGTTCGGGGTGGCCAGGGCGTCGATGGCTTTGGTGAACGCGTCAATCGCCTTGTCGAACTCCTTGGCAGCAAAGTGCTTGTTGCCCTCGGCCTTGTATTCGTCAGCAGACATCGGATCAGTCAGTTTATTTAGCACTGGGTTGGGAAAGGGCAACCGCTGGTGGGGCGCCTTTTTTTTATACGGTGCGACGGGACCCCCGGACAGAATTCCACCGGCTTCCACGAGCAAGCCACCAAAGAATGGCACGGAAAATGACCAGATATAAGAGGATTGAGCTATGGTGGTATTGGTTATTATTTGTACTAGGGTGATTGATATTCTGAAGTCTATAGATGGGGGTGTAGGGGGGGGATCTAAGGGGGATGCCTGATTAGTGGCGATGGCTGATCTAGTGCGACGATTGCGACGATCGGCACCAATTAGTGTCGCGAACCTTCCAAGCGTGTCGCGGAAATTCCATGAATTCAAAATCAGCTGAGTATGACTGTTGGTGGCTGACATTGAAAATCTGTAGCTCATTGGACTTTAATCGCCGAATAGCCTTCAAATGTGATAGGTTGTAGTCAGTCGATGTAATGTAGTTACACAACACTTGGAATTGCCTTCGGGAGGGGGTCGAGGTGAATTGGGGCATCGACGTCCAGCGATTGCGGCGAGATCAACTCGATCTTGTGCGGTACCAAGTACTTGAAATACACATACTGGTAGCCAATATAGATGTCCAACAGCATCTGGAACAATGCCGCGAGGATAAAGATCACCAGCACGTTGTTAGTTCCGTAAAGCAAGTAGCCGATCTTGGTCAAATCACCGCCGTACCACGAGAACAACAACACCAATTTGAAGTTATCCACCAGCTGGAGTCTGCGAAGCAAAAGGATCTGCGGTAACGGAAGCAACAGCTCGATGAGCAATCCCAATATCCCTAAGAAAGTGCCCCACTTTTCCGAGTGGAGAAGCAAGAACGTCAGCGTGGCGAAGATGGTCATGAACGACGCCACAAACCGCCAGTAACTTCTCGGGTACTTCCACTGCCAGAACAAGAAGGGCCGCTGGTAGTAGACGTCAAAGAACCGGAGCGTCTGGGCTATCGCCACCCTCAAATACACTTCCCACTCCTCCACAAGGTCGCTCCAGTAGTCGTTTTCAAGGCGATGGTTGGTGGGGTTGCTGCGGTCGGGGAGCTCGTTGTGGACCTCCTGGTCGAAGTGGGGCATCGGTGCAAGCAACTCCGGGTCGTACTGGGGCAGGCGGTACTTTAGGGCGAACGTCAAGAGGACCAGCTGGATCACCATCTGTACCATCAGCTGGCACAAGAGCGTCACCTCATAGGGGGTGATGATGTAATAGAGGATACGTAGCCACAGCGCCATTAGCATGGTGGCACAGATGTCGATCAGAAACCCCGTCAGCGTCTGTTTACGGTAGATGCCGTAGCAGGTGGTCCCGTAGGAGACGAGCGGCGTGAACGCCATCAGGAAGTTGATCGTCTTCTGGACATCGGGCAAGTAGTCGAGGTACGGTAGCAAGTTCTCCGGCACCCACAGGCTCATTTTGGAGTCGAATCAAAGCTCACAAGGCGGTATTGGTGGGATGGGGGATGGAATGGAGATGGGCGCAGTAGTGGCAGGCAGTGGCTGTCGTCGGAGTGCGGAAAACCCGAGCGCGAGACCGGTGGGGGGGAGACGTTAACCAAAGGGTTGTAGGAGGCTGGAAAGTAGTCGTTTTGGACTTGTTGGTTCCAGGGGGAGTTGGGGCAGGTTTACGAAACGGCACGGCGTGTTTTCGGGGCTTAGGGGGCGGCAAATTCAACCAGCGGTGGGGGGCGGTTCGGCGCGGGTTTTTGTGGATTTCGGCAGTGGTCTCGCTGCATCGCAGCGGCAACTAGCGGAAATGACGACGACTAAACAGAGAAAATTGATTGGTAATGACTGAGATTTGATGCTATGGTTAGTGTAATGTATTTGGTGTAGTTTTGATTGGTTTCAGAGTTTGTTTGATAGTATTTGATGGCGTAGTCGTGGTTGTTTTTGTGGGGGCGGAGCGGATGGCGTATGGAACCACCGGGCCGAAAGCAGCCACTGCTCGATCGGGAAATTTCTCGTGTGGAACCCCCCAGCTACGAGGGAGGAGGGGTTTAAGGCGTCGTAGTATGATCTAAGACGCTGTAGAGTGTCGATTAAGGGCTGAGTTATTGTCAAGTTGGTGTTAGGCTAGAGTCTTCTGTGTATTTATTGAATTTGCGATGGTTAGTGGCTCGATGACTGTTGCAATTGTTGCGCTCACATTTTGTGTAATTTTCGGGAAACGACTAAACCCGATGAACAAAAAGGCTGGCAAAAATACAAATAATGATTATTAGATGAAAGGAGTGAAACAAGCAGTTCAATAAGCTTGTGTTTGTGTAGTTATGATTTTAGTCTACAAATCAGGTGGAGTGGGCCAAATCAATTAAATGCACACAGCTGTGTCATTGCCATCGATGAGATTCGATCTCTGTAGATGAGAAAGAAAATTCTATAAATGCCACTGCTGGGAGTCGATACCGCGTCGTCTCCGTCTCCGAGAACTTTCTCCACGATTCACATGAAAGACTCCCCCGGTTAATGTCTCGGTTCTACAGAATCCCATTTACCCGAAGCGATGAGATATTACCAAACAGACGCTTCTGTTTGATATCTCGATGCCGAATGACGCCAGCGTACGCCGGGATGACTCGTCTGTGTATAGGGGTACACGACTTATTTATGCTGCCACCGTGGCTTCTTATTCAGCAGCAGCAGCAGGTGATGCGGCGTTCGTCAACCGTCCCGGCGCTATCGGGACCAATGAACATTGACACTATTGAGAACGTCTTAGAAGATTATATGCAGGACCACAACCATAACCATAGAATTCACTCTCAGCCTTATCAAACGATTACGCAATCGGACACGTACCTCCACCCTCGGCGCCGACACCCCCTCCTAGCCGTGTCTTAGATCACTCAAAAATACCATCAAAAGAAGTAATCAATAGCCTGATTAGCTGGTTTAAAAGCAATGGCGACAGCAACCTTTGGATGGCGCCACAAACTCCGGTGGTGGTCATCAAATCATTAGCAAAATAGACTCAATTGTCAGCTATGGCTTATTTCATAGTATTGCGTTAGTTAATGGTTTAATATGGGGCTGATTTTTCACACGAGAGGCAAATGCCGCTAAACACCGCGTAGGGGGGGAACGATCTGGGAGATCCCGAGCTCTTGGTGGTGGCCGGAGACTTCCGAAGAGGAGAAGCCGGGGATTTATTTGACTCGGGAGCACCCAGTAGCATCTAGCAGATCAGAGACATGAACGAGAGACTGGAAGAGACGGTGATGGTAGTGTGTTAGTTGGAGGGTGGCCGATTCGGCGCCGTGGGTTTCCGTTGGCCCGTTGTGAAGGGGAGTGCACCTAGCGCTCAGCCTTAGTAACGGGGCGTCGACGGTTCCTTTTCCCCGGGGATGACTCAAGCCAATCTGCATATGCGAAGTCAAAAAACCGAGGTCTCCGGGGCGAAACCAGTGGCGAAAAATCACTATTTTTGATAGATAGCCTCACAAAAAAATGGTACCAATGGATTTGTCGACCGCGGTTTACGGGGAGATCGCCCATCACCGAGACCAAACCCCGACTATATTGCTCAATTTTAGTACTGTGAATTGCCGGTGCCGAAGTCGGTGGTGGTGGCGGTAGTGCATGTAGTCGCACCAAAGCGAGTCAACCAACTCCGAGCAGCTAACCCCAGACTTTGTAAACTACCCTGAAAATGGAGGTTTAAACGGGTGAAAATCCAACGGAATTAACTCCTATAGATATCAACAGCTCCCTAAGAATCTATTAAGCTAATTTCCTTCTTTATCAGACGACTTTTGCCCTGGTTTCCCTGGTAGTTTGGCTCCCCTTATCCGGGGCAAACCGTCGTGTGCGCACCGACAACCACCCCCCCAACCACCAGTTAACCACCCGCTAAACCACCGTAAAAAGGGCTATACTCCATTGGGTCACGCTTAGCAAATGATCATTAAGCCCATATTAGTCATCAGATTCGCCTAGCTTCCATTTCCCGCTGATTTTTCCCCGGGGTTCTTTCGGGAATCTCCAGGGGGTTCGGTGGGGCCCGTGCGGTCGCCGCCGGGTTTTTTCCGGGGAAGTCGAAAAACTATAAAGGCACCCCGATTCCCCCCCCAAAAAAAGTTTCCCCACCATAATCCAACCCTCCACCATGGCTTACACCAAGATCGACGTGGACGCTGAAGAACAGGCCTTCCAACAACAAGTTGCCGACATCAAGAAGTGGTGGGCCGAGCCGAGATGGCACAAGACGAAGCGGATCTACACCGCCGAAGACATTGCCCGCAAGCGGGGGTCGCTCAAGATCGACTACCCGCTGTCGCAGCAGGCGAAGAAGTTGTACAAGTTGCTTGAAGAGCACGACAAGAACAAGACCGCCTCGTTCACCTTTGGCGCCTTGGACCCCATCCACGTGGCGCAAATGGGCAAGTACTTGGACCTGATCTACGTGTCGGGGTGGCAATGTTCGTCGACGGCGTCGACCCTGAACGAGCCCTCGCCCGATCTTGCCGACTACCCCATGGACACCGTTCCCAACAAGGTCGAGCACTTGTGGTTTGCCCAGTTGTTCCACGACCGCAAGCAAAGAGAAGAACGTCTCTCGTTGCCGATTGAAGAACGCAAGAAGTTGCCCTACACCGACTTTTTGCGCCCCATCATCGCCGACGCCGACACCGGTCACGGCGGTATCACCGCCATCATCAAGTTGACGAAGTTGTTCGTCGAAAGAGGTGCCGCCGGTATCCACATTGAGGACCAGGCTCCCGGGACCAAGAAGTGCGGGCACATGGCCGGGAAGGTGCTTGTCCCCGTCCAGGAACACATCAACCGGTTGGTCGCCATCAGAGCCTCCGCCGACATCTTGGGCTCCGACTTGATCTGTGTCGCCAGAACCGACTCCGAGGCCGCCACCTTGTTGACCTCGACCATCGACCACCGCGACCACTACTTCATCGTCGGTGCCACCAACCCCGACTCTCCCGAGTTGGCCGGGTTGATGGCCGAGGCGGAAGCCAAGGGCATCTACGGCCCCGAATTGGCCCGCATCGAAGAAGAATGGACCAAGACCGCCGGCCTCAAGTTGTTCCACGAAGCCGTCATTGACGAAATCAAGGCCGGCAACTACCAAAACAAGGACGCCTTGATCAAGAAGTTCACCGACGTCGTCAACCCGTTGTCGATGGTGTCGAACAAGGAAGCCCGCAAGCTCGCCCGCGAAATCCTCGGCAAGGACATCTACTTCAACTGGGAAGTGTCCAGAGCCAGAGAAGGCTACTACAGATACCGCGGTGGTGTTGAATGTGCCGCCATGAGAGCCCGCGCCTACTCGCCCTACTGTGACTTGACCTGGATGGAATCGGCCACCCCTGACTACCAACAGGCCAAGGACTTTGCCGAGATGGTCAAGTCGGCCATCCCCAACCAGTGGTTGGCCTACAACTTGTCGCCCTCGTTCAACTGGGAAAAGGCGATGCCCGCCCACGAACAGGAGACCTACATCAAGCGTCTCGGCGAGTTGGGCTACGTGTGGCAATTCATCACCTTGGCTGGTTTGCACACCACCGCGTTGGCGGTGGACAACTTTGCCCGCGACTACGCCAAGGAAGGCATGAGAGCCTACGCCCAAAACGTCCAGTTGGAGGAACGCAAGGCCGGCAACGAGGTGTTGTTGCACCAGAAGTGGTCGGGCGCCAACTACATCGACGGCTTGTTGACGATGGTGTCGGGTGGTGTCTCGTCGACCCGTGCCATGGGTGCCGGTGTCACCGAAGACCAGTTCAAGGACGAAAAGAAGTCCAAGATCTAATGAGCCTATGAAGTGAATACACGAATGAATGGAACAACTGTAACCGCACAATCTCGTAGAAAGTCTTGGTAAACTGATTGCATGACTGTTGCTGATGCCTTAGTCATCGGATGATCTACATCCGGGCACACAAAGGAAATGAGGCTTGAACAAGACTTCATTGTAATTAGGTTTTAATGTGTTTTTGGCTTGACATTGAATACATATCATTTGGCAATTTACTCTTTGGTTTGGGGTGTCCAACGACAATCAGAGGTTGGTTGTCAAAAATAGGGCCCCAAACAAAGGGGGACAAAAGTACCTGCAGAACAATAGAACTCCATGATCTAAGGGTTGGCACGTATAAATTGAGTTGAACTTAAGCAAGTCTTACTTGAACATTTTCAGGATAAGTCAGTGCTATTAAAGACTTGACGTCTTTTGCGTATGTGGTTCACTCCGTCTCGCTCATATAAAGAAATAATTCTACAAAACAGTCCACTAAATTATAAAATACTCATCTTAGATGGCTAGTACACGATATTCTTCTATGTAATCTTGAACAATTGCTTTTACTTATACGAATCTAATTTTCGCTGTCTCAGACTTAAGAAAAACATTTTTTACGGGAAAATCAAGTAAAATCATTTATTAATCAGAATGTCTAGATCACAACATGGCGACGCCGGCAGCGGCCATGCACGCCACGGGGACGGCGACGCGGTGGCCGCCGTTGGCCAGTTGCACGGGCACTTCCGGGTCGGCCAGCTTGGTAGTTTCCGACGCCGACGACTTCGATTGCAACGTAGTAGCGTCAGTGGCAGCGTCAGTGGCGGCGTCGGTGGCGGCGTCGGTGGCCGAGGCGTACATGTCCTCGATGTCCTGGGTGGCCGATACCGGCACCACCCCCGAGAACGACTCGTACACCTTCGAGTACACCAGGGCGTAACCCGAGGTTTCCGAGGCTTCGAGCATGCCCAAGTCGTAGAGGAACGACACCATCTTGGTCGCCTCGGCGGTGACAAACACCTCGGAGTCGACGGTGGTCAACCACGACTTGAACTCGTTGACGTTGGCGGCGGTGGCGAGCGAGGCGATCGAGGCAAGGGTAAGCAAGGAGAGCATGATGAGGATGACATTACCGAGAATTAGAGCTGTCTATATATGTTACAAGCTTACCTTCCTCGTTGGGGTACCAACCGCTGGGCCACTTAGGGTGGTGGGGTCGCAATAGGTTTACCAATTAGGCAGTTGAGCTGAGGGGCGCACACCGCTCACACCACCACCGCATGTACATGCGACATGTACATGCTACACAGTAATAAGCACATGTACCTGAGGGAATTTCATTTACTGCAATAATTTAGGGAAGAACTTACATTAGCGTAGACACGAGATAATTACCATTTTATTGAGTCATAAGGCCCAGCAAGAGATTAGCGACCAATTGCACTACCAGGGACATGCCACTGGAAATAAGCGTCATCGCCGTCGAGCCCAACTGGGCGATAAGGGCAGTGTCGGCCATGATCTCGCGGAGCAAATCGGGGACAATGTTGGCCCGCATAAACGCCTGCACCACCTCGGTTACCGACACCGCCCCCAGGTCGACGATCCGCTTGACGAACGCCGCCGCCGGCTCGGCCAATTCCGGCGTCGTCATGAGGTGGGTGACGAACTGGCGAGCTAACCCGGAATTGCTCACCGCCGCAAGCACCTGGTTCATCGTGATCGATTCGCGAGCGAGCAAATTGACCAAGCTATCAATTTCACGGGTAGTCAATTCGGTGGTAGCAGTTTCGGAGGAGTAGGCGACCCCGGTGGGAGGCGCAGTGAACTCGGTGGGTTGAGTATCGGAGGTCAGCAACGCCATGTAGGCCAGGGCGACTCTGATCAAGCCTTGGATGACGGCGGGGTTTTCCACCGATAAATGGAGGGTATCGATGATCAAACCCGACCGTTGTAAAGCGATAAACAAGTCGGTGAAGTCGATCAAATCGTGTTCCAACGCCCAGATGACCCCGTCAGCGACGAAATTCATCATCTCGGCGTTGGCCATCGACATGTCAAGCACCACGGGCGTCACCCCAGATTGGGTGAGGGTAGTGAGCAAAGGTTCGAGAAGCGGGATCAACAGCGACACGATCATGTCCAGCATCCCGTCGCGGCGGTAGAGGGCGAGGACATCGGTGAACAGGGTAATGTCACGGGGGTGGACGCGGTCGATAATGGGAGTATCACCACTAAGTTGAGGGTCACCACTAGAGACGGGACCCAGGGGAAGACCACAAACGAGCGACGACCAGGACACGGCAGTGAGTAAAGTAAAGAATCTCATGAGGGTTTGAGCACTTGAAGAATTGATGGGAATTCGTCACATCTTTATATTGTCTGATGGTCGTATCGGAGTAAGGGTAGAATAGCAAGTGGGCTTTGGCGTTTGATGGCATCTCCAAGTCATCGTATAGACACAAAAGCAAGGCGAGACACTTGTAAGGAAACAATTAATCGATTTGCAGAGCAAAATAATACTCTGGACAATCAGAGTCAGCAATTCGTCTGTTATTGCTTTGATTGGTACAACTTGTACTCTCTGGCGTCGTTACCCAATAAATGGACCATATACTGATAGGGAGCCAATTCCCAGTCGAGGTGGCCAATGGAAAGCACGGTGGTGTTCGGCATGTCGTTAGCGACGATATCGTGGCATTTTTGCATCACCACGTCGTCGTCCATACACAGGAACGCCTCGTCCAAGATTAGGATCTCCGGTTGTTTGACGATCGCCCTCAAGAAAAGACACAATTTCTGGTCGGTAATCAGTAAATCGTTAAACGTACGGTGACCCACTTTTTGTAGGCGGTCAGCAAACCTGTCTAAGATCAGTTTCAGCCACTCCGAATACTCATACTTATCACCGGAGAAGGCAAAGTTCAGATTGCCGATATTGGGCACCAAGCCATTGCGGATAATCTCCCGCATTGTCTTCAGATGGCGAGGGACCACGGCGTGGATTTCCGGCAGCAGAATCCCGATCTTATTGTTGACGCTGAACACGTTAATCCCCTGGCCTGTTTTGCGGAGCTGGCCGTCGATGGAAAGCACCAGCCGCCACAGTTGTGGGTGGTCAGCAGTGATGAGGGAGAGGATCGTGGTTTTCCCCGTGCCGTTATCGCCTAAGATTCTCCATTTAGTTCCCTTAGGGATATTCCAATTGAAATCTTTGAGGACTGGTAAACCACGGTATACCACCAGAGCATTGTTAAACGAGATGTGGGCTCCGTCAGCGGGGATTTGGGAGGCCAGAATTTCGTCCATCGGTTGGCGTTTAGGCGGTTCCACCTCAGTTAATACTGTTTCCACGTGGCCTTCTTTTAACCCTTCAGAGTCGATATAGGCGACTTTCTCAATCCATTCGGGGACGGCATCGTGAGTTCTGAGTCCCAACACCATACTGATGTTCAATTGGTGGCCCACTTGAGCCAACAGGTCCAGAACGCGTTTGGTAGCGGTAGGATCTAAACCTAAGAAAGGGTCGTCAATGACAAGTAGACGCGGTTTAGTAATCAACGCCTTAGCGATTCTTGCTCGTCTCATCTGGCCATTACTTAAGGAATTGATCCATTTCGCCTGTAAGTGCCTCAAATTGAATAATTCAATTAATTGGTCGACATACTTGTCGTCGATGTTCCCCAAGTTAGAATTGTAATTATTGGCTCCCACAATATAGTTACGCACGCAATTGACGTCGTCAGCCATTTCCAACACCCCCTTGTAAGAGTAGCTCTCGTAACGGGCGGAAACGTGGACCAGGTCGAGCCCCAGCAGATCCAGGAAATTGAGGAGCAGAATGTGGCTGAGCGAGTTGTTTGGGTACACTCTCAGCTGGGGTGGCAGCGATAAGTATTTGCCGCCGATTATTTGGAGCAACAGCATCTTTTCTGGTCCGGTAACGGCGAGCGACGACGGCGCGGTAGTCGTGCCGTTAACTTCATCAATTTCGAGAGTTATCGGGTTTGAGTAGATCGGTGGCGCTTGAAACAGGGGTTTGAATGTCCCCTGTTTGATCCTCACAAGACACTGCCGGTACGGGAGGTATACTCTCATATTAGGGAGGCAGTCAGTGAGTCAATGGTGAATGGTCGTATATATGCGACTGAGTCATTCCCGATGGCTCCCGCGGCTTCCGCGTGTCGGGAGTGTCGGCACTAGGTCGCACTGACGGGAGGGACCCAAATTGATCACGACACACCCTTCCAACACCCTTACCCATAACCATGGAGTTTATCGAGCCCGTGGTGGCCACGCCTGAGCCGTCATCCCCTAAAGTGGAGCTGGAAACCAATAAGCACACCGAGGAAGCCATCCACCAATTGGAAGACGAGATCGATAAAGGGTATACCGCGGTGGAACAGCGGTTGGCGGCGTTATGGACCAGCTACCAAATGGACGCCAAAACCAAGCAATTGGGCGAGCTGTTAGAAGGCCCGAGGGCTCAGCTTACTGAGGAGATTGAAAAGCGACGGGTGCAGTTGACAGAACAGTTAAAACTGGCGCGGGAACTGGACCAAGTGAAAGAGCTTGAAAAGAAGCTTTCTGAGCTTCCCATCACTCAGGCGAAGGAGAATTTGAATAAGGGGCTTGACGCCGTTGATTCCCAGTTGGAAAAGATTGAAAATGCCGCCATGGGCTACGTGCTGCTGTTCACACTGTTTTTACTGAAAGTGGTTACCGTGGAGCCAGAACAGGACGAAACTACCACGAAAGAGACGTTATTTTCAAGGGAAGAAGATACACCTAACTTTATGAAACACTACGGAACCCTGAGATACGAACAGGAGTTGTATAAACTTCACACCGATACTAAATTGTACACTAACCCCATTGAAGATGAAGAAGCTACCAATAAAGTTGATGTCGAGGGGAAGACGGAGGATATCACCGGATTACTCGCTAAGTACCCGGCGTTACAGCACACGATGCTGCTGGTGCTGGCTACCGTCAACTATAAGACGTTCTGGACGCGCTACTATTACCATTTCGCTCAATTGGAAGAGAACGAAAAGAAGCGCCAAGCGCTTAAGGGAGACTTGAAACTGACTGGTGACGACGACGACGACGAAGACTTTACCTGGAGTGATGATGATGACGATAACGCTGGAGAAAGCGCTACGAAAACTGAGGAAAAGAAGTCGGTTTTACTGCTGGAAAAGCAGACCCCCGACACTTCAAACGAGGATGATGACGACTGGGAATAGCTTTAATGATGACGATTACGGATTTAGGAGTTGGCGGAGGTGATTGTCCGCCACGGCTTCCTCAGCTTATCGTAGGCTATTGTAGAGGCATTTGTTATCGGAGCGGGGGTTAACCTCCGTTGAGTCATTATTCGACTCATCTCGGAGTGGGCCGACACGGTCGACGCCGAGAAGACTAAAAGGACGATAACCACCGAAAGGGATTACCGGGTGGTTAAGTTCCACCCAACAATGGCTGGCTTCCGATAATTTTCTCGTCCCGGAGGTTATAGGGAGAGTCCAATTAAGGTTCGGGTCTTACGAACTAAATTAAGGTAAATGAAAAGTAAAATTTTAATATGAAATATGACTGAAATTTGCTCTAAGTTTTGACTGTAATGGTAGTTGTTGTGAGGATAGAATCAAACGTGAGCTTAACCAATGAGTTTGAGAAACAATCATACGATACTGTGAGTTAAAGCCAATGAAATTGAACCAAAAGATGGAGCAATAATCAGCTCACAGTCTCAAGCTTGTCTCACTGTGAAAATAAAGTTTTTCGAGTATCAAAATTTCAGTTTCAAATGAATCTGAAGCACACCATCAAACTACAATGGAAAATATATAGTGGTTCGCGTGATGACAAACACCTGAAAGTCATTTGAATTCAGTCAAAGTGGAAACTGAAACCAATCATGAAACAATCAATCTACTCAATGTTGTTTGTAATCTGTTAGTTTATTGAAAATGCTAAGATAAATAAGAAGTGAAGTAATAGCGCCCGCACGCGAGCCATGCAATCGTCAGTCGTAAAACTTTGATATTGTTTCAAAATTTAGGCCTTGTTGACGGGGCCGGCGGTGTGGATGTCTTCTTCCGACGACACCGTGGGTTCAAAGGGGGCGTCGTCGTGTTCAGTGGCGGCGGCGTGGTAGATGTTGTCGTTGCAGACGACGTGGCCTTCAGAAGCGAAAACGGCTCTCTGGTTGGAGAACTGTCTGATCACGGGTCTGGTGACGGTGGTGGGCTTGACGGGGACCCAGCATCTGGCGGCGACCTTGGCGTACGAAGAAAGTCTGATGGGAGTCATTGTTGTTTCAAGTGGTGTTTGAGGTTGTGTGAACTCTTGTTGGAGGATGATTTTAGCTTGGGAGATGGCACATATTTATACCTGGTGTGGGGGTGACGTAAGGGATGTGAGTCGCAACCCCAGGTTCCGGTGGTCCATTGAGTCATCCGAGGAAAAATAAAAAAATCATCATTCCACGCGCGTGCGCAAGCAAAGAGAAATGCCCGGGGTAAACCTCCGGGATTTGCTACCGTTCCCGGAGTCAACGGATATTGCCGAGGGGAAGAAACTGGATAAGCTAGTAATTAACAATTATTTCTACTCCTTCTAGATCAGTCTAGGAGCCTTGTTTAGTCTTGTTTAGAGTGATTTGAAGCAGTTTTGGGAGATAATGTCCGCTTGATTGTTGGTGACTGCCTGCAGTACTCCCGCATCGCCGAGGCCGCTTCTGATTTGTTCGATTACCGTGACCGATAGATCAGGACCAGCGGAGGTTTTCTGCCGCGGCCTGCGTGCCTGTGAAAAAAATTGTGTATAACGTTGACGTTTTAGTCACCGCAGCCATAACAAGAGTCATGACGCTGGTGTTTAAGCCGAGGATATAAGTCAATTAGGGGCACAAGTTACAAATTGTAATTATGAAATTGATGAAACTTTCTCTGAAACACTTTCTAAAGGGGTATGTTTCAAACGTAGTGTCATTTTAGGTGATTGTGGTTTGATTCGGGAACCATGGCTCGTGGTCAGGGTGAGGCGGCGACTCATAGGGGGCGACTCACGCAAACAATACGAATGACGCCACCGTGCGTCATATATAGCCTGCCGAAACGGTACCCAGCGCGCACCCCACAAGTCACCGTGAGTCATGTTGATAACTCAGCCGAAGTCGAATTATAGCCGGACAACTACTACCGAAAGAATCAAAAGAGTAAATGACATTGATTTGAAACGTAGTTTCATGTCATGTTTCAAAAACTAAGTCAGCGAGTTCTTTTTTTGGTCACTTGGTGGCGTGAGCCCTGTTAGTCATTGGACCCTGAATACGAAGAGGATTAGTCAGTCCGTCAGTGTAGCAGAATTTGGTGACTAAGCAACGCACTAAATTTTTGACAATGTTATGATGACTACGGAGGCAATCGCCGAAACGGACCACATTGGCTGGTACATGTGTGGCCAATGATGGGGGTGTGAAATTTGTGTGGGGGGGGTTGGCAACGGTTGCTTCGGGTGGGCGGAAGGTCATGGCTCACACTACTCTTCGGATAACCGGAGACTGCGAAAAAAATCATCGCAACTGCAAACTCCGCAAATTGTCGCAACCCAAACTCCGCAATTCGCACGAAAGTGAAAAACTCCGGTACCGGGCCGAAATTGCCTGAAAAATTTCACTCACCGAATTCGGACAACCGGAGACGACGAAGTTAGTGGATTCCTAGATTGAACAATCCACGATAATGATTGTGATATTGTAAATGCGTTTCGTGTTAAGTTTCAGAGTCAATGTCTCATGTAGTAGACAAAGGTTTCATTTGGGAGAACCAATTGGTCGTCAATTGATCTGCCAGTGAGTAGTCAGATATCTACTGAGTCTTAGCTGAGACTAAACGAAACTCTCGTGATCAATGTTTCGAGGTTTGTTTCAGGTGATGTTTCAAGGTTTGTTTCAGGTGGTGTTTCGAGATTGGTTTCAAGTGATGTTTCCTATCACTAAATCGAGTAGTCTACACTACTCATTATTAGCCAACTTTAATTATAGTGGTCATATCATTCTCCTTCAAATAACTCTTTTTTATTAAATTTATTAATCGTACCTTTTTTCAGTACGTTTCATGTCATTCTTTTAATCTCCCATTATTCGTTTATAATCAGATTGGAGGGGATCTCAGATAATGTCTAATTGTTTTCCTCAAATGTTTATAAGACGCCAGCGAGAAGCAACAAGTAATCCACAACAATCCCCAACCAAAAGATAATCCCCGTTTTGATATTCCCCGTGAACCCTTTCCAGCAACTGGCTTCATCGTCTAAATCGACTTTCTTAATCATAGTATAAATACGGTAAAACCCCCAAGCGGCACCAGCATAAAAACCAGGTCCCATTGAGTTCATGAACCCGGAAAGCGTATAGAGCCCTACTTGAGCCGTAGTTAACCCGTTAAGTATGGGTTTAGTGCGGTCGCCCCACGCTAACGCCGTCAGCTTAATTCCGGCGTGGATATCGAACTTCTTATCCTGGTGAGCATACACGGTATCGTAGACGACACACCAGATCCAGTTGGCGGCAAACATCGGTAAAACCACGGCCCAGTCGATGGGAGCTCCCACGGCGGGGTAGCCCATAAGAATCCCCCAGGAAAAACAAATCAGAAGCATATACTGCGGGTAGTATGTGAAACGCTTAAATAAGGGGTAGGCGGCGATAAACGGAAGCAGCCAGCACCCGACCCAAAAGCACGCCGGCGGTAACGCTAAAAGCACCACTAATCCTGCGAGACCCTGCGCTACCATCCACGCCGTCGCCTGCGGTACCAGCACTCGCCCCAGAGCGATAGGTCTTTCGAGGGTTCTCAGCACCTGGTTATCCAATTCCCGGTCCCAGATATCGTTGATGGTACACCCCGCGCCCCTCATGATTAACGCGCCAATCAGAAACAAGGTAATCGCTTTAAACGCCACCATAAACGGGGCGGCGATCGAATAAGCCGCCATGGTGATCCCCCAGTAGCAGGGTAAAAGCAATAATAGAGTGCCCACGGGTTTCTCAAGGCGCATTAACTCGGCGTAGGGGATCCATTTTTCGGGTAATTTGCCCACCCAGCCAAGGCGGGCTAACCGGGCTAATCTCAGTGCTTCAAGCTCTTCGGCAGTGAATTTTGACCGGGCTAGAGACACTTGTGCCGCTCGTTTAGGGTCCGAGGCCACGTGGAGCTTGGGATTGACTTGTTCGGGTGTCAACTTGGGGGGTTCATTAACCACGGTAGAGGCGACTTTCTCGGTCAGCAGGGGGAGCGTTTGAAACCTGGGGATGGTAGTAGTAAGGCTTCGCCATTGGTTTATCGGTAAACGAGCGTGGGCCGCCGCTAGCCGCCACGGACTTCTCACCAACAACAACATATGTCGCTTGGAGCGTAGTGCGGCGCGACACGTCTCTATTATATGTGGAATAGCAAATGCCAAGGATATGAAACCACAGATGTGACAAGCTGACTCGAAACGAATTGATTGTTTGAACTTGCACTATATTTTGGAGGAAGGGTTAGTTTTGTGTTACTTTTGTGTTAGTCTCGTGTGCGCTTTAAATTAGATGAGCTCAAAACGTTTTCTGGTAGTGGGCTAGCTCCTTGTGGAGATGGTGTGGGATCGGCGGTCGGCTACAATGGGGAATGGTAAATCTCTCACGTCTCGCATCACCGCCTTGCATCGTTACGCGAAGTCCATCGGAGAAGAACTCAATCAATTTATTTTAGAAACCATTTATTATCAGTTATTTAAGGACGTAAACTGGTTGTCGGCATGTTAATTTAATATTATTGGAACATTTTTCTCAAATTTGACATTTTTTCAAATTTGACATTTTTTCAAATTTGACATTTTTCAGAGAATTGGAGATAGTTGACAGATGAGATTACCCGTAATCACCATTTAGACTTCTCTACTGTTTGCCAAACCTGATTTAATCCATCTACGAACTTGATCTGGCGTAAAATCAAGCCATACGATCCCTTCTAGATTCAGTTAGGTGAAATCTTGTAATATTCGCTGGGGTTCGATTCCTCACGGTAGTGGAAAAATACGTGCGAAGAACACAATCCACGGACGGTTGATCAAACCAGCTTCCATTGAGTTGTGACCATAGCCTCAATTACTGTTTAGATGTCCAAGCTCAACCCATTTGACATCGTTTCATTTCTATATCCATGAAGGTATTTATTTGCTACTTATTAAACCGTTTAACGGAACGCAGAATACTCTCAGAATACTCTCAGAATACTCTCAGAATACTCTCTGAAAGAAAGGCATATAGCTGACTCTTCAACATTGAGGAAGATACCATCATTTCAATCAGTAAGGCCACCATCCCGTCTCGTATATCTCAGCCATCACTGACATCATCCACCGGGCTAACATCCAGTCTCATTGGATCCAAGTTCGCTTCCTTGTTTTACCCTGTGGCTTCCAATTGTTCAAAGCCATCATCATCGGGTCCCCTCGCTCTCATCGCGGCGTGGTCTTCAATAAGCTTCGTAAGTTCCGGTAAATCGCCCAACATCTCCGTCGAGTAAGTAAAGATCTGGCGACACATGGGACAGAGACCACGGCTCGACTCCTGTTCGAGCCATCTGAGGATACAGTGCATGTGGAAGTTGTGAGGACACAGCGCCCCGATGACGACGGGACACTCGGTGCCGGGGTATTTGCAATCGGGACAGGTGCCGTTGAACAGCACCCGACAGATGCCACAGAGATCGTCGCCGCCTGCCGCCAGGGCGTCGCCAAGGTCCCACGACCACGTCGCCACCGCGTGGTAGTCGACGAACTCGACCTTCATCGCCCGGTAGTGGGAGCGCACCTGGAAAATAGGTAAACATGGGTGTGGCGGGAACAGGGAAATAATCGTCGGACATTACGGAATTTGACAGCAGTTATGAATTTAGCGTAGACGACTGGTAGCCATAGTAGAAGTTTTCGGTGGTATCAGGTGTAAGCGTTGTAGAACCAATCAGTAGCTTTACGATGGACTGGTGGTACTTGCTGGTCATGGGAGTGCTGTTACTGGAAGGTGTTAGCCTATGTCCAGGTAGTCGGCTCGTTGTTGCTAGAACCAATTGATGGTTATCAAGTTGATGGAAGTGGGATTGAGACTACGTACAGGTAGTCGGCTCGTCCAATTAACGGTTACTTTAGCAATTGGTGGTAGCCATCATTCGGCGACTACTGGTATTTTGCTGCTTCTAGAGTAGAAAGTTTACGTCGCTCAGTGACCTTCTATACAGTGCATTTACCATACACCAGCATTGGTTAGCGCTTGACCTTGACAATCGCTCAGCTGTGGAGTTTTCCACATTCTCTATTTCGAAAATTGACTTAGTGTCATAAGTTTGCCTCTGACTGCAAGTATATCTTGAATTTCTATCACGCAAATTGTATTATTTGGGTTTGTTAGTCTTCACATCGTTCATTGAGATCAACTCTTAAAATGTTCAACTTCAATTATCATCATTTATCATTTATTTGGGCCAACTACATCTCGTCAGCCTGCTGATTACGCGTTCATGAAATTTTATTCGTTGATATTGAGTTTTTGTCATCAGCGTTTCGTTTTCTGGCTTATTGATCACTCGCCTCCGCCTCCTTCTTCTTTTTCAACTCTGCACGACGATCGAGTTCCGAGAGCAAGTCGTCCAAGCACCCCACCGTCTCCCGGGGCAGGGCGATCCACGCCGTGCACGCCGAGAGTCTCGCTTTGAAATCGTTCAGCCCCACCAGAGCGAACTGGTCGCCGATGTGGAGCAGCTCGGCCTTGGTGATGGGACACAAGTGCTGAAGCAGCTCGTCCTGGCACAAGTAGCGCTGGAGCGCCTCGACGCCCAACAGCTTGTCGCCGATGTCCACCCACACGTCGGAGCCGCCGTTAAAGGCGCACACCCTGATTTCGTGCGTTTCGATGTTATCGTCTTGAGTGTAGCCGCCTACGGGGAGCGCTTTACCCGACGGACCCATATCGATGTTTGAGAGGATGAAAGAGCACAGTAATACCATCTCTTCAAGCTGTTCGCGGAGGATCAGGTAGCCGGGGTTAGGGATGATCCCCACCGAGCGCGCCTTGCGGATGATGGTGGTGTTATCCTTAAGTCCAAACTTCTCCTGTAAGTGGATCAAGTGTTGTTCGGAAATGTCCATGATCTCGTCCAATTTCTTCTTGTCCCACAGCTTCATCGCTGGCAAGAACCAGTCGGCCAGCTCGATGTACTGGAAGCCGCGCATCTCGGGGTTAAACCGGAATAAGTAATTCAGCTCGGCGCCGACAATCAACAAATTGCGCTTTTGCGCCTCCGTCAAAGCACTATCGGGCCCGTTGATGGTATCGACTAAACCTTTAAGCCGCTTATAGTAGTTGGTAGCGCCCTGCTGTCCCGGATAGCCGGCGGCAGTAACTACGGCGATAAAGAAGTCGCGCCGCAATAGCTCGACAAGCCGCAGCACCACGGGCGAATCCGGCTCGAGGTTTTGACCATCTTCATATAACGTTACATCCCCGTCAAACGTCAAGAGCTTAAGCTGCTGGGGGTTATCGTCGTGGTAGTTTTGCACTAGGCCCAAGATCTGGGCGGTGTTAAGGATCATGCGCACGTCGTTGAACAGCGGCGCCACGAGGCGGCGGCGGCTGATGCCGCGGCGCTCGTCCTCGATGCGGAAGGCGTCGACGAGGGGCAACCGCGTGTGGAAGCGCCCGATCAGCGGCACCAACTTGCGCAAGCGCAGCTGGGTGTGGGTGCCGTAGCGGTCGTTGTTGGCGTCGACGAGAATCGTGTTGTCGACGAGGCGCTCGATGTCGCCAAACACGTCGGAAAACTTGCGGAAACACTCGTGGGAGATGCCGTCCTCAAACCGCTTGACGTCGGAGTAGAACTCGGGATCCAAAAACTCGCGCCCGCTGTTGGCGAACTGGTTGATGTCGCCGTTGAGGACGAAGGGGACGGCGAGGAGGCCTTTGATGAACTCAATGAAGTAGTCGCGCCGGTGCTGCTTGAGCGAGTACTCGACTCTGTAGCGCAGGGTCATGGCAGTGGTGGTGACAGCGGCGGCGTTAGTGTATTGTTGGTAGCGGAGTGGCGACTTTTTATATCGGCATAATGCGACGTGAACGCCCGCGCGCTATCTGGCGCCGGCAGGACACAGCGAGGAAAGGAAGGACACGGAGAGAAGTCTACTGAAGATGATGACAATTGTATCAGAGTATTGCAGTACTGTGACTTTAGTGGAATTGGGCTATTGTGTAATTGACTTCTTTTATGACATCCAATGGCGCCCATTGTGATTGACGATGGCCGTTGCGGGGTGGAGAAGCCCTCTGGGCGCGGGGAGCCGCTGTGAGTCAGCGCTGGGTAATCATGCGCCCTGACGTGTGTACCCCCCCCCAACGTGGGGAGCAACGCCCACAACAGCCGGAACAATTGGCACGGACGGGTTAGCCGGAACTTTTGACTAATCATATCCAGTCATATCAAATTCATTATCATCAACAGGTCCACTATCCTGTCTACCAGAATTGTTTAACTTGATGGCTCACTTTGTCTTCGTTTTGCCAACTCGTATTTACGCCCACATTCGCTTGACACAAATTAGCGTTGACAGGTTAGCTGCACCGTAAACCACAACCGAAAGGACTTTCTTAATGGCTCACCCAAAAGAGTATCTCTTTCACCAACTGGTTCATTATACAGTCGATAGACATTCACAATTCTTTTAATCGACAACTTGCAAATTTGTCCACACTCGCTTATTTATATTGGAATCAATACAGACAGGCTCTCTATAAAATCTGCGGTAGTCTACTGAATGATTACAGGTTCACTTATCGATCCAAACGTCACTCTGATGATAGGTCCACGATAACTTAAGAAAAATACCGATTCTGAATTGAGATAGCACATTTGTCGATAACGTTTATGATGAATCAAACGTGAAGTGTTGAGGTTTTCGAGTTGATGGTGCAGTTTTGCCAGCTTAGCCGGTTACGTCCTGCATATACCATCACACGCCACTCGTCTAAGACTTCGTTCTCAATCTTTTTTAATTCCTGCATACTGCGCCCCTCGTCAAAGAAATTATTTCAAATTTTTATTTCTGTGGTAAGAGATGCGAACTCGGTCTATCGCGTAAGCCGCATGAACGGCACCCCGCTCATTGGCGGACTAGCGAAGCCCGGACGGCGTTGTAGGAGCGGGTGGTGTCGACTTATGCATATAAGTGGGTTGAATCCGCCACATCTAGACTTCATCGGGTTTATACCTAGTCTGACTGTGGCTGTATTCGGGACACCTTTCTTAGATAGGGTTACGTAATCATCACTATACACGACTATCGACTACCTTCTTCCCTCAATTTCGAATTTTTTTTCCAATTTTTTTTTTCTCTCCAAAGATCTTCTGATTGCTATTATACATATATTTGAGCTGTGCCGATCCTAAATTTGGATTCAGAACTCACTTAATTTGTTCTGTTGATGGCGAAAGTTCGACCTGAAAATTTCTTCACTACATGTAGGATTCGTACGAGAACGCACATAAATGCCACATAAGTATGTCACTTTCTCAGTAGAGTTCAAGAATGTTCTGTAAACAGTAGTATAGCTTATAGAAGTTATAGCAGTGGCAACATTTTTGATCTAC